GTTATGTTCGGCAAAATACGCGACGAGTCCAAATTGCTTGATAGTCTTTGGCGTCTGGTTATTCCAGTCTACACCGGTAGTATTCTCCTCTAGGATATGTTTAGCCTCGTTCACCGAGTCGCTATATTAGAAACGACGCTCGAAAGCATACTGGCACGCGTATCGTGTGCCAATTTTAAAATTTTTCATTTTGTCTTAAATATTGGATATCAGAAGCCCATCTTTCCACGGTAAGATAACAACATCAATGTTGATTTAAAGTGACCAGTAAGTCGTGGTTGCTATGTCGAAGACTGGGTGATATTGAGTTAGAGACTTGCCTCCTTTAAATTATGTATCCCCTTCTCAATTTACAAGGTTACACAAGACTTTTGGGGCGCTCATTGACCAGAAGATCCCATTGTTGGCTCAGTTTATGACGTCACCCAAGACCCCGGGCGCTCATTGACCCGAAGCTGCCAATGTTGGCTCAGAAACTTCTTGTGATTTATCATTTGTGTTTACCATGGTGCGGTACAATGCATGGAAAAGAGTCTAGTCATTCCGATGGGAAGAAAAAACAAGCACCCGTGTATAACATTGGTAGCACGTTAAAGATTCCTTGTGATTTGGAAATCGAAATAAAAGTAGGTCGTAGCGCCACTGCTCGTAAAACCCCATGTCGTTTTGCTTTATTTCATTTCATATTTCTAAACTTAAAATTAATTTGCATTTGCAAATATGTGTTTATTGGTGTAAATATTGGCCCAGGGAAGAGCCCAAGGACCCCATATGAATTTCGTTCCGACGGGCGTGAAAGGGCAACATAATTTAAAAAAGAATCGTCGACACACACAGCCCTAACACTCGCGCATTAGCCTACAACCACTTAAAATTAGTTTAAATTGATTAGTATTGATATAACATTCCATTCCTGATCAATATAAGGATTCCGAATGCCAATAAACATGAAAGAACTCTTTTGTGTCTACATAGACAGTCTAGACCTATTAGCCTTCAATCTACAGATTCAACACAGGGCCCTCACATAGGAGCCAGCCTCCTCCGGCCATAGGACAAACGTTTCAGCGACGCCCTTCAGCCTCCTTCTTAGTGAGGGCCCTGGGTGCCCCACCATAAATAAATATCTCCAAATATCTCGACAATTACCCCACAATATTTATATACACACCAAGCCTTAAATCAGTTTCAAACATTTATAGTCACTAAATAAACGGTCATGTTGTACTTAATAAGCTATGCCCATTTAATCATCCATAAATAATACACTGAAAGATGGTTCCGAGTTTCGGCCATAACATCCGAGCACATCTGAGTAAAAAATAGGTTACGTGCCCTTGTTTTGAAAAGAGTCTCGCTTAACCAGTCTACCGACCATTCTACGTTTGATTGACAGGCCAGGATAATCAAGACTACTTTTTTTACGAAACATAACAGAAAGCTGGAACAAGGAATTGAATTTAGAAACACGCACGTTGGGCAACTCAACAATTGTTTTAAGAACCTTGTAAAAGTATAATGAAACTACTGCCAGTATCATGTTCTTGCCCAACTCAAGTATTTCAGAGATATTATTTGTACTAAACCAAAAGATGCCGCTCCGAATGGCACAGTTAATGATAAAGCAATTTAAAAAATAAAACGAACGTAATTTCTAAAGCTGCTGTAATAACCAATAAGCTAAATATTACTGCTATTCAGAATCGTCAACAATAGATTTTTTAACGGCTGTAATAGTTGATAGATGTGTAGAGAATTGCATGTGCTATGGCTATTTATAGTATCATAGACTCTACCGCTTGAGTATTATCATACTGCGTAATAAGCGAGAAATCAGTTCAAGACAAGCCACTGAAGCGTGTACATTCGCCTTGTCGAGACCAACTTTCTGTACGGAAAATTTTGGGCGTCACATACAGGACCGGAGCGCCACATACAGGGCCGGCGGAAGAAATTCTTTATTTGGGGGGGGGGGGGTCTACCATCCTAGCACTTTGGGCAACCGTGCCCCTTCGACCCACAAATCCATAGTCTCCAGATCCGTCCTTGCCATAAAGTGGTGAAAGCGGGAGTTTAGTTCTACAAACGAACGAACAAATCTAGATTATAATAGTAGTGTCGCTTTGCGGCCTGCGTTCTAGTCCTATTGGAAGCACATTGATTGTGGCACATCTTCGCTTTCCTCTCAAACATCATCTATGATGCGAACATAGCCCGAGGCCGAGATGCCGTAAAATTTGAAAACTTGTTTATTAAATCGTTCTACAAGACGTCCCTTTTTTATTTCTTTTTATGATTAGGTCTGCGAATTTATCAAGCCTTTAATAGCATGTATATTACTAAGACAAACAGACCATTAAAGTTTTGTACAAGACTACCCTTGGATTGTTTATGTTAAATATGTGACCTTATCAAACCATTAATAATAGATGTTATAAAAATGTGTGCTGTGTAAACATATCAAGTGTAATATTGACATTATTATCAAATTTACAACATTCAAAATACACTTGACTATTTTATAATCTAGGTTCATTGTGGCTTAAAGGTTAGTATATATTTTAATGTGTAGAACGGGGGTTGGGTGGTCGAATAGAAATGAAATGAAATGGGATTTAACGTCCTACTGTTCTGCTCCGAACTGGCCTAATGAAGACGGATATACGCCATATAGTGTGCTATGAGGGGCACTACGGTCTACTCTTATATCGAATTCGAAATGTCAAGGGATCTCTTACGTGCACGCAAATATGCACACGGAATCTTTGTTTTTCGTACCATCCGAACGGCTAGACAGATGTCCTTGTTAGGCCCTCCGTCCTGCATCTCTGACAAGGGGGAACGACGCCGGAAAATTTGGATGAACTTTCTCGACCAATGCGAACACCCGACCTCCAGGCTAGCGAGCCAGCGTCTTACTCACTTAGCCACCGTGGTCGAATTGTTTAACGGGTGTGCGTTAGATAATACGGTCTGTAATTGAGTCAAGTGGTGTGGTTTTGAAGTTCGATTCCCCGCTTGTAAGGAGTAGGGTCCCTTATCTAACCTCGTGGGTTTTCTCCCACTGCTAAAGACTCCCACTCGCAAGCGAATTTTAGAATAAGATTGAACCATATGTTAGTCCCGAAATGACCTAGTTTTTGTCAAGTGGACATTCAACCCCATTTCTCCGCCCTTGTACAACATATATAACTTGTAAGCATGATTTATTTATGATGTTCTCGTCCATTAGTACCAATACCATGCTGGGGTATATACCCGCCTGGTATTCTACTTCGGTCACTACCATATGTTATTCTAGGCCAGTTGTCTAACCATACGAGATTATCCACTAGTTATCTAACCATAGGACATTCTAGACCAGTCATCTAACCATACGATCTGATTAAAACACAGATCCTATTTTTCGTTTCGTTCCTTATAGTTCAAAATTCCGTTTTACTTGTTTTTACTACACTAGAATCTGGAAAAGTTGTTATATTACCGGCGTTTTGGTTGAAGTGAGGGATAAGCCAATGAAACGGTCTGTTACGGCGACTTCTTCGCGTGCTTTGCACGGAACTGTGGGTAAACCACTAGAAACGTCAACGCTGATTGATTAATCAATGTCTGACGTCATAGGGTCAAAAGCCGTCGTTCGACCGTTGACACGACCTTCGAGTACAACTTTTCAGATCTTCATGTGGTGTAGGTCATCGAAAGTATAAAAAAACGAAACGAAATATTGATCTGTATTTTAATCAGGGCCTTGTTTCTCGAAATCTTAAACATGCATTATGCAAGAGCTAAATCTGCTTATTACAAGTCTTTCTTTAGGCCTGAAATGTTATCTAAATTATCAATTAGACATTAATTAACTTATCCAGACCATAATAAACTCTCGATGTCAAGACTAGCCTTCGATGTTGGCTGGATTGGATTCCTATATGCCGCTAACGGCCACTGATAATTAAATCATAAAAGTAGATAATCGAGACTATGCTGTTTATATTAATGATTTGAGTAATGATGACCGAGACTATGCAAAAATTTCACCCGCTTCTTTCTCGGCTCATAGTTGATCAATTTGACTGAAATTTTCAGCAAATTACCTTTACACTATCTAGTTTTTAACTATTATAGCGAGAACTGCCATCTCTTTATCTTATCTCCCATAATGTATCTTTAACTAAAGTTAAAATCCAAATTTTAGTAGATACTTCAATTTTGATTGGCTAAGCACTAAAATAAATCTAGTATTATCCAATCAAATTACTAAAATTTGGATTTTATCTTAGTTAAAATTTCGTGAAACAGGCCCCAGATTGCTAACCATAGGTAATTCTAGACAAATTGTCTAACCATTATGACATTCTAGTGGAGTTGTCTGATCAGATGACATTCTACACCAGTTGCCCAACGTGTCTCATTCATCACTCCCATCCTGGTTAAACACTATTTCGGCCAGTGGCTGTATTGGTGCTAATAGGAATGAATAAATGAAATGGGTTTGAAGGTCCTACTTTTCTGATCCGTCTTGGCTAATGAAGACCGGCATATGTCAAACAGCGTATTGTGAGTGAAATTAAATTCTAATTGTCAAGGTGTACACAGGGCCTCATTTGTTTTGTCTCATCCGAACGACCAGGGTTTGTTCCTTGCCATGTAGGAAAATACTGAGGAACTTGCTCAGTTCCTTAACTGCCCCTCAACCTCACAGTACGGTTCAGTTCCTTAACTGCTCCCTAATCTCGCAGTATGGTGAAGTTCCATAACTGATCTCTAAGCTCACGTTATGGTCCAGTTCCCTAACTACTGTCCACCCTTAGTCTGGTATCTGGTTTAGTTACCCAATTGCTCCCCAACTTAACAGTCTAGTCCAGTTTCCAACTGCACCCAACCCTACCACAATTTCAAAACTGCTCCCCAACTTCCAGTCCTCTCCAGTTCCCTAACAGGTCCCCAACCTCACAGTTCCAGAACTGCTCCCCCACAATCAAATAATAACAAATAACTATATATTATATTGTCTATGGTTTATTACTGTATTATCACACAGACTATAAAATAGTTCTTCTATATGTAACTTTACAAACCATAGTATGATGTCATAACTATTAATAGAACAAATATCACATGACTGTCACATGACTCAGATCTTCCTTTCATCTTTAGAAGACTTATTACTATCTAATAGAATAACTTATTGAAACTTTGTCTCAAATAATGTAGCACTTTTTTATTGTCCGATTCATTTGGCATATTGTCATAGCACTATTAACAATTACAAAATTGTACAATTTTCCATCAAAAAAACTTTAACAAAATTTCTAGCATTATTTTGGTTCCAGCCATAAATTAAGTTCTTTCTTCAGTAAGTTTAGGAAATACAAATCAAGATTATTATTATGATTTGAGCTTTTTATAAAATTGTTATAAATAAATTTCACAGTAATCAGATGCATAATTTATATTTTCATAATTTCTCTATTTATACAAATACAAAATATACAATCCTGTTGTTTTATTATAACTAACAACTAGATTTGATGTTTAAAATCAGTTTCTGACCATAGTTTCGGTTGAACTTGGTTCATTCTTTGTCTCATCGACATTCAAATAAGGTTTCTTGTTATTAAATGTCTCAGAACTACAAATGTCTTGAATATTATTTAGAATAAACACTGCCTATTTCAAAATTATAAGGGTCTTACTTCATCCACAATCAAATCTTATTTCTCGCTTTTCATTGTCTCAGAGCTGAGAAAGTCTTGAATATTGATTTGGAGAACAATACTCACTCTGAATTATATGCGTATTCTTGTACAATAGATTGTCTGAGTTCATTTGTTAGACAATTAAAATCAGAAATTTCAGATTTATTTCATAGAACTTAGTTACTACATGAAAACAAACAGCCAGAAACCAATTTTGAACAAAGATTTTAACAAATTTCTAATCTTAAATTCACTCTCAGCACTTGCATACACTAAAAAATACCAATATGTATAAAGTTCCTAATATTGTCAATTTATTAATCAGCCTCTGCAGACTTGATTTTAGTCAATAAAGCATCACATGTTTTCTTGGCATCACCTAGCAACATAGCACTGTTCTCTTTAAAGAAGATAGGATTGTCTACGGCAGCATATCCTACACCTAATGTCCTCTTCATTACAATTACCTGAAATAAAACACAAACATATATTATTATTGAATTGTCAGATATCCTCTTACAGTCCCATATAACAACTTTTGGTCTTCGAAGGAATTATTAGTGAGTAGAAATTCGGCCGTGTATCTGTTATCACTCGTCGCTTCAGTCAGTTATATAGATTGGCGACTCGTGTTTTCCTTTGGTGTTCGTCACTTCCGATACGGGACACCTGTATTACTCATCTATTGTAGCAATGATCTCTGTGTTAAAAATATATTTGGAATGTGTTTAACCAGCTCTAACACATATGTGATAATGACTGGCACCAATATTGTCCTTTAAAGATACATTATGGGAGATTAGATAAAGAGCTGGTAGTTCTCACTATAATAGTGACAAGGAGTAGGGTCGCCTGTCCAACCTCGTGGGTTTTCTCCGGGTCCTTCGGTTTCCTCTCACTGCTAAAGACCCCTACGCGCAAGCGAATTATTGAAATAAAATTAAACCAAATGTTAGTCCCGAAATGACCGAGTTTATGTCGAAGGACGTTAAACCCCATTTCTCTCTCTCCCCTCGTGTTATACTATATTTTATTGTAAAGTTTATCAGGAGTTAAAATCTAAAAAACAACTAATTAACTAACCTGTTTTGCTAACCAGACTCGTAGAACTGGCATACCAGCAATGATGGAATTTGGATCTTCTTCTGCTGCTGAATTAACTGTATCGTTGGCACCAATAACAAGAGCCAGATCAGTTTGTGGGAAATCATCATTTAATTCATCCATTTCTTGTACTATATCATATGGTACACCAGCTTCAGCTAATAATACATTTAACTGACCAGGCATACGACCTAAAATATACAACAAACATTTCTATGGAAACAATGTGTAACTTCAACTCTAAGATGAAATATTATTGATTTTGATTTATTAAAGCCGAGAATCAAGCAAGGATTTGAGTTTGGAATGTTTTGATGGAAACTTTAATCCATAATTTCTACGACATAATCTAGAATCTGAGAAAGTATTATATATATTTTTTTGGGACAAGGATTTGAGTCTTGAGATATTAAATGTGTATGTCTGGACCACTGACAAGGGCACACGATGCTGGCCAACTCCTGAGGAATTTTCTCAGCCACTACAGCTTACTAGGACTAATTTGGATGCAGACTTTAAACCACCAGCAACTACAAACGGTGTTATAATGACGCTCCATCATTTAACAATTAAATCGGATGTTAACCCACCAGCCATTTCAGTGTTTTAATGACGCTCCATTATAATTTAACCATTAAATCGACTTTAAACCACTACCAACAGCTATTACTAACAGTCTTGTAATGATGCTCCATCATCATTTAACAATTAAATTGGATGTTAAACAGCTATTACTAACAGTCTTGTAATGATGCTCCGTCATCATTTAACAATTAAATTGGATGTTAAACAGCTATTACTAACAGTCTTGTAATGATGCTCCGTCATCATTTAACAATTAAATTGGATGTTAAACAGCTATTACTAACAGTCTTGTAATGATGCTCCATCATCATTTAACAATTAAATTGGATGTTAAACAGCTATTACTAACAGTCTTGTAATGATGCTCCATCATCATTTAACAATTAAATTGGATGTTAAACAGCTAATACTAACAGTGTTGTAATGATGCTCCATCATCATTTAACAATTAAATTGGATGTTAAACCACCAGCTGTTATATTGACGCCCAAGTGTAATTAATCAAACTACTTACCTGCTACAGGATGAATACCAAATCTAACATTATGTCCTTTCTTTCTTAATGTACTGACCATCTCGGCTATAGGATACTGGGCTTTAGCTACACATAAACCATAACCTGGCACAATAATAATATTCTTAGCCTCATCGATCATCTCTACAGCTTGATCAACATTCACCTCGGTATGAGTTCCGGTAATCTCCATGGGTTTTCCTGTTCCGGTAGAACTTGTTCCGTATCCTCCCAATATAACATTAGGAAGAGATCGGTTCATAGCCTGCAATACAAAGTCAAAAAATATCAAAGGCAAGTTTAAAAGTACCAGAAAAATCTTTCAGGATTAAAAATGTCCAACAACAAAAGGCACAACTATTATAATATCTTGACCAGAGTTTGGGGCTGTTTTTGTGTACAATTGTTTCGTCTATAAACATTATAAACAAGCTGTGGAAAATTTTATATTTTCTGAAAAATGCAAATGATAAAGCTTTATAACTCTTTATGGTTGAAGATAGATCTTTGAGAGATAGACAAATGGGGTAAAACGTCCCCTTGACACAAACTAGGTCATTGTTGGACTAACATATGGTTCAATTTTATTTCATTAATTTATTTGTGCATAGGGGTCTTTAGCAGTGGAAGGAAATTGGAAAATCCCGGAGAAAACCCATAAGGTTGGACAGGTGACCCAACCGCTTGCCACATACAAGCGGGGAATCGAGAACATGCCTCTTGTTTCAATAACATGCGTTAACCATTCGACCAGCCCCCTAAATTGACCTTTGACCTACCTTACACATGATGTATGATAGAATGGCACCAGAAGAACCAATCAAAGCTCCGACGATAGTCATCAGATTATTATCTAACATAAAACCTTCAGCACATAATGCCCAACCAGAATAACTGTTTAGTACGGTAATTACTACTGGCATGTCAGCACCTAGAGAGAGAGAAACAGGGTTTAATATTCAACCAGAATAACTGTTTAATACGGTAATAAATACTGACATGTCAGCACCTATAGAGAGAGAAACAGGGTTTAATATTCAACCAGAATAACTGTTTAATACGGTAATAAATACTGACATGTCAGCACCTATAGAGAGAGAAACAGGTTTAATATTCAACCAGAATAACTGTTTAATACAGTAATTACTACTGGAATATCAAGGACCTGTAAAAACCATGATATTACTAAGTGAACCAATTCTAAAGATCTAATAAAATTGAATGGGGTTTAATGTCACATCAAGAAAATACTTTCATTATTTTGAGACTAACATAATATGTCCGTCGACAGATTTTGAATTCCTGGCCTATTCCAAAATTTACAGTCATGATGAATATCGCTTCATTTGGCATCCTATTCGGATGATAAAAACAAGGGGGTAAACTCTTTTGATATTTGGTTTCGTTTCCTAAATAAGTTGAATCGATTGAATATAATTTTTTAGCTAATTGTATAAATAAAAGTATGGTACCTCCAATAGCTGCTGTTAAAGTTACACCCATAACACTGGACATAGCTGTAGTAATACCCAACATAGTGAGTAAAGTGTTAGGTTCATCACTGTACATATAGGTACCAAATGCTGCAACATTCGATGCCATCATAGATGCATTGAGAATATTTCTACCGGGTAACAAAAGAGGATCAGATTTCAGGACACCTGTAATACATAAATAAATCAATAAATAAAATCCTACTTTCTATGTAATCTGTTAACCAACATTAACGAAATGGATGGGGTTTAATGTCCTACACTTGGTTAATGAAGACAGACATAATCCATACAGTGTGCTATGAAGATACATGGCCTTCTCTTACTTCAAATTCTAACTGCCAAGAGTTCTTTTACTTGCATGCCAATGTGTACACAGGACCTTGTTTATCCCATCCAAACAACTAGACACAACCAAGGACCTCTTTTTTTTTTTTTTTTTATCCCATTCGAACAACTGGACACAAATTGTCAGTTCCCATTTTTATCCTACACATCTGACCAGAAGGAAGCTATGCCGTAAAATCCTGAGGAACTTTCTTGACCAACATCGGGAGGGAATCCCAACCACAACAATTAGGACCAAAACGTGTTTTGATTCCAGTCAAAATTAAGCACTGACTCGGGTTGACCTCATGTGTCGCTTAGATTATGGTGGGGCATACTGTCTACGATTTGACCCCATACTGAAATTCCTTATCCAAATACAACAATTCGATAATTAATATTACTTGGCCATCTTTTATTTATAGACTCACTTTAACTTCATTGAAAAGAAACAAGCCAACAGTAAGACTGATGTCGAAATCCCAAAATAAATAGATGACACACATGGATTATCTTTTTCAAAAGTATTGAGCAATCAAACTGATTATCTATACTTAATCTAAGAATAAAATGTTCACGATAAAAAGAGGGACAGACAGACAAAAAAAACTTTTAAATAGTCCCCTATTTTCTTTGAAAGGCAGGGACAATTAATTTTCATCACAAACCTACCTTGTAATTTACCGAAAGCAATAAGAGAACCAGTGAATGTGACACCACCAATAAATGTTCCAGCGAAGAGGAAAGATTTAATCACGTTACTAGCGGGGTCCGTTAAGAAATGTGGTTGTTCTAGAAGATGATTTGCGAAACATGTCAATACGGCAGCTGCTCCGACCAAACTGTGAAATAAGGCTACCATCTGTGGTAAATCTGTTACTTCAATTCGTTTAGCAGCTACAGCACCTATTAAACCACCTGTAAAATACAATCAGATCCATTAATACAATATCACCTATAAAACCACCTGTAAAATACAATCAGATACATTAATATATCACCTATTAAACCACCTAGAAATACAATTAGATCGATTAATACAATATCACCTATTAAACCACCTGTAAAATACAATTAGATCGATTAATACAATATCACCTATTAAACCACCTGTAAAATACAATCAGATCGATTAATATATCACCTATTAAACCACCTGTAAAATACAATACAGATATATATATATACAATTTATGTTAACAATTGGATGTCAGTTAATACTGGGCCGTTTCTCGAAATCTTAACTAAAGATAAAATCCAAATTTTAGTAGATACTTCATTTTTGATTGGCTAAGCACTAAAATCAACCTAATATCATCCAATCAAATTACTAAAATTTGGATTTTATCTTAGTTAAAAATTCGTGAAACAGGCCCCAGATGTGTAAATATAATTTATGTTAACAAATGGATATCAATTAATACTGATGAATGACAACATTTCTAATTTCAATTATTTAAGTCATTGGCCAGTCTCTGAAAAAGTCGATTTATTTTAATAGACGGATCATTACTTCGGCTAATTTGGGAACATGTTATCCAGTGGAATTTATCCGAAATGTACAGTCTATCTCCAGACTAGACATGCCATAAAATGAAAACGTCATTTTTCTGCAATTGGTTAATGATGGGCATACATACAGTGTACTCTGAGAGACATTTTGCCAGGACAGCAGAGCAAGGCCTACTTTTATTTCAAATTCCAATCTTGGTTTTCTATCCCATCCATGTGACTAGACATTGTCCTTTTCCGGCTCTCCGTCTTGCACTCGATAAATTAAAATAAATATACGTACCCAGACCCATACACGCAGACATTTGTACCAATGTATCTAGATTAGGTTTTATGATTCCTAGAGTTGCTGCTATACCAGATGTTACACCAATCATACCCAACACATTACCTAAAATAATACATCACATAATAGTATGCTAGATGTTACTCCAATCATACCCATCACATTACCTAAAATAATACATTCTATACCAGATGTTACTCCAATCATACCCAACACATTACCTAGTAAAATATCATATAATACATTTTATACCCGATGTTAATCCTATCATACCCAGCACACTACCTAGTAATATATCATATAATACATGTCTAAAACATAATAATATACAACAGATTTGTTCAAGGATAGAAACCTAGACTTGGCTGACTGAAGAAACAATAGTCAAATGAATTTCAGTTAATTTCCACAGAAGAGAGTTCTGGCACTATGACATACATGCTCGCTTTGGAGGATGCTGCCTGGACAATTTTATCATGCAGTCTTCCAACAAAACTTTGATATCATCGCTCTAAGTTAAATCAAGCCGTGCAGTTTCAACAAGGTTTCTCTAGTTTTGTCAAGCAATGATATCAAGCCAAGTTAAAATGTTGATCAGTATTACTGTAATTGTATTCCATAAAATTGCACTCCAAATCTTATCTGCACCCAGATTAGCTTTAACAGAGAGAAATGGAAGTTAACGTCTACTTGACACTAGGTCATTTTTGGATTAACATGGTTCAATTTTATTTCAATTATTTGCTTGCGTGTAGGGGTGTTTAGCAGTCAGAGCAAACTGGAGGACTGTGAGAAATCCAAGAGGTACAAAAAACAACCCTACTCCTTGTCACATACAAGCCAGGAATCGAAACTACGCCACTTCGACTCGATGACAGACCTCACATGTTAACCATTTGGCCACCCAAATAGCCTTAAAAAGCGTGACCTTGTACAATACATACCGATTCTGGCTGTTTTCTGGGATGAGAGACCTGTTAAAGCTCCGACACATGATAAACCGGCAGCAAGATAAACCATCTGATGTATATCAGGATAGTTACCAGTGTTACCTAGGTAACCATAACCACCCAGAAATAAAGCCGCTGGTAAAGCATATAAATAATTATACTCTGGTGGATCATCTGAAACAAGGACAATCATTGGTTGATACAACAGTAACCCTGGTAATATATCATTAAACACAAAAACCTGGAAAAGTCTACTACATGCTTAGATTCAACTCAAAACTTGTAATGGTATACAACCCAAATATACCACTGCAGGTATTTAACTTTTTTCCTCCATTTTAACAGTTTCACAATAACAATATGCATGATGATTGAAACATCCCCCTCCTCAAATTTAAAGAAATCAGAATAATAATAACATATTTTAGCCATCCTAATGGGATTGGAATCAATTCCCAATTCATGATCACCCAGACTTAATATTATTGAATTAAGTTATCCAGAATTACAACAAAACACTTTGCAAATGAAAATGTTCCATCATCAGATTCAAGATGATACAGACTTCAAGACTAAATCGGAAAACATAAAAATTCAAGTCCAGAACATACCAGGTCTTTTGAACATGTCCAACATTCTTTGTGTGACGACAAAGCCTCCACCAATATTGATAGAAGAGATGAATGCAGCCAAGGCAGCTAACGTATGAATGGTGTTTGATGGGTAATATCCACCACCCATCAATAACAAACCACCTGCGGCAGTTATACCAGAAATGGCGTTAGTGACAGACATTAGTGGGGAGTGAAGAGCTGGTGTGACACCCCAGACGGTGTGATAACCTGAAATATACAAATAAACATACATGACACTGATTAAAGGAAAGGGGAGAGAGAGAGGGAAATGAGGTTTAACGTCCACTCAACACAAACTAGGTTATTTCCGGACTAACATATGGTTCAATTTTATTTTGATAATTCGCTTGCATGTAGGAGTCTTTAGCAGTGGAAGAAACCCACGCGTTTTGACATGTAACCCTACTCCTTGTCACGTTCAAGTGGGGAATCAAAACTAATCGGCCACCCACCCCACCCCTGCATCTTATTAAAAGGAAACAGTTATATGAAATTGACATCCAACAACACGGTATATGATTATGAGGTCATAAAAGGGGCCAGGTAGGATTGCTTTTTAATTTAATTTATATTTAGCAGAGTACCAAAAGCGATGGACACATTAGCCGAATCAAATGCAGCCAAAGATAGCCTAGTGTTTCAAATTCGCTCGAATGATTTGCCTAAATATCATAAATCAAGCATGTTTGATATATTTGCCTAGTGTGTCCGGTTTGCCGAAGCATTTGGCCGAATGAATTTGGATGTCTTTCGGCTAGAGTGTCCGCCGCTTAGGCTAGGTGAAATTCTAACTTTATGGCATGTAAATTGCTGGACAGCTAAATTCTCCAGATGTTTAATTTCACTATCAGCCAGACAAGATGGTTAAAGAAGGAAACAAAATCCCTAGCTCAACCAATCTACTTACCACATTAAAGACTAACACGACAAAACAATCTATAACCAATCAACACGATAAACAAATCTTGAACCTACCTACAATTCCTGATAAACCAAAAGTAGTAACCATGGTAGTGAAGGCAGCATTAGGTGAGGCAATACCCAAACCTGTTCAAATAAAAATATTGAATTACAAGACAGAATTATTAACAAAATATTACTAGGAAAAAGGTGGAATATTTTTCATATTCTCTGATCAGATAACTGTTCGGTATTCACAGAGGTATTTCGAAAGCGACTTTTTATACCTCTGTATAAGATGAATGACCTTTACAGAGAAAGAGATATGGGGTCTAATGTCCACTCGACACAAACTAGGTCAATTCGGGAGTAACATGGTTAAATTTTATTTCAATATTTAGTTTGCTCGTAGGGTCTTTAGCAGTGGGAAGAAACCGGAGGACCCGTAGAAAACCCACGAGGTTTGACAGGCAACCCTACTCCTTGTCACTCACAACAGGGGAATTGAAGCCATGCCAGTTGACTCAATGACAAGCTAAATGATGCATATACCCATTTACACTAAATTTGAAATATTTTTTATCTAGACATACTTCAAACATCTTTATTTTTCTAACAGTTCAAAACAAATTTTTTTAAATTTTTTTAAACAATATTTTTTTTCAGATTTGTATATGACTAGGGATTAGGGAACAGGCATAGACTATATTAAACTCCTTTCCTTGAAAAAAGTTAATATTGCGAGCTAATTAACCCGCAACCATGTCATCCCTCTCAGTGATTGTAGTGGCTTAGCGAGTATTCACTCCTGATCAGTGTATAATTAAGCTAACAATAATCAATAAATATCAGTACATACCCAAATACAGTAATATATAATTTCATATAAAATACCATCTTTGCTGTGTGGAAATGGTCTTGTCAAATACACGCTTTTAAGTCAGCATAACCTGGGCCCCTTTTCTCAGAATCTTAACTAAAGATATAATCCAAATCTTAGTAGATACTTCAATATTGATTGGCTAAGCACTAAAATCCACCTAATATTATCCAATCAAATTACTAAAACTTGGATTTTATCTTACTTAAAATTTCGGGAAAACAGGCCCCTGAACACACGTTCACGCAAAGTATATTTACCTAAAGCAGTACCAAACCCTGTTGTATACACTAAAGAATCTTTTAAAGTGATGTTAAAATAGTTAGGTGGGGGTGGGGGTACTTTCTCTACAGGTGCAGGAGCTGCAGCAGCAGCTGCGGCGACTGCCGGGTCAACTTTAGGTGCTGGTGGGGGCCACATCAATTTACCCTGAAAATAAATATTTTATAACAATACAATTTGGTTTAAACAGGGTCTTTAGCAGTAGGATGAAAATAAATGAAACCCATTCGAAATGGTTCAAAGGTCAGCAAACAAATTGGGTCCTTTTTTTTTTTTAACAAAAGAAGATAGGCCACACAAAGAGTGGAAATGAACCCACAAAGCAGCAATATCTCAAGGAATGCCCATATTTAATAAGAATCTAGGATTGTTCAAGAAAGCTTATCTCTATCATGTTCACAACATTATCTGGACAAATAATATATCTCTGTACCAGAGAGAGAAAAATGGGGTTTAACAGCCACTCGACACAGACTAGGTCATTTCGGGACTAACATATGGTTTAATTTTATTTCAATAATTGTCTTGCGCGTAGGGGTCTTTAGCAGTGGGAGGACGGGGGGAAAACCCACGAGGTTAGACAGGCGACCCTACTACCCTTCACATACAACCGGGGATACGTGCTAACCATTCGCCATCTAACCCCCCTATCTCGGTACCAGAAAATATTAGATTGCTGGAAATCAACAGGGTTCGTCCTTTCATATTTCAATGCGGGCGTATAAATAACGTTATAATCCATAAGACTGATTGATGCTGTGTGGGTTCTAATTCTGTATCAAATATTAGTAGTGTCAGATTTACCGACAGATGCGAAATGGCACCCTGTGGGATATAATACATGACTTGCATTGATGACAGATCTACAATATGAAGCACAAACTTCAGAACATTCACCACCAAACACCTCATAAAACAAGGAATGCTGGAGAGAGGGAGAGATAGAGAAATAAGGTTTAACATCCTACTGTTCTGCTCCGACTGGGCTTGACACTATAGACATAATTCCATGTATTGGTCTTTTAGCAGTGGGGGTAAATCGGAGGACCTTGAGAAAACTCAATGTTTGACAGATGACATTACTCCTTGTCAAGTAGACCCCCCACCCCACCCCCGGAATGCTGGTTAATGTTGAAACAAATCTCGAAACAGAAACTCACCTCATGCAAGATAATGGATCCTCTTACAACCTCATCTTCTAAATTCACATTATAATGTTCTTTTTCACCTGGCAATATTAAAAAAAACATTTTAAAAATACTTTTCATTTTATTTGAGAGACCATACTTTAGTTAACCAATTAGTGCTTAGACCGCTTGATACTACACCATCAAATCCATAGTTGTGGCTCAGACAAAGTGGTCCTACAATACAGAAACCTATTCACATATCTCAGGTGGACTGAGGTAGTCAATATTTACATGTACGAGGTACTAAAGAGTTAAAGGACAATATTGGTGCCAGTCATTATCATATATGTGATAGAACTGGTTAAACACGTTCCAAATATTATTTTATCACAGAGATCATTGCTACGATAGAATTCGCCCATGTATCTATCACTCGTCACTTCAGTCAGTTATATAGAGGGATAACTCGTGTTTTCCTTTTGCGTTCGTCATTTCCGATTGTTGCAGTATTGATTACACCTCTATCGTAGAAATGATCTCTGTGATAAAATTATATTTGGAACGTGTTTAACCAGTTCTATCACATATGTGATAATGACTGACACCAATATTGTCCTTTAAACATGACACCACTAACTGTTGGCGTATAAAAACGTGGCAGTATCTGAGAACCAGAATATTTTTTTTGTGTGGCCATCCACATTTTTTTAGAGAAAACTAAATGCAATCAAATCCCATTAAATTTGCATATTTATCTATATCAATATTTTCTGAAAAGGATTGACAAGTTTACCTTTCATAAAATTGAACGTACATAATCTACTAAACACTACTAACCTATAGACAAAAGAAATTTAGAAATATTATTTCCATATAAGGAACTAGATTGGGTTGGTAGACGACTAGGGAAATCTGTATAACCAATATGGACGACGTCGTTATAGCGATAGAGTTCTCCTGGTTTAGTTGTTTCAATATTTCCACCAGCTTCCGAGGCCAGATCCACCACAACTGATCCAGGTTTCATGGATTCAATCATTGCCTATATCAAAATAAAAATGGAATAACATCTGTGGACAAAACCAGAATTGAAAGCTTCATAAATTCTTCAGACATTTATTTTGGAGATTCATGAAGACTAAAGGGAGATAATTCTTGTGAATTTGATTGCAACAAATCAATTTTAATAATGATAATTTTGGTTTATGTGCAGTGAGTGTCATTTCAAAAACGATACAAAGCATAAATACAGGGTGACCCTGATGTCATAGGGTCAAAAGCCGCTTGTATGACCCCTGACACAACTTGTCAGATCTTCATGTAGTGTGGGCCATCGAAAGTATAAAAAAAACGAAACGAAATACAGATTGGCCAGTTGATATTCCCGGAATGAAAGACTTGTGTTGATCATAAGAATATTTTAATGTCAGAACTGACCTTTGAGATCAGTTTTGGAGCAGGTTTTCCTGGGATAAGAGCTGTAGTTAATAAGATATCGATTTCTTTACATTGTTTAGCAAACAAGGCCATTTCTGCTTCAATAAATTCTTTGGACATAGTTTTAGCATAACCACCAGTACCTTCACCAGATTCCTGTAAAAATACATATTTAATCAGAGGCATGTAAAAACAAGTTTAGATTTAATCAGAGATGCAGTTACAAATTAGCAGGAACATTTTTACAATATCTTAACTTTGTACTTATCAATCTGAACGATTACCACCCTGTAGTTGGTAAAATGTTACTGCCTTGTCAAATGTTACCACCCTTAACCTAGGCAAAGTTGACGACCCCTCAACTTGTCAATGTTACCATCCTCAACTTGTCAATGTTACCACCTCTCAGCTTGTTGAATGTTACCACCCCTCAGCTTGTTGAATGTTACCACCCCTCAGCTTGTTAAATGTAACCACCCCTCAACTTGTTAACTGTTACCACCCCTCAGCTTGTTGAATGTTACCACCCCTCAACTTGTTAACTGTTACCACCCCTCAGCTTGTTGAATGTTACCACCCCTAGGCTTGTTGAATGTTACCATTCCTCAGCTTGTTGAATGTTACCATTCCTCAGCTTGTCAAGTATCACCACCCTCAACTTGTTAAGTCTGGGATTGGGAATAGTTGTTAACTGGGGAAACCATCTTAATAACATCCCTAATTCTTTCAATTTAGCTCAAATAAATACCTTTATATTGACTTCCAGAAACTCGGCGCCAAATGATTCTACTTGCTCTTTGACAGCTGCACGAGTATCAAAACCACGGACAATGGCTCCCAGATTTTTAGCTGTACCAATGGCCGATAAACCAGCCACACCTCCACCAATAACCAGAACTTTTGCTGGTTGAACTTTACCTGCAGCAGTAATTTGACCTGTAATAACAAACATTTAGATTTTTACTTAATACAGTACCAAACAAAGAGAAATGAGGTTTAACCTCCACTCGACACAAAGTAGTTCATTTTAACACTAATAAATGGGTCTAATTTATTTTAAGAATTTTCTTGCTTGTAGGGGTCTTTAGCGGGGAGAGAGAGAGAGAGAGAGAGAGATGGGGTTTAATGTCTACTCCACACAAACTAGGTCATTTCTGGACTAACATATGGTTCAATTTTATTTCAATAATTTGCTTGCGCATAGAGGTCTTTAGCAGTGGGAGGAAACCAGAGGACCCGGAGAAACACATGTGGTAGGACAGGCAAAGGGGCCTTTAGCAGTGGGAGGAAAGTAGAGGACTCGAGACAAACCCCTTTAGGCTGGACTGGTGACCCTATGCCTTATCGAAACCATGCCACTTGATTCATGACAGGCCTTAAGATCTTAAGTGCATGTTTTACCAATTCACGACTTAAGCCCTAAAAAAAAATATCAACTCCTAATTACGACTATCCTTGAAATGGGAAATTGATATTTGGAATTTGAATTAATATTGAGTTAAAAGATTGGACTACTTGGGAGTTTTCGAGACTAAGAACCCATAACGAGGTTTTCATACCTGCAAAGAACCGTGGAAAGTTGTTTGCTGCTTCAATAACTGCCTTATAACCAGCGATATTGGCCATAGAGCTCAATGCATCAAAAACCTGAGCTCGGCTGATTCGAGGAATACAGTCCATCGCAAACACGGTCAAATTCTTGGTGGCCAATTTATCAACCAGATCTTTGTTTTGGGCGGGGTACAGGAAGCTGATGAGTGTTCCGCCATTTTTAAACTGATCCACTTCTGCCAGACTTGGTCCACGAACTTTCAACAAAATGTCAGATTTATATAAATCTTGGGTGTTTTTGATGTTGGCCCCTGCTGCCGCGTAATCATCATTCTTGAACTTGGCTTCTATACCAGCATTCTCTTCTACATTAACATTGAAACCTTTCTTTGTCAAGACCTGTACCACGGCTGGAACTGCGGCAACCCTCTTCTCATTTGGGAAAGATTCCTTGGCGATACCAATGGTGATATTGCTGTAAGGGGTTCCAGTAACTTTCGGGAGTTCCTTCTCTGCCTTTTGACAATACTGACGACTGTTTGGTTTCAAACCTCTTGAAGCTCGGACAGAAAATTTGTTGAGTTGAGATCCAAAGTTGTCAGCCAGAAATCGAACTTGCTGGACTCGTAGCAACATCTTGACAGCAGGCAGCTAGCAGCAACTGAAATATACAGGTTTAAAATTTAAATAGTACAATAGGCCCGTGATCGATCCTTGCGTTCATCGGGATTTTCTGGCGTGGTTCCACCTTGTCAGTGATACAAGACAGAGGGCCTGGCAAGGGACATGTATAGTCATTCGGATTGTACACATCCCCCCGCCCCCTAAGGCCATGTCTAAACATTGGTTTCAACGTTGAAGAACCCTTGATGGTTGAATCCGACATAAGAGAAGGCTGTACTGCCACTGTCTGGGCAAAATTTCCCTCATACATGTAGGCTAATAAACATGGGAATAAGCCATGCAGTGTGCTATGATGGACACTAAGTTAATTTTGATTTAATTAAAAGATCTGATGAAAAGTTCTAGTTTTTGTCTGTTATTTCATTCCATAATGAGAGATCTATGCAAATGACCTTTCTGCTAACTATAGGATATGTACTAGAGCTGCAACGATTCAGTTCGGTGCACCGATAACCGACACTAGCCACCTCTGTTCGATCCACGATCTAGAACGTTCAAATTTCGATTCGGTTTAATTGCAAATTAAATTTCAAATAAAAACAATGTACACCTTACCATATGAAAAAAAAAATGAAAGACCTGAAGCAATTAAGTCCACTTAAAATTTAAAAAAAACTTTGTTTTTACGTAACTCTTAATTTATGTTATTTAACAAGACACGAATGTCATTCGAAAACATAACTATAACAGAGTGACCTCCCTTTAAAACAATTTCCGTATGCTGACGAAAGTTAATTTACTTAAAATTGGTGGCGTACCGAATGTTCATTGGATGTTAATTTAGGTCAATAGCTTCGGTAATCGTTATATAAATTCTAAACGATCTCATTAGCTGATAATTCCGGTCATTATCTTCGGATATTTTCGTGTTTAACGATTATTACCCGTAGTCAAGCAAACACGACTGGAAGGTAAAATTATGGCAGACGACGTACTTTCTCGACCACCTGGTCATTTGAAATCTAAAGTTTGGGATCATTTTGGTGTAAGAAAACTCTAAAGATGTGCCAACTTGTAGAGTATGCTACACTGACATATCCCATAAAACAGGAAACACAACAAACCTGTCAAACCAATGAAAGTGTTCAAGAGAATTTGAGTCTTGTGTTTTCATTGTTTTTAATGAATTATACACAGGAAAAATTACTGGCTATTGTAGCTGATAATCGAATCGAATGGTTAAAATCGATAATCGAACCGAATCGAGGTAGTTGTGAATCGTTGCAGCCCTAATATGTACTATGTAGCCTACATTGTACATTTGACTTTGACCAAACAAGTAACATGGAGAATCACAGGATCACATAAATAAGTTTATCTTAGCTGTGTCTTCAGAAATGAAATGAAATGGGGTTTAACGTCCTACTGTTTTGCTCCGAACTGGGCAAATGAAAATGGGCATACGCCATACAGTGTGCTATGAGGGAAACTTGGCCCAGAGAGCAGCACTATGGCCTATTCTTATATTGATTTCAACAGTCAAGGGATCTTTTACGTGCACGCTAATGTGTATACAGGACCTTGGATTTTAGTACCATTCAAATGACTAGACAGCTGTCCTTGTCCGGCCTTCTGTCCTGCATCACTGACAAGAGGGAACCATGCTGTGTCTTAAGGTCCAGCACGATACGCAACAGACAATCAATATAAAATAATTATTATAATACTCTAACTGGGGTAATATGTTCTCTGCTGTGCGTTTTAGGAACAATACAACATTAGGCAAGATTAGATAAAGAGCTGACAGTTCTTACTATAATAGTTAAATAGATAATGATATGTTAAAATTTTCAGTCAAATTGCTTCACTCCGAACCAAGATATTAGAGATTCAATTTAGGCTAGCCTCGATTGCCATTAATATTGGTACGATAATAAACAAAGTCTTGTTTATCCATTTACATCAAATCCATTAATTATCGCAGGATTACGATAAAATCGAGAGTTGATAATGGTCTGGATGAGTTAATGTCTAATAATTTAGATAATATTTCAGACCTAAAGAAAGACCTTCAATAGGCAGATTTAGCTCTTGCGTAATGTATGTTTAATAGCTTCGACACTATCAACCTGGGTAAAAATATCTGAATTTGAACACTGGGCACTAACATTTCTCACCAGACATGTTAATAATAATGAGGACTCACGGTGGCTAAGTGGGTAAGACGCTGGCACGCTAGTCTGGAGTGTTCAATCCCTGCATTGGCAGAGAAAATTCATCAGGATTATCCAATATGGTTTCCCCGTGTAAGTGGTGCTAGACGGAGGACCTGACAAGAACAGCTGTCTAGTCATTCGGATACATTGGCATGCACGTAAAAGATCCCTTGGCAGTTGGAATTTGATATAATAGTAGGCCATAGTGCCGCTGCCTGGGCAAAATGTCCCTCATAGCACACTGTATGGCGTATGCCCTCTTCATTAGCTCAGTTGGAGCAGAACAGTAGGACGTTAAACCCCATTTCATTAATTTTTGATAATAAAAAATGAAAGGAGGTTTAACATGGTAACGTAATCTGGTCCGGGCAGAATGCTGCCTCTTAGACTCTTACTCATATTACACTACAGCTTTGTCTACTATTAGTACTATTTAAGTATTTTATGTACGGTACTCATTTACACTAAATAGGAAATCTTTTTATCCAGATATATTTCAAACGCCTTTATTTTTCTAATACGTCCTTTAAAAAAATGTTTCAGAATTTAGCACTGATGTCATCCCTCTCACTACAAAAACTAGTCTCAGTCTAGTGATTGCACTTTGTAGCGGGCAAGCGAATATTCACTGCTGATCAGTTTGGTAGCCTACCTGCCTTCATTTCAAATCAACAAAAAAGAACTAGGGCAGTAAACTAATACTGATAACATGTAGGCCAGCAATATAATAGGCCTAGATCAATTGCTAAAAAAGTAACTGTCACTTCACTGTACGATTCAATTACAGATAGGCCTAAAAAGGTTGTTTGTGTCAAGTAAGCTAAAAAAGAAGTGGGCTGACCGGCAATAGAATAATGACCTTCAGCGTGTTCCAGTCGTCTGCAAAGCTCATAAAAATAATTATTAGACAAAATACAGCCACTTACTTTGCATAATGAAGGACAGGGCCGTTTGATCTAAGTGATGTCACATAGACTAGTGCCAGTGTATCATTAACATTCTTAATATTTTAATTCTAAATTGGTCCAGAAATCCCGGTTTTAGAATGAAGCATGTGAATGGAAACGTGTTCATTTCTCAAGAACACCCATCTGTAACCTAGGTTTTCAACAAATGCACACCAATATATGACTAAATATTTTTGCAATATGTTAATGATAACTGTCACAAGCAATTCTATACTTTAAAATCAATTAATGTCACTTACATTTCGATATTATTGCCGCATTTGGGCAAACTATTTTCACCTTTACTTAGGTTGACTTCGATTCCACCGATACAGCTTCCGCGCAATCGTCACTTCACAGCCAATCAGTTAGCCAATATTGCGCACATGACCCAACACGGTGAACGAGTCGATTTTTACATAGGAGGAGTAGATATTAACCCGTGCCTAATCGGGCTTGAAATTACATTATAATACACTAGATAATCAACGCATTAGTGAAAGTAAACAAATAAAGTGCAAGCAATCTGTTTACCCGATTAGCGTCATGGTTCGTTAAGTGGCCAAGTGGTCAATTAACAGTCCATCACCCCTTTCGGTATTTTACATCGTAGCCCATGCCACTTGACGTTTTCTTTCCAACCTAGCACTTTGGAAACATGGCCAGCCCCGTCGCCTCAGCTTCTAAACTTCTGTGCCGTGTAGGCAATAGTTTACAGAACTTTTTGGCACCGGTTGCTGTCAATTCAACTCAAAAAAGAAATTGTAAGTATGGCATAATTAATTTTTTCCGCACCGTGGAAAACCCGACATTACAACGAACAAGTGGTGCACGTGCACGCGGCTTGGTTTTTAGAGTGGGCCATTTATTTTATGAAGGACGGACAAAGACAAATTTTATTTCTTGAAATTAAACAAATAAACAAATCGGTGTATGTTTATTTATTATCATTATTTGATGAAAATGTCAGTTTTGAATTGATGTATTGGAAATGTTGACGTTTTATTATGGAATTCAGAATTGGGTCATTGAAAATCGATTTTTGGCTGGATTGAATAAACTGTATTACAAATTTAAATCTGTTTAGGTAAAATCTAGTGTTTTGATTTGTGGGTAGTGATTGCTATCAGTGAGTTAGTGAAAGTCAGTGTCTATGTTGGTGCGAAACAATGTTGGAATTCATAGATTAAGATTTAAAGATAAGTAACTGATAGGCTACTAATACTAGCAATGCAAAAGCTTTTTTATATTTTTGAATCTGACTAAAACTGAATACTTACTAGCATTCTAGCCCCCTTCCCATTTAAGAAACAAAAAAAAAATTAAAAATTGGTTAAGAAATAAAGTTATTGCACTTTTAAGACCCCAAATTGATGGATGTCGGTATACACTTTTTTTAAAAATATGACAAAGAGATGACCGAAGACCATTTCTCAGCAACTATTGAAGATATTGGCATCAAATTTTCAGGAAATATCCTTCCGACCATTAACTATCTATTGGAATTTTTAAATTTGGGCTATACAATTTATTTGTTTTGATATGGGGTCTGCAACATGGATAAACAACCCAAATTTGGTTAATTTGCGTTGAAGACTTTTTAAAGATAGAATTCACATATGATGGACCTCAAATTTCGGGTATTGCTTTATGCTGGCAGAATTAATCCAACTTCCTAGACGGCTCCTCGATTTGTAGGTATCAAGGGATCTTTAATGTTCGCCGCTAATCCATACGTATGTACGTACGACCTTGTTTTTCATTCAACTTATCATTGTCAGGTTCTCTGATCCGCAAAACAAAGTGAATTCTGGGGATGGAGCACTGGACATCCCATACTCATCTAGCCCATTCTCTTTTCTGGCAACAGGCAGCCACGGTAGCTCAGTGGGTAGGATATTGGCTCACTCAACTTGATGTGCTGTGTTCAATTTCTGCATTAGCTGAGCAAGTTCATTGTGTTATACACACCATCCTCCCCCCATGTGCGCATAAAAGAAACCTCGACAGTTGGAATTCGAAATAAGAGTAGGCTGTTGCGCCGCTGTTTTGGCAAAGTTTCCCCTCATAGCACACTATAATGGCGTGTTCCCCCCACCCACGCCCCCGCCCTCTTCATTAGCCCAGTCGGAGTAGAACATTAAACCCCATTTCATTTTCTTGTATCAGATTCCATGTGGCTGTCATTTGATCACCAATAAAAGAGAAAGTAATTCAAGAGATAATTTTTAAACAAATTTAATTTTAGGGAAGTGTTATTGGAATCAATAAAATATTGTTACAATACAAGAGAAAGAATTCAAACCATGCAAAAGACTTTATACCCCTAAAAAATGCACGTGAAAATCATGCCTGAGAATCAGCTCACTGTTAGCAAAAGGGAAACTTGGTTTGACACGTTCACAATAACAAGAAAGCTGCCGTGGTCTGCACCCACATCGGGGGGAGTTATCTTTTCTTTTCTTCCACATGATTTGTTTTCCCGAGCTCTGGCACTAGTTCCAACGGTTGGTGAATGAAATACAGGTCAATATAGCTAGAAAAGGGGTCATTTTATGAGAAAATATGTTTACTTTCAGTGACGAGCGTCGTTTTTGCCTTTGTCTGATAATTTTATTTTTTCAAAATATAAAAAATCAGTCGTAAATACGTTTCTGAATGTCCAAACCACGCTCGACACAAACTCAGTTTTCTCCACTTCACGAAAAGTAAGAAGTCATCGGTGTTGGTAGTCATACACCTTCCCGAAGTCGCGGAACAAAAACGGCAGATTTTACGGTCAGATTTTTTGACAGTGATAAAAATAGTATCAGTGGCGCCCCTAGCGAGCTTTTGCATTGCTACTAATACTATCAGTGATAGTTGAATTTTATTAATGCATAAAAGCGCCCACTGAGAGCACCATGCAGCCTTGTGTATTGTATCATAGATATGCTTAAAAAAGACATCTATGCAGACAAAATGACAGGAACCATTACCATGGCGATTGTTCTCAACAAAGCTTGAATTTATGCCCGACAGGCAAGGGACTAAATTTAGGTCACTCAATGACATGAGTGTGAGTTTTTGTGCCCTCTCCCCACCCCATGAACAAATAAAAAATCCAAAAAAATCATGTGTTTTCACTGTCAATGTGGTTTTCAATGCTATGATCATAACGATAATGCCCATGAAGCAGTGTCAAACAGCTGCTAAACAACCCGTAACATGTCCCACACAACTCAAAATTTTGCCAGCCCCTGGTGGAGAAAACCCGTTCCTAATGGTATAAATATATTGTTTTTGTACCCCAGAGGATACTGTTATTTCTTGTGCAATATTGACGGATACCACACCCCAGCCGGCAGACATGACTCAATTTAAATTTTAAATATGTATGATTTTTATCAAACTAATGTCTTTTTTGTTTTTTTTCCTGTAGATGCTGGTCAGAAACGTATCAAGGTTGCCAACCCTGTTGTGGAATTGGACGGAGATGAAATGACTCGTATTATTTGGGAGAAAATCAAGGAACAGGTATTATAATTTATTACATCAAACCTATATTAAATACATGTAGTATTGATAACGACCCCATAATCGGTAGGACTTTTCACTAATCAATCAAGTATCCAGTTGAGAATCCGATACTCTCTAAAAGAAGATCTGTAGACCTGGAAATTAACGGTTTTAGCTGTACGTGAAATGTATTAATATCAAAAACACACAAGGCACTGGAATAATTGCCGATCAGAATGACAAGTTGCTAGGCCTATGTACCAGATTTCCAGACTGGCAGCAATATTATGAGAGAATAATGGTACCACTTGCTTGATTTTGCAGAAAAAAATTTATTTGTTGTATTTTCCGATCAAATATCTGGAATTGAGTTCAATTTGAAACGGGGGGGGTTGGATGACCAACCCCTGTTATACGTGACAAGGAGTAGAGTCGCCCGTCCAACCTCATGGTTTTCTGCGGGTCCTCCGGTTTCCTCCCACTGATTAAGACCCCTATGCGCAAGCAAATTAATGATATAAAATTATATCGAGTGGACGTTAAACCCCATTACTCTCTCTCTCTCTCTCAATTCGAAACCCCATTTCATTTGAATAATATAATTATTTAATGTTTGTTTATACAATGTATATTGCTTTTCTCATGCTGAGAGATTATTTTATTTTAATTAAACAGAAACGCCCAGTTGTCCTGTGTTTTTTATATTGTGAAGTAATAACTGGGTCACTGACTCACTCACTCTGCTTTTCTTTCAATGATAATTGCTTCAGTGTATTTTGACATATAGTATATGAAGATGATAATAATCACACGTATACACATGAAAAATTCACTTGACATAAAACATTCACTTCACAAGTGACATTGACAGCAATGACTTTATCTACAATAATTAAAGTAAGAAATGAGATTGACAGCAATGACTGTATCTACAATATTTAAAGTGACTTAGTGTAATGTCCAACAGGCACACAGTCATTCTTGGTATCCCAGTGATATCGTTCCATTCTACTCCTCTAACTGCTGGGAGAGACCGTCAAATTATCCACCCTTGATACGTCTATTTTTATCGACCAATTGAGTGTGCAAATTGAAGTAACTTGTATTTTTTTGGCAACTAAGATTATTATGGTGAACTTAAACATGACGCTAAGACTAGTATGTAAACTGTTTTTTGTACACCCACATTGAAATGTGGACTTATATTGCCGTCGCCCCTTCCGTTCGTCGTCCACAAGTTATGATCCGATTGTTTTAAAATTGGTATATATGTTCACATTGGTGAGATGAAGAAGCCTATTTAATTTCAATAATTTCCGTTTATATCACTGTTGGACGTTGTGAACGCTCTAACGCCAAAAGTTATCATCCGATCTTTTTGAAATTTATATGCATTATTTAAATTAGTGAAACGAAGAAGCCTATTGAATTTCAGCAATTTCCGTTTTCATACGCCCACATTTAAATGTGGTCGTATATTGTCGTCGCCCCCGTCCGTCCGGCGGTCCGGCGTCCACAAGCTTGATTGACTTTAAATTTATACACAGTGTTTAAGTACTTGAGACGAAGAAGTCTATTGATTTTCAGCGATTTCCGATAATTACTGCCAGAGTTATGGCCCTTGATCACTTCAAAAAATCTTGTGGACACTCTAGAGGCCAAAGTTAATATCCGATTGGCTTTAAATTCATACACAGTGTTTAAGGTCATGAGATGAAGAAGCCTATTGATTTTTAGCAATTTCCGATAATTACTGCCAGAGTTATGTCCCTTGATCACTTTGAAAAATCTTGTGGACGTTCAAGAGGCCAAAGTTAATATCCGATTGACTTTAAATTTATAATCAGATTTTAGTGTATTATAAATGTTTCATTACCGAAAATTAAAAATATGCGACAACCCTTGTTGACTGCCCGGACGATTTAGCTGCTGTGGGCGTATGTTTCGTTGCCTGGCAACCTATCTTGTACATCTAGAGTTATGGCCGTTGTTTTACTTTATTGAACCTTGTGAATGCTCTAACGTCAAAAGTTATCATTCGATCTTTCTGAAATTTAAATGCATTACTTAAATTAGTGAAACGAAGACACCTATTGAATTTCAGCAATTTCCGTTTATTATAATCTAAATTGTATGGAACTGTCTTGTAAAGGCTCCCAATTACCTACAAAGGAATAAATATGCGACAACCCTTGTCGACCGCTTGGACGATTTAGCTGCTGTGGACGTATGTTTCGTTGCCTGGCAACCTATCTTTGATTGGTTCGTAGAATCGAGCTACAGTCAAGGGCAGATAATTTTGAATTCGTGAAAAAAACTGTGGATGGACCCAGAGGTTAGTGGAGTAGAACAGAACGATACCACTGGGGGATACCGAGAATGGTTCAGTGTGCTATGAAGGAAATTTTGCTTGGACAGCAGCGTTTCCACCTACTCCTACTAGTCATTAAACTCTTACAGTCAAGATTCTTTTATGTTTCTGTCCATGAGTAGACTTCGTATAACATCCGTGCTGATTGATTAGACACTTTTGTCTTGGCATCGGGGACCAAAACCAGGACCTCTTGGATTTTTGAACGAGTGCTATGCTCCCCAAGCCACTGTGACTCCTTTTTAAGTGACAGGACAGAAAAGGAGTATTGGTTGATGTGAGGCAGGAATCAGGGTATGCTTACTCTTTCTGGGGCAGATTATCTCAAATTCTCATTGATCTGATCTCCTATTTAGGAATTTGACATACTGTTGCCAACACTCTTTGTTGTATTTTGTGACAATCCCTGGTATTTTTGACGCTTGAATGGATTTTGTAGCAAGTTGTAAAGTCAGCTGAATGTTATGACCTTTGACCTTGTAACATACATGTACTCTTAGGCTGACCTTAAAAATATCTTTGTTTCACCAAACCCGACCCACAATCGAGGAGAAGGGTCGGTAGGTCGGTTTTTTTTTTCAGATTTTTTTTTTAAAGTTAGAGAAATCAATACAGAAAACTTATTAGCTGTATACTACAGATTCATTAATTTTGTTTAATGAATTTGGGGTCTGACGTAAAAAGTAACGAACTGAAAGTTTTTTTTATTAAACTTAAGAGCTAATTTGACAGCTTAATAATTTTCCGGGTGGAAACATTCGTCTTCTTTATTCAATTGGCAAAAAAATCAATGAGTGAATGACATCTGGAATTTTTCGTGATGCCCGACTCGCACACGATTTGCCACGAACTTGAAGTGTGAAACTCCTTCAACACGTTTTTAACGATACTGCGGGTTGTGCCTTCATTTTTCTCGAAAACGGATATTGAAAATATCGTCGTCATGTTTAAAACTACGCACCACAGACATAGAAGCAGAATCATTTCATGGGAATGGACGTGTATTCGTCTGCAACCATTTTGTTGAGAAGCGACACCTATGACGCTTTCGTCTTGATCAACCAGTTTCAATAATGAATCAAACCATAGCCATAGTAAAGGGAAATAACTCTCGTGATATATTTCAGGTTGACACACAAAATAAAATAAAAAGATCGTGGAAAAGTGCAATAAAATAATTTAAGTCGGGGGTGGTTTTAGTTAGTCGGTCGCGTTAGGCGAAACAAAGATATTTTTAAGGTCAGCCTTACATGTATATATTATTCATCATAATACTTAAAGAGCTTAGTGTCCTTAATATGTTTGAAGGTTAAGTTAAGCCTAAGGGTATTCAATAGACCTCTGTATAAACTAGTGTATGATATATTGTTTTCTTGGGTAGATACATGCAATAGCAATGAAACCATAGTAAAAATAATATTCCTTTAAAAAAATTAACAAATTCTTTGTTTTATTTATGTATGGACATTTTCTGGGAATACGGTATTCGCCGTTATTTTTTGACATTTTTTATTTTACATACTTTAACGTATAGACTCCTGCCTTCACATACCGTACTTGAGTTTGATTGAAATAGCAATTATGTAACTGGTTAGGCTCATTAGTCTAGTTTTCAATCCCAGTGTTGGCCGAGAAGGTTAATCAGGATTTTTCGGTGTGATCCCTCTTTCGTCAGTGGTGCAGAACAATGTATAGTCGTTGGGATGGGATGAAAAACCAAGGTCCTGTGTACTCATTGCCGTGTACATGAAATAACCCTTGGCAGTTGGAATTCGATAGAAGAGTAGACTGTATTGCCGCTGTCCGGGCAAAATGTACCTCATAGCACACTGTAGGGAGTTTGCCTATTTTCATTAGCCAAGTCGGTGAAAACCAGTAGGACTTCAAACCCCATTTCATTTGCAATTTATCCCCATTTCATTTGCAATTTATCTCCAAGTCCTCCGGTTTCCTACCACAGCTGAAGACCCCTACACACAAGCGAATTATTGACATAAAATTGAAAAATGTTAGTCCCGAAATTACCTAGTTTGTGTCGAGTGGACCTTAATCCCCATTTCTCTTAAAATGGTGCACGAGGTCTTTTAATAAGACTATGGTAATTGTATTATGAACTGTGTGAACTAAATGGGAATGTAATTGAATACATGTAAATGTAAGTGAATAAGGAAGAATAGATATTGTGTAAAATAAGGTCAGGGTCCCTAAAATAACTGTGTTACTAACCTTGATTCGATACATATATATCTATGTGTACATAGACAATGATAGCTTTTATAACTTTCTATTTCTTATGTGTATTTACCCAATCTCAAGTTATACTAAAATAACTCTACTGCACATATATGCACAATCTCTCAACTGCTATAAATTAAATAAAAAAAATTAACTTTGTTAGATCATGCATATGGAGCGTGATATTAGAAAGAATTATAGTGTAGGCCACTATAACATTTAAATATTATGTGAGGGTAACTTTTTTTTTTTCTGTCGGAACAGCTCAAATATATACCTTTCATAAATAACATGATAGGAATGTTAATTTTACTCAATTCACATAAATAAATCAAAACAATGTCAGTCACACTTGTTACGCTATTGGGAGTAAATGCATAGCCTTGTGCATGGTGTCAAGCATAAGTTTGTCTTCTGTGGGAAGCCACGGTGGCTCGGTGAGTATGGTGCTGGCTCACAAAACAGGAAGCTCCATTTCTGATCCAGGTGTTGAACTAGAGAGGATTCTTAACCTGGTTTCCCACTGTCAGTCATTCAGGATGGAGGATATGTCAAGGGAACCCAGCCTTCTAGAGGCATTTGGATGGGACAATTTCCATACAGTTGCAGATCAAATTAGGCCTTAGTGCAGCTTTCTGAGGCAGATTTTATCAAAGCACAGTACTTGATGTATGCTCGTTTTCATAGTCCAGTCATAACTTTAAACCCCCATTTCATTTATTTTAGCTATGTGAACTCCTCAAATGAGAAATGGTGGCATCGGGTGTGACTGGTGGCTCATTTCCAAGCTTGCCCTTCCGGTGGGAGCTTGGATGGCCGAATTGTTAGCATGTGCGCGCTTTATCGGAAGGTCTGACATTGGATAACCAGGCATGGTTTAGATTCCCTGGTTGTATGTGACGAGGAGTTGGGTCGCCTGTCCAAACTTGTGGGTTTTCTCGAGGTCCTCCGGTTTCCTGCCATTGCTAAAGACCCCTACGCGCAAGCGAATTATTGAAATAAAATTAAACCATATGTTAGTCCCGAAATGACCTAGTTTGTGTTGTGGACGGAGGTTTAGCTCCATCTCTCTCTCTCTCTCTCTCTCTGCTCTGCTCTTCTGATTGCCAAACATGGTGGGCAACTATTACAAAAAACTCAAACACTGATTAAAATCTTTAAAAAAATAAGGCTTCATGTGGATTTGTCAAATAAATTGTTTAGGTATTCACGTGCTGATAAACCAGGTTATTTGACAGGTCAGATCTTGCTGTAGCCAGTATTTCCTAAAATATACGAGTATACTAATTATCAAACTATATAACAATAGCGTATATCATATAACCTAAAATATACGAGTATACTAATTATCAAACTATATAACAATAGCGTATATCATATAACCTGTATTATACTAGAGATAATACCAGCTTTATTAAAGTATTGATAGGTCGTTTATAGTTCACATAAACTTAGCCTATTATTACAATAAAAACCAATTATTTGTCCCTTATAAGATATACCAAAAATATATTACATGTTACTTGTACACACCCAATGAAAGTAATTCTAACTTTAATTTTAAAACATTCTATGCTCAATATTTAGGGCTCTATGTACCCCTTGTGCATCATTGCGTTGAAGTTAAGTTTATTGAAATGAGAATTATTGAAAGAAAAATGAACCATGTTAGTCCCGAAATGACCTGGTTTGTGTCGAGAGGACATTAAACCCCATTTCTCTCTCCTCTCCAGTTAATATTTCATTTGGGACTAATATTTCAAGCTGTTAACATAATTATGTTGTGCTTATTAATGACACTTAAGTTAACACAATTATGTTGTCTTTATTAATGACACTTTAAGTTAACATAATTATGTTGTCCTTATTAATGACACTTTAAGTTATCATTATGTTGTCCTTATTAATGACATTTTAAGTTAACATAATTATGTTTTCCTTATTAATGACACTTAAAGTTAACATAATTGTGTTATCCTTATTAATGACACTTTAAGTTAACATAATTATGTTGTCCTTATTAATGACACTTTAAGTTAACAATTGATAATTATTTCATACAGTTCTAGAAAGAAAAAGGGTTGCTAGAGAACATAGCATACTTAGTACATTTCATGATTCACATAGGTTTTATCTGTTTTGGATACTTAAGTAGGGCCTACACTTATTGATACAGATAGATCTTTATCTGTTTTTAGTTGTGTTTTATCTTTTTGGAGAAATTCTACATGTTGGAATTCAGCTATCATTGTGTCATTATCTGGTTAGATTAGGATGTAGTACAGTTCATTGATAGTTGATGATTGTCAATAGTCGTCATAGTTTTACTATGAAGTGTACGTCATGTCATATTTATCACTGGACAAGTTCTTGAGTAGAGATCATCCAGTTCTTATTCACTAACCCTGTGGTCCCGGTTCCATGATTGTCAATAGTGGTCTTAGTTTTACTATTAAGTGTACGTCATATTTATCACTGAATAAGTTCTTGAGTAGAGGTCATCCAGTGCTTATATTAAAGAGGCAGTATGAGACTGACTCGCCTACCGTGAGGTCGTGGGATTGACCCCAGTTTTGGCCTAGAAGGCTCCTCAGTATTTTCTGGTGTTTCACCTCAATGCTTATATTAAAGACAGGTTTTCTAGTCAATATTTTGAAAAATTGGGACCAAGGAGTAGACCTGCCACTGTACAGGGGTCGTTTGTTATATTTCACATGAATATAACTGGTCAAAGAAAACCTGGTAATAAGGCATGTGTCACAGATTTTGTCAGGCACAAATTCCATCCTTGGAGGTCACAATCCATTTGTTGCCTGACACCAATTCTAATACCTAACACATGTTCTGTACAAATGTCAAATGCTAGTTTATAAGTGCCCGACATTTTGTCATATCCATCTTTTTCTTCACATTGATTCATTTCATTTGCAAAGCTTATCAAGGTCCTTAATGCATTTTTATCATTGAATAATACCCTGAGAAATCGGGTTCTACATTTACCAAGAGCATGCAGACAGAGCATGACATCTATTCAATGATAACTACATTACATTCCATCAGATTTGAAATCATGTAAGTTAGCATGATCTACTCTGTAAAGGCCTGAACACATGGGAAGTTTATTTATACTACATATATAGTTAAACCAATTATTGTCAGAAAATATATTTGTATTACCGGTATATTGTACAACACTTCCTCATTGATATCTGACAATATCAAGTATGCTGGAATAAACTTGCAAAACATTTTAAACATTCTGTAGACCCTGATAGAATTTATAGTAAATCTGAAATGAAAAGTGTGTATAGGTCTTAATTCTACATGTGTAGGTGTGGATGTGGATCAGGTAACATATGGCAGGTGTTACTTATCTTAAAATAGTTTCTTACCTTTACCTGTGAGTTAATGGTCTTACCTGAACTATAATACATACCGACATGTGTATATTGTTATATACAATGTAGGTGAGAGAGAAATGGGGTTCAATGTTCACTACACATATCAGGTCATTTTGGGACTAACATATGGTTCAATGTTATATCAATAATGTTCTTGCGTGCTATGGTTTTTAGCAGTGGGAGGAAACTTGGGGACCTAAAGAAACCGCACAAGGTTGGACAAACGACCCTACTCCTTGTTAGGTACAAGCAGGGAATCAATGACAAACCTTAATCTAATGTGCACAAGTTAAACCATATGGCTGTCCAAACCACTTACTATGTAGGTAGAAGACAGGGAGGGGGGATCACGTGGCTAAGTGGGTAAGACGCTGGCTCGCTAGCCTGGAGGTTGGGTGTTCGATCCCTGCATTGGCCGAGAAAGTTCATCCAGATTTTCCGGCATGCTCCACCCTTGTCAGTGATGCAGGACGGAGGGCCTGACAAGGACAGCTGTCTAGTCGTTCGGATGAGACGAAAAACCGAGGTCCCTGTGTACACATTGGCATGCACGTAAAAGATCCCTTGGCAGTTAGAATTCGATATAAGAGTAGGCCCTAGCGCCGCTGCCCGGGCAAAATTTCCCTTCATAGCACACTGTATGGCGTATGCCCGTCTTCATTAGCCCAGGTTAGGAGCAGAACAGTAGGACGTTAAACCCCATTTCATTTCATTTCACTATGTAGGTAGAAGACAGGAGTTCTGTAATTTATAAGGGGGGTTGTGTAGCCAAATGGTGTAAGTTAATAGTCGAAAATTTGCTGTTTAAATCACAAGGTCTGTCATTGGCATGGTTTCGATCGAACTGAAATAACCTAGATTTCTCTCAGCTTGTGATCCTATCAGATTCCTTCGTTAAAAATATGGTTACGATTATCAAGTCTCGCGCTTCTAGCTAAAATGTCTACATGTGACAATCGAGTTGCAAAGTACATAGCACTCTTAAGGCATATGCGGGTCTTTATTAGCCCAGTCTGTGCCAAAAAGTAGGATGTTAAACCCCATTTCGTTTCTTTGTTCAATCCCTGAGATGTCCTAGCACACTTATGGCATATGCAGGTCTTCATTAGCCCAACTGTGCCGAAAAGTAGGATGTTAAACCCCATTTCATTCCTAAATTATAAAACTGTTTATTTATTTTCAGTTGATCTTTCCCTACCTAGATGTAGATTGTAAATATTATGATTTGGGTTTACCATATCGGGATCAGACCAATGATCAAGTCACGATTGATTCTGCTGAGGCCATCAAGAAATATAATGTTGGTATTAAATGTGCCACCATTACACCTGATGAAGAAAGAGTTGAAGGTAGGTAATCAAGTGATTGAATTCGGATTGAATTTTTATGATTAATTATTCAATTAAAACTATTGTTTCCTGGACTGTGATATTTATTAAATGTTTATTAAATATTTAAAAATAAAACAGAAATTCTATTGATTTAATAGCTTTATTCTTAGATATCTGAAATTGCACCGAAATCTGTCTAAAATCGGTCATTAAGTTGGAATGGAATATTATTCAAAGATTGAGAGAGAGAGAAATGGAGTTTAACGTCCACTCGACACAAACTAGGTCATTTCGGGACTAACATGGTGTAATTTTATTTCAATAATTCGCTTGCGCATAGGGGTCTTTAGCAGTGGGAGGAAACCTGAGGACCCGGAGAAAACCCACGAGGTTGGACAGGCGACCCTACTCCTTGTCACGTACAACCGGGGATTCAAAACCACACCAGTCGACTCAATGACAGACTTTATGATACAGCGCGCGCACGCTAACCATTCAGCCATCCAACCCCCCTTCAAAGATTGACTTAAAGTAATTGAATAGTAAAATCAGCACTGACTTAATGTAATAAATATTTTTAAAAAGTTACAAATGATCTTTGTATCTGAACTTGTGAGTTTCCAATGTAATAGTATCAAGTGTTCAAGAACAGAAATGTGAATGACGTCTAATATATCTTGAGTGTCAAATCAGATGGTGCATTTGATGGAGTAACTTCCTTGGCAAGTAAGGGGGGTCGGATGGCCGAATGGTTAGCACGTGCACGCTGTATCATAAGGCCTGTTATTGAGTCAACTGGCGTGGTTTCGAATCACCGAAAATATGTGACAAGGAGTAGTCGCCTGTCCAACCGCGTGGGTTTTTTCCAGGTCCTCCGGTTTCCTCCCACTGCTAAAGACCCCTACGCGCAAGCGAATTGTTGAAATAAAATTAAACCATATATATGTTAGTCCCGAAATGACTTAGTTTGTGTCTAGAGGATGTTAAACCCCAGCTTTGCATGTGTTAATAATAATAACGAAATTTATATTGCACAACAATTCATCCCACTTGGGATGCTCTAGGCGCATGAAAGTGTTCACGTGGGTTAGTTATAGTGACTAAACACATTTGATTTGAAGATAGACAATGTTTCACATTTTCGAATGAACCAAATTTCTTCATCTTATAAATCGGTACATCTAACAATAATTTATTCTCGGATCTGTGACCTTTTTGGTTGGTAGTGTGTCAAGAGATTCTGAAGATATCTTGGTGCTGTTTTACGTAATGTTTTGTATGTCGGAGTTAAAATTTTGAAGTTAATTCTTTCGTGCAATATTAAGTAGGACGCTGGTTCATTAACCAGAATGTCTGTTTCAATGCTGAATGTTTCATAACTTTCTAGCTTTGGTTAACCCTTGTCAGTGTTGGAGAAAGAAAAGTGTCTATACCATTTTGTAAGCATGTTAAGGATCCACCAACAGTTTAGAAATTGAAATAAGAGTAGGCTGTGGCGCTGATATCACAGCCACATTTTCCTCATAGCACAATGTATGGCATATGCCTGTCTTATTAGCCCAATCTGATTAAAATACAGATCTATTTTTCGTTTCGTTTTTTTTTATACTTTCGATGGCCTCTATTATTACATGAAGATCTGACCAGTGTTAATGGGGGGTCACGTCAGGGGTCATACGAGCAGCTTTTGACCCTATGACGTCAGGCATTTGATTAACCTATGAACGTTGTTTCTAGTTCTGTGAATCGCTCGTCAAGAACTCGCAACAGACTGTTTCATTGGCCAATCCCTCACATCAGCAGGTTATATAACAACTCTTCCAGATCCTATTGTAGTAAAGACAAGTAAAATGATATTTTGAACTATAAAAAACAAAATGAAATAGGATCTGTGTTTTAATCAGATTAGTCCAGTTGGTTCACAAAAGTTAAACTATAAACTAATGAACTCGGTTTGTTTTTTGTTTTCAGAATTTAAACTGAAGAAAATGTGGCTGAGTCCTAATGGTACAATCCGTAATATTTTGGGAGGAACTGTCTTCCGTGAACCTATCATCTGTCAAAGCATTCCCCGTCTAGTCCCTGGTTGGACTCAACCTATTGTCATTGGTCGTCATGCTTTTGGTGATCAGGTAAATCTAAAGCTCATTGTCAGACCTGTCAACTCCACTGCATTACGCGGTAATCGATTTCTACCGCATTTTCTTGCCAGAACTAAGGGACGCAACTCTTTGCATATAAACATATCAACATCGATTTGGGATATTGTAAGGTGTAATTTAGCTAATAGATTTGTTATCAAATTATTTTCAACCTATTTTAGAGTTAATAAAGTGGATATAATTATTGGCACGTGTTCCAATACTCTTAAAATGCGTATCGATAAAATAAACAAATAGCAACATGTTTACGGCAGCAATGGCTGACATTTTCGTTGTCGCGCGTACAGCATCAAATACAATATTTCGAATGCAGCACAACCTGGAACTATAATTGCATGATGAGAATACGTCTCGCCGATTCTGACTTACATAAAATGCTCTCTCGAATAAATGTAAAAACAGATTTTTGGAATCTCGGGAGAAAAAAATCCTGTACATTGTGAGAAGATAATCGCCAGGGGGGGAGGAGCATGATTAAATTGATCCGATATTAGTCGTTTTACAAAACTATTTTTTATTAAGTTTATTTTTGGCTACGTCATGTGTTATTCTCATTCATTCATTAAATGAAACTATTTACTTGTATGATAATAGAAATTTGGCCAAACTCATCACTGGGCTCCCAAATACGGGTGGGCCTTTGGCCAATGGCCTTCTATGCCTATTGATAAATCAGGCCCATCTTCTGAATTACATTTTCGTCTTTGAACCGAAGACTACTAGCCCGGTGGTCGCAGGTTTGCTACCGGTGTTGGTCGAGAAAGTCCATCGAGATTTTACGGCGTGGTGCAGGACATTCAGATCGAACAAAAAAAAACAAGGTCCTGTGTGCACATTGTCGTGCACGTAAAAGATCCCTTGGCAGTTGGAATTCAATATAAGAGTAGCCTATAGCGCCACTGTCTGGGCAAAGTTTCCCTCTTGGCACAATGTTTGGCGTATGCCCATCTTTAGCCCAGTTGGAGCAGAACAGCAGGACGTCAAACCCCCATTTCATTTTTGTACCGCACATGGAAATATCAATAAAAATGCTGGAAAAATACAAATCTTGTGTTGGACGAGATGACACGCACCAGAGGGGATTGTGCATGCTCAGTCTTACCATATGGTTTATCAAATTTGAAATTTAATGGTGTTAATAACGAAATTTGATTAATCTAATTCAATACTTTTATCCAGTTTTTGTATCAAAATTGTGAATGTTATTTTTTTCTTCCAGTACAGAGCAACAGATTTTGTAGCACCAGGTCCAGGTAAATTAGAAATGGTATATACCCCAGCAGGGGGTTCCCCTAATAGAATGGAGGTGTATAACTTTACCGAGGGTGGTGTATCATTGTGTATGTACAATACTGATGAGGTACGTACACTAGTAGGATATTAAACACCTATTTCATTTCTTTTGTGGCATGGCTCCACCTAGTCAGTGGTGCAGGAGAATCTATAGACATTTGAGTGGGACCAAAAAAAAACCCCACGGTGCACTTAGACTTAGTGGTTCAATAAAGAACAGTAGGATATTAAACCTAAACCCCTATTTCATTTCTTTTAGGGCATGAAATCAGTGTTGCACTACAGAGGGCCTAGCCAGGGACAATCTAGTCATTCGGACTGGACAAAAAAAAAAAGCAAGGTGCACATTGACTTGTCCATAAAAGATCCCTTGGCAGTTGGAATTTGATGTAAGTGTAGGCTGTAGTGCTGCTGTCCGGACAAAATTTCCTTCATAGAACACTTAAACTATTTCATTTGTTTTCTTTCAGTCTATCCAAGGGTTTGCCCATGCTTGCTTCCAGTACGCCATCATGAAAAAATGGCCACTTTACATGAGCACGAAGAACACCATCTTGAAACGTTATGATGGACGATTTAAAGATATATTTGAAGAAATTTACCAAAAGTAAGTAGCGTTAACACTGCTGTCCCAGCAAAATTATCCTACATAGCATTTACATGTGGCCATAGAAAAAAATAACTGTCTCAAAAGAACCGAAATAGTGTGTTCAGACTTTTAAACTATATTCATGTCCTTATATATGGGAGCTCCTGTTGCTCGGTAAGGCAATAGCTCACCAACCAGATCCCAGGATTGAGGATTGAAAAAGTTTGTCTTCATTAGGAAAATTACTGTCTTTCTGCTGTGGTTTCTTCATGTAGAGAGACACGGTGGGTAGGTGGGTAAGACGCTGGCTCGGAAGTCGGATGTTCGATCCCTGTTTTGGCTGAGAAAGTTCATCGGGATTTTCCGATATGGTTTCCCCCTTGTTGGTAGTGCAGGATGGAGGGCCTGACAAGGACAGTTGTCTAGTTGTGCGAATGGGTTGAAACACTGAGGTTCTGTGTATACATTGGCATGCACGTCAAAAATCCCTTGGCAGTTGGAATTTGATATAAGACTAGGCCAAAGTACCACTGCCCGGGCAAAATTTCCCTCATTAGCCCAGTCACCCCAGTCGGAGCAGAACAGTGGGACGTTAAACCCCATTTCATTTCGGTTTCTCCATGTAGTTCTGCTGTCTGGGCAAAATTTCCCTTATAGCACAATACATTGAAAACATGATATATTTCTATTGTGTTTTCAGACAATATAAATCTAAATTGAAACTATGATACATTTCTATTGTGTTTTCAGACAATAAAAATCTAAATTGTAAATATATATTTCTATTGTATTTTCAGACAATATAAATCTAAATTTGATGAATTAAAGATCTGGTATGAACATCGTTTAATTGATGATATGGTAGCACAATGTTTAAAATCGTCCGGTGGTTTCGTGTGGGGTTGTAAGAATTATGATGGTGACGTACAATCTGATATTGTTGCACAAGGTTAGTCATTTTGTTTATATTTTAACACAGGGTTAGTCTAAACAAGATCATTGCATTGGTGTACATGCAAAAAAACCCTTGGTAGTTGGAATTCGATATAATAAAAGTAGGCCATAGTGCCACTGTCGGGGCAAAATTTATGGTGTATGCCCGTCTTCATTATCCCAGTCAGAGCAGAACTGTAAGACGTTCAACACCATTTCATTTCATCTTCATTCCTGAAGTATTTTACATGAGTTAGACAGTGAAATAAACACATTTTGTTCATGATTATCCAGGTTATGGTTCCCTTGGTTTAATGACTAGTGTGCTAGTTTGTCCAGACGGTAAAACAATAGAAGCTGAAGCTGCTCATGGTACGGTTACCAGACATTACCGAGAACATCAGAAGGTACACCATCTTGACTTTTAAAGGGGGGAGGGGGTGTCGGAATGGGTTAATGCGTATGCTTGAAATCATAAGGTCTGTCAATGAAGCCAGTCACTTGCTTTCGATTTCCCACATGTACGTAACAATGAGTACAGTTGCCGGTAAGACCTCATGGATTTGATCAGGTCTCCTCCCACTCCAAGCGAATTATTGAAATCAAATTGAACCATATGTTAGTTTTAAAATGACCTAGTTTTTGTCAAATGGACATTCAACCCCATTTCTCTCCATCTCTAATTAAACCCACCAGAAGGTCAACTCGATTAGTCTCCGTTCTCTACTGGAAGAATCGCACAACACACTTGATTTAGACTCTTCCGTCCTCAGAAGATAATCCAGACTGGAAGAGGCAGAAGACAAAATGGCAGATAACCTGGATGTATATAATGTCAAGAGGTAGATAAACTGATTCTGTCAGCCATACTTCTACTTCTAGTGTCTGGACGAGTCTTCTGGAAGAGCTTCTACTGCTTCTGGAAGTGGCAAATGGAGTCGGCCTCAGGATTGTCCAGTCGTTGTTTGGTAGATTGTTTGAAGTATTAAGAGCATGTGTTTTTTTCAAGCATTATCAATCTAATCAGTGGCTTAGGACACTGAACTTGACAAGTTTGCAAGAGTTATGCCCCATTATATTGTACCAGAAGATGTGATCAATAGAAAGGGGTATACTTGATTGCATGGTCCTGCGGCCTGTTTCACGAAATTTTAACTAAGATAAAAATCCAAATTTTAGTATTTTGATTGGATAATATTAGACTGATTTTAGTGCTTAGCCAAACAATATTGAAGTATCTACTAAAATTTGGATTTTATCTTTAGTTAAGATTTCGAGAAACGGGGCTCAGAATTGACTTCTCTATCTCCCTCCAAAAATGTCAGTTGAGTCCAGGGGTTGACTGCTAAACCTTGAACTATCTCAGTCAATCATCATATCTAAAATATTTGAGTATGTCACATTTCTGCCCATACATGTCTTCAGGACAGACTGAACTCTGACAGTTTGATTCCATGTGCTGCAGTTGCAATTCTATTTCAAACAGCCTAGACTTAAGATAAGCACCAACCCACTCCCCCCAAACAAAATAAGTATAGTAAGGCAACACAAATAAAATAACTTGTTTCTCGGGCACCGCCCGCACGCAAAATTGGTTGCGCGTGCAGTCTATTTATTAGTCTTGATGAAAAAAAATAAATATGTAACGCCCGCCCGCACATCGACAAGCAAGTCGTAAAAAAAATATCCCGCATGTACCTACATCCGCCATACATGTATATCTATTCAAATGTATTAAAACTGATTCAGATGAACATGCTGTTATTTTTATCCGAACAATGGCGAAGTTTGGCAGATTTGCCTTTTTTTATTGATATCGAAAGAACCTCCATTTTGTATCACGTGATATTAATTACCTCCCCTGATAAACTAGAATTTGATTCGTGTTAAAAGTCATTGGCGACAATATTTCAATCATTCGATCGTAATCGGCTCATTATTGCCGGCTTCAGTCGGTCCTTGTTTGGAAAATCCTATTGATAAAATAATGAACCGTAGAACAGGTTAATTAATTATAGCTAAGAATACGATACGATGACGATAGTCGTCATAATGCATACCTTAGAATCTGGGTCATTATTAGCACATTTACGGTAGTTTCGATAATCCGGAAAATAATAATTGGATTACCGATTTGATGGTTTTACTGACCAGTTGTTAGTTAGATTTAAATAGTCATTCAATATAAACACCGGATAGAACACCGAATATCCTGAGAAACACACCGAATATCCCAAGAAACAGTATTTCCGGCAATCTCCAATACCGATGACACGGTGTGACATGCATTGGTTGGAATTCGGTAAATAATTATAAATAAACCGGCGATACTAGATTTAGTTTTAAATACTGTTTACCATGATTATTATTTATGATACACCTGGTGAAAGAGGCTTAGTTTTTAAAAATATTGTTGTCTTTATGGAGGGCTATTACATAGTCGTATGGAATTTTATTTTAAACCAATTTCAATTATGTGAATTAAATATGGAAAATTATTTTCCTTTCAGTCAGTGTTCAGTCTCAGTGTTTTAGTAGACTTGATTTTGGGTTTATGTTTTAAGTATGTACAATAAAGTTGAATATAACGGAAAGCAAAAACGTAAACTAGTAATGACTTTCTCATTTAAAAAAAAAAAAAAGAAAGACCGCCCTCCCGCCCCAACAATTTTCAGCAATAGCCAAATTTTATTTTGCACCATCAATGAGTAAAAAAAAAAAAAGAAACCGCCCTCCCTCCCTACAGTTTCAGCTGTCAGTTGCCCGAGAAACAAGACATTTATTTTGTGTGGCCTAATATTAGTGTATTTTTGTATTATTTTATATATTATCAGGGTAATGCCACCAGTACTAATCCTGTAGCTAGTATTTACGCTTGGACTCGTGGAATGGAACATCGTGGTAAACTTGATGGAAACCAAGATTTACAAAGGTAATTAATATACTCTGGTGTGTCATCAGATTCACTCTGTCGGTGTCAGGTTGTTTGTTTTTTTAGAAATTTAATGTTAAAATGCATAGGCTTTTGGTTTTAAATGCCAATATTTTCATGTGGACGTATTATGTCCATTCAATTCTTATCTGATTTTGATGAAACTTAAAAAAACAAAAATTTATATAAGAAAGATCTGTTTTGATTTTTGCATGCAATTCCTGGATTATTGCCCCTGATGGTACGAAAATCATGTCACACTGAGAATTTTACATAATGTGGTATAAATTGAGATGTGATTGAGAACAAATATTGTCGAATAAAGAAGCTAACTGAAATGGGAAAAGATTTTAGGTTAACAGCTTTACCATAGCATGGTGCAGGATGAACAGGTGAAAAGCTGAGGTCATGTGTACACGTTGACGTGCATGTATTAAAGAAAATAATACCTTTGCTGTAGGATTTTTTACGAATAGTAAGTGGAAACATTAATGTCTGGTTCAGGACTAAAGTAGGATGGTAAATCTTTTTAATTTCTGCAAACACTATACATTTGAGGAGAAAAATTGATTTGTCTGTTTATTTTTAGATGGGCAACTGTAATGGAGAAAGCTTGTGTTGATACCATTGATAGTGGTAAAATGACAAAAGATTTAGCTGGTTGTATTCATGGTCTTAAAAAGTAAGTTTTATATTCATACAGTAGGAAGATGTTTTATTAAATCTTGGGAATGAAAGTTGTTGAGAGACTGGGCACTACTAGCCTCTAGAATAGAATCTCCCAGGTTTGAATCCCAGTGGGGACGAGAAGAACCTTTATAATTTTTTTCAACCATGTTCTCACTTGTCCAGAGTGTACAAGAATCCTTCATAGTTTGAATATAAAGAATAGGTGTAAGGAAAAACTTGCCCATGCAGGCCTGGAAATAACGGTTTTAGTTTTACATGACAATAGTACTTGACATTTTCAACTTCATGCCGGATATGTATTAATAATATCAATAAAAAGGATAGATCGGTGCCAGACAAAATGACAGGCATCAGAGGTTTTGTGCATTTCAAAGCCTGAATTTGTACCCGACATTGTCTGTGACAGGTGCTTTGTTTCCAGGCTTGGCCCAGTAGCATTACACACTTAATCATACTCAATTCAGTACTATTATTGTTTATGATCAGGAGTAGAATCATCTGCCTAACCCTTATTGGTTTTCTTCCCTAAATTTGAAGCAGCGGTAACTCAAACGTGTTGGTTCGCTAACCTGGATGTCCCATGTTCGATCCTGATGTTGGCCGAGCATGTTCATCAAGATTTGTTAGATGCTGTTTCCCATTGCCAGTAGTGTAGGACAGCAGGCCTGGTAAGGGACAAAGTATAGTCGTTCGGATGTTACGCAAAACCGAGTTCCCATCTATACAGTAGCTTTAAAGGACAATATTGGGTCTCAGTTATAATTACATATGTTATAGAACTGGATAAATACATTCCAAATATGTTTTTTAACACAGAAATCATTGCTACGGGAGATGTGTAACAAGCACGTGAAGAAACGGGAGGTGACGCCAAACATGACATTCGATCCCTGCATTGGCCGAGAAAGTGCATCCAGATTTTCCGGCGTGGTTCCCCCTTGTCATTGATGCAGGACGGAGGGCCTGACAAGGACAGCTGTCTAGTCCCTTGACAGTTGGAATTCGATATAAGAGTAGGCCGTAGTGCCGCTGTCCGGGCAAAATTTCCCTCATAGCACACTGTATGGCGTTTGCCTGTCTTCATTAGCCCAGTTCGGAACAAAACAGTAGGACGTTAAACCCCATTTCATTTCATTTCCAAACATGACAAGCACAAGTTATCCTATGTATCTGACTGATGTAATGAGCGATAACAGACAAACGATCGAATTTCATTTCACTGATAATTCCGTCGAAGTTGAAAAGTTATTATATGGGATGGTGAGAGGGTATCTCACAATTCAAAAATGGAATTGGCTGTCACTAGATAAGGGAAAACGAGAAAAATAGAAAAATCCCGTGCATTCCCCCGTTTTTATTCATTCTGTTCTTAATACAAACATGGTAATGTACGGACTTTTTCTAATTTGTTCGTTATCTTTTATCTAATGACGGCCAATTCTTTTTTTGAATTGTCAGATATCCTCTCACCGTCTCATATAATAGCTTTTCATCTTCAACTGAATTATCAGTGAAATGAAATTTGATCGTTTGTCTGTTATCGCTCGTTGCTTCAATCAGTTATATAGTAGGATAACTTGTGTTTGTCATGTTTGTCGTCACTTCCCGTTTCTTCACGTGCTTGTAACACATCTCCCGTAGCAATGATCTCTGTTAAAGTTATGTTTGGGATGTATTTAACCAGTTCTATCACATATTTTATAATGACTGACACCCATATTGTCCTTTAAGGGAAAGTTTACCCTCTTAAAAAAACTGAATGGCATCATGTACCATTTGTTAGACCTAGAATACTTAATAAACTTCATTCTCTTTATCTTTCTAATTTTGATTTTGTTTTTCAGCGTAACACCAAGTCATTATCTCAACACAATGGATTTCCTTAATGCCATAGCACAGGAATTCGACAAACAGTGGGCTCAACAATAACAATATTGACTGTTAGCTAATTATTTAAATATAAAACTTAGATCTTTTTAGACATAATTGGTAGAGAAGGGCAGCTACCCATTTTATTTTTCACTTTCATGTTCATGGACATTAAATTAAACAATAAAAAAAAATCTGATTTAATTTAAGGATTAATTAATCAATCAATTTTAAATTAATTGATCATGTTTCCTCAACAAAATAAATTTTAAATTTGTATAATTTTAAATTTTGATTGTAAATTTACATTTCACAGAGGTTTTTCTTTTTGTGCAATTTTGTGATTTAACTATGTTTTTGTTTAAAAGATCTGATTAGTCAAACAATTATACAAGAAAAGAACCTGTTTGTAAATTTTCTTCCAATGTATACAAGAAGCTACAATTTAAAGAAGTAATTTGTAGCTAGAATTAGATGTACATATCAATCCAATTACTAATCTCAACTTCAACAACTAATAATTCTTGGTGCTCATAATCAAAAGATTATTCTTCTCAGTATTTTAATTAAAATGGCTAAATATTTTTTCTCCTATCACTTTTATGTCTTCTCAAAACTATATACATTTTCCCTGTAAATCACTTTCGCTAAATCAGAACAGATGCAGTATCGAAGTAATCTTTTGATGCAGTATTTGTATTCTTATTAAAGAAAAATCTATTAGGGAATAACAATTACTGGTTTATTAACATGCAACCTGTGGAGGATGATACTCTCGTCTTTATCTCTGTTCAAGTATTAATTCCTTCATATATCTGTTCATCACATTTTCTGCCTTTGAGTATAGAAACCAGTGCTATGTATATATATATATATATTATTTAGATCTTGTTTTGATAGTGCTATAAAAGAGTTATGACCTGTTATGTACAGTTATAAATTGACGAGTGCCATTATGTAACACTAGCGTAGCTAGACTGTGCTAGATGAATGAAAAAAACCATTAAAATTTACATAAAAATAGAATAAGAGAGTTTGTATTCTTGTAGAATATCATGTGTGTGTGGTTAAAGGTCAAGAGGGCAGGGGTATTGTGTAATATTGATACTGCATAACTTATGAAATGGGGTTAATCGTCCTACTTTTCTGAACTGACTTGGGTAATGAAGATGGGCATATGCCATGCAGGTTGATATCGGGTAAATTACGCTATGGCCTACTCTTGTTTCAAATTCCAACTGCCAAGTGTTCTATTATGTGCACGTACACAGGAGCCCTTGTTTAATGTCAGATCCGAATGCCTATACACTGTCCTGCACCATTGACATGGACGAACGACGAAAAATCCCTAATGAACTTTCTCTGTCAACGAAGGGATCTAACATGAGACCTCATTAAGGTTAGCCAGCCAACGTCTTAATCACTGAGCCACCATTGCTCCTGCACAACTTATAAATGTCATAAATTTTTTGAAGTCTATTTGCAAATCCAATATTTTCCACCATCTTATATATGTGTGGTTGGCACATGCAGTGCCCTTATTATTGTTTATCAACGGGTAAGGTCACATTTGTATTATAATTCCAGCAATTTCAGGTCAAGTTTTCTTAGATGTTCAGTCTGACCAAAATTACTAGTAAAGACCATTTGAATGTTGAAAATCTGGGTGTATTTTTGTAATTTGAAGACATTAAATTTTAATGGCATTGTCAGACACAGCTGGGCCTGCTTTGGTTGTTTCCATGTTCGTATTTGCAGTAAATAACTTAGATTTATATAGAAGCTAATTCAAAACCTCTGTCAGAAATGTACTACATTTCAACTGTTAAATTTTATAAGAGACTTCCAAGACATCCTAAAATTGTGCAGTTCTTAAATTCTCTGCTTTACATTTTAAAAAATGTAGTCAATATACATGTAAAATACTGGAAACTATGCTCTCACTATGTCTTCTTAGGCCTACATATTAATATTGTGGACTTGAAATCCCATATAGGAAAGCATCATTTTGGTGACCATGTTTCAAACCATACATTTGGCAGTCAGAATCTATTCAAATTAATGAGCGCATGTTGCGTTTTGGAATTGATAGAAAATTGCAAAAAGCTATAATTACCAAAAAGATTTATTTTATATTTAACAAAAGTCTACATACACAAAAGGAATATAGTATTGCGACTGACAATTAACAATAGTTCAATATTTGCCTACAATTTAATCAAAAAAAGCCATGTCCTTTGCATAGTATAACCTAACTTTGAAGAAAAGTACATTAACAAATAGCGAATACATGTTTTGTACATACTCGCTGTCATCAGTCTCTGGTGGGTTTTAACGTTACCCATTTCTTCTATCCAATCAAATATCGCGCACCTGCTGCCCTAACCAATGAAAATTATATATTCTTTAAAACGTCACTTCCGTCTATACTTCTTGTCGGCTGCTGTAAAACTTGAGTGTGTGTACAATTTCCTGTTTTGACAAAGAAAATCGCATTTTTAGTAAGTTTCCTCTCGTAAGAATTTAGTTTACCTTAACTTTATTAATTTTTCAACAAATATATTTAACTTGGTTGACTTTGCGATAAATTATAGAACTTCATTAACTTCGCTAAGGTACGGTCCTTATGTTTTTAATTTCCTAGGCTAGAGTGGGCACACGTTTGACCCAAAAAGATAAAGAGGACAATGATATTAATCTTGACAATATAAACAAATATTGTCAATCTTGTTCTATGACTTATTCAGCTGTAACATTTCAAATACACATTCACAGGCTAGTTCAACATTTTTGACAACCAGTATGCTGCAGGTTTGGGCAGTGGCACATAATGATTATGAAAGGATTAAAGGACACGTGCTCCTCTTTATTTGAAGTGTTTTATTTGAATGTGTACTAGGAAACTGCATGTGACTAAATTGTCATATCATATTGGTAGATGTGGAGTCTATTATTGCCTATTTTAATTTTGTTTGCTTAAACCTTGTCCTTGACATCCTTATAAGCAATTCGACAACCCAAAACCACTCAACACTAGTAAACTTCGCTACATCAAACTGTCAGGGAATAGGGATATCTGTGAACTATTTAAAACCTTGATTAATGTTAGGCATTGGAATCTATCATATTTTTGGTTTCGAATCTCCGGTTGTACGTGACAAGGAGTAGGGTCGCCTGTCCAACCTCGTGGGTTTTCTCCGGGTCCTCCGATTTCCTCCCACTGCTAAAGACCCCTCCGCGCAAGCGAATTATGTAAATAAAATTAAACCGTATGTTAGTCCCGAAATGACCTAGTTTGTGTCGAGTGGATGTTAAACCCCATTTCTCTCTCTCTCTATCATATTTTATTCTCAAATATTGAATGAATTGATATATATTTAGAGTGTGAAATTTAAACATGCATTATGCAAGAGCCAAGCCTGCCTATTGCAGGTCTTTCTTTAGGCCTTAAATGTTATATAAACTATTGATTAGACATTAATTAATTCTATTGCTAATAGCTCGGCTCAGAGTGATTCTCTTTTCATTATCTATTTAAAGATTATAGCGAGAACTGTCAGCTCTTTATCTAATCTTACCGAATGCCGCTTTAAATTAGGGTAAATATTTTATCCCCATTCACCCCGCCACTCATCATTTTCAATATTTCTGTTTTCAAGCTATGGACTAGAATATAATTCTGGATCTGTTCAAGATGAGATTTTTAGGTCAGATTCTTTGCCAAAAATGTATCCAGCCACTAAAATGCGATGTGCTATCAATTTCGTGGATGTCACAAATATCATGTCTACAGAATTTTAATAGAAGAATTTCTGTTTCTAGTGAAACCAACAGTTTGCAAAATGGTAAGAAATGAAATGAAATGAAATGGGGTTTAGCCTACATAGACTGCTTGCAGGTCTGGATCGAAATAACGGTTTTACGTGTACCTGACAAAATGTCAGGCACTAATGAAATAGTACCTGACATTTCAACTTAGTGCCGGACATGTATTAATAATATCAATAATAAAGACAAATCAGTGCCAGATAAAATGACAGGCACCAGAGGTTTTGTGCCTGACAAAGCCTGAATCTGTGCCTGACATTGTCAGTGACAGGTACCTTATTTCCAGGCCTGACTGCTTTAATGAAATGAAATGGAGTTTAACGTCCTACTGTTCAGCTCCGACTGGGCTAATGAAGATGGGCATACACCATACAGTGTGCTATGAGGGAAATTTTGCCCGGGCAACGGCACTATGGCCTACTCTTATATCGAATTCCAACTGCCAAGTTATCTTTTATGTGCACGTCAATGTGTACACAGGGACCTCTGTCCTTGTCAGGCCCTTCGTCCTGCACCATTGACAAGGGGAAACAAAATCGGAAAACAAAATGGTAAGCAATTGCCAGCTGAATGTGTAAATAGAGCAGATCTGGTTATATCAATAACGTAGAACGACTCAGTGAGTGAGGCACCGTCTAACTAATCAGGAGGTTGGTCGAATAAGTTCCGCATAAATTTCCGGCCTTGTTTTCCCTTGGTGAAGGATAGAGGGCCTGGCAACGGAATAAATATTTAGTTTTTGCGATTGGATGTAAATGATGAATTGTGATGATAATGAAACAATTCTTTTGGTGGATTATGTAATTTGGAGCAATGTCTTAAGTGTGAATCCCGGCAAGAACAACCTTCAGGATTTTTCAAGCTCAGCCTTCATTTGTCATGGGTGGCATCTGCATTGCTGACAAGGAGAGTGTGTCTAGTCCTTTGGAAGAAAAAAAAACCCCAAGGTTCAATTGTGTACACAGTACACAGTGGCATGTACATAACAAAATACCCATGCCTGTTGGAAATTGAAGAGTAGAAGGAAACGTTGCTTATTATAAATATAAGAATTTATTATGATTATAAGATTTTATCATAAATATAAGATTTTATTATGAACATAAGATTTTATTATGAACATAAGATTTTATTATGAACATAAGATTTTATCATAAATATAAGAATTTATTATAGATATAAGAATTTATCATAAATATAAGAATTTATCATAAATAAAAGAAATAATGCCATTATGAATGTATTTAATTATGTTGTTATAATTATAAATATAAGATTTGATTATAAATATAAGATTTGATTATAAATATAAGATTTGATTATAAATATAAGATTTTATTGTAGATATATTATGTTATTATATTAGGGGTGATATATTTAACTATGTTGTTATAATTTATATTATATTATTTTAGGAAGAATACAGTTATCAGAAGAAGTATCACAAGCTCTATCAGACTGTAAACCTGTAGTTGCTCTAGAAAGTACAATAATAACACATGGCATGCCATATCCTCAAAATTTACAGTAAGTTACACTTTTCACTAACATGGGTTTTAACATTTTATTTTTCTGCAACAACCTTGTTGATCCAGAAAAGTAGGATATTAAACCCCATAAATTTCATTCATTCTATCCCGAGACAAGGCCATTTGTTCACTCCAAGATTATCCTGGGCCATTTGTTCTATCCTGAGACTAGGCTGTTTGTTCTCTCCTGATACTAGACCATTTGCTCTACCCTGATACTAGACCATTTGCTCTACCCTGAGACTAGGACATTTGTTGTACCCTGAGACCAGACCATTTGTTCTATTCTGAGACCAGACTATTTGGTCTACCTTGAGATCAGACCATTTGTTCTATTCTGAGACCAGACTATTTGGTCTACCTTGAGATCAGACCATTTGTTCTACTTTTGAGACCGGACCATTTGGTCTACCCTGAGATCAGGTTATTTGTTCACCCCAAGACTAGGCCATTTGTTCTAAACTGAGATTAGGCAATGTGTACACGCAGAGGCAAGAACATTTGTTCTGACATACAAAATTACTTCCTGACAAAGTAATATTATTATCCATTTGACAGATTCTTGAGATCTGAGGGCATTTAAGGTAACCCTTTTCAGAAACAGGCAATTAGAGGGATGTACATGTAGTTCATGATAAAGTTTATAAAACTTGTTATTTGACCAAGGTCAGTATATAGATTAAGAACAAATATCTTGTTATAGGACAGCATTAGAAGTAGAAGAAACAGTACGTGATAATGGTTGTATACCAGCTACTATTGGTGTTATTGCAGGCCAAGTCCATGTTGGTGAGTCTCTACACTTCTCAAATAACTATAATCAAATATATATATTTAAAACTCTTTATACCGGCTCTACCTTCATATAAGAAATGTCTAAACTACTCTAAAACCACATTTACTCATGTCATATTCTTTTATCCAGTTTCCTAACACTTCTAAAGAACCCTACATGCAAGCGAATTACTGAAATAAAATCGAACTATATGTTAGTCCCAAAATAACCTAGTTAAGTGGACGTTAAACCTCAATTTCCTCTCTCTCTCTCTCATATTCTTCTAATGCTCTAACATTCAGCTGAGAATGCACACCCTGCATCATGCTATTGCTAATTTTACAGGTTTAGATCAAACCAATATGGAACGATTGGGTTCTGCAACAAGAGATTTAGTGAAGATTTCCAGACGAGATCTCGCTTTTGCAATGTCAAAGGTAAATTTAAATATCCTATTGTAAAAACAGGAGTTTGGGTGCCCAAATTGTGTAACAGGTCAGGTGTACATCATATCATAAGGTCTGTTATTGAGTCAGATAGCATGATTACGTTCCCAATCTTGCACATGACAAGAAGTAAGGTTGACTGCCCAACAGGTAGCCATTGATCATGAAGAGATTTTAAAAGTGAAGTCAGTATTTCTAAAGAATTGTTATTTGTGAGATATATGTGTATTTATGTAGTATATGTGATTTATGTAGTACATGTGTATTTATGTGGTATATTTATGTAGTATATGTGTATTTATATGGTATATGTGTATTTATGTAGTATATGTGTATTTATGTAGTATATGCGATTTATGTAGTACATGTGTATTTATGTGGTATATTTATGTAGTATGTGGTATATTTATGTAGTATATGGGATATGTGTATTTATATGGTATATGTGTACTTATATGGTATATGTGTATTTATATGGTATATGTGTATTTATGTAGTATATGTGTATTTATGTATATGTGTATTTGTGTAGTATATGTGTATTTATGTTATTGTATATTTGTAGAAGTTAAGTGGTGGTGCAACTGTATCTAGTACTATGTTGATAGCTAATCAAGTTGGTATTGATGTATTTGCTACTGGAGGTATAGGAGGTGTCCATAGAGGTGCACAACACAGTATGTATTATCTAACTAACATTGGATGATAAATATTTATGGCCAATCACAAATGGAGAACATGTAGCGATAGTCTCGAGAGTGTACGCCACTCTGCATGTAAATTACGTTGATCATGTGACTCATGTAGAAGCCTTTTGGAGATCATTTGATATCAATGAGGTCTCCGATTGACTTATAAAAATGGTTTTAGAATTTTACATACTGGATGAAATTTTCTTATTAGAATAGGTATTTTATATACATATTTTGTTTTATCCCTATTTTTGCCTTATAGTTTTGGATATAGTACGGAATTTTATGATTTTGAATAGATATTTTCAATAAATGTGATTATGTAATTAATTGTTTTACCGGTATTTATTGCTTTATATCATATTATTTAAATGTTTTATCTGTAGTGTCTCATAGGCCTATGTTGGCCAGGAATCATTTGTATCATGTAGTATAATCTCTGTAAATATTCAACTGATTTGTGACTTTTTAATAAAATAAATTATTATTATTATTACTTATAAAAATGGTTTGCTCGAAACAGACAGTTGAGTGGATTTTCCGGCAAATCGATCGCCACGTAAAATATTCGACCGAAAATATCTAACATGCATGATATTGATATGGGCAATCGATTGGGCAAATGGTTCGTCGAGCACATTTGTTGTGGCCGTTAACAAGCACACAGGCGATTTTTTCAAGCACTTTTAAAAATCGGTACGATTGGCCAAAATACTCTTGTCTGTCCTAGGCTTTAGGGTGTCTAGATTAATATGATTAAAAGTTGATTAATGATGACACTTTATCCTGGTTTGCATAGACCGATAGAAATAGCTATTATTAGAGTTGAGGTTAAGGAAATAACTATTATTAGAGTTGACGTCAAGGAAATAACTATTATTAGAGTTGAGGTTAAGGAAATAACTATTATTAGAGTTGAGGTTAAGGAAATAACTATTATATTAGAGTTGAGGTCAAGGAAATAACTATTGTTAGTGTTGAGGTTAAGAAAATAACTATTATTAGAGTCGAGGTCAAGGAAATAACTATTGTTAGTGTTGAGGTCAAGGAAATAACAGTACTATTATTAAAGTTGAGGTTAAGGAAATAACTATTATTACAGTTAAAATATTAGATATAATAATTTTATTTGTATTTTAGCTATGGATGTAAGTGCTGATTTAACAGAATTAGGTAGAACTCCTGTAGCAGTGGTGTCTGCTGGAGTTAAATCTATATTAGATATAGAAAAAACTCTAGAATATTTGGTAGGTTTCCTGAACTTCTTTCACTGGTATTTAGTAATTAAAGGGGAAAACACTAGAGTATTCTAGTATTACACCAGAATTACTGTATGGATTAACAACTATTGGTTTATAAAAAAAGGCTTAGTGTGTCCCTCTTTGATATTGTAATTTAGTGACATGAAATGAAATGAAATAGGGTTTAATGTCCTACTGTTCTTCTCCTATACTGGGCTAATGAGAACGGGCATACGCCATACAGTGTGCTATGAGGGAAATTTTGCCCGGACAGCGGCACTACGGCCTACTTTTATCTCGAATTCTGTCAAGGGATCTTTTATGTGCGCGCCAGTGTGTCCCATCCAAACGACTAGACAGCTGTTCTTGTCATGCCCTCTTTCCTGCATCACTGACAAGGGGGAACCACACCGGAAAATCTGGATGAACTTTCTCGGATTTTATTATCTCGCACCATGATAAGGTGTAGTAAAATGATGCATTTTTTGAGGAGTGTGCCAAGCAAAGGACCAACCAGAACTGTGTATGTTGTACCTATTACCAGTAACAAGAGGATTAAACCATAATAATTCCTGAAATTTTGTTTAATATATTACAGGAAACCCAGGGTGTTTGCGTTGCTACGTTTGGTAAAGATAAAGATTTCCCAGCATTCTTTACTCCATCTAGTGGTCTTCGGGCACCATTTAATGTCGACAATGAAATCCAGGCAGCTGAGTTGATTTACGGTAATAGTTGACAAATTCACAAATGGGATAACCATTTTATTTTTCCTTTTATAATAGTATTTTTTTGTTCACAAACGTATAAAATACGTTTTTAAAATCATTCACATATCGTGATGTTTCTCGCGAACAGACGAATCTGATATATTTAAGTAATGAGAATTATGCATTTGAAATTTGCATTCTGTTGTTATCTCTGTGTCCATAAGAGAGAAATGGAATGGGATTTAACATCCACACAATGGATGTCATTTTGGGACTAACATATGGTAAACTGTCACTTCAATGATTATCTTGTGTGATGGGGTCTTTAGCAGTGGGAGGAAACCAGACCACTCAGAGAAAGCCCACTAGCTTGGACAGGTGACAAAAACCATGACAGACCTTATGATCTAAAGTGCATGTTATAGACCATTCAGCCAATCCCCCCCCCCCCCCCCAAAAAAAAACCCCAAACAAAAACAAGGTGAAGACAGAAACATGTTAAGAAGTCCACAATGATAACTCAACAAAAATAAAACAACCATTGGTGTTCCAATCCCAGAATCCTTTATATCAGCAAGTTGATCATATAAATTTCAGCTTCACAATATGAGTTGAAACTAGCAAATGGTATTTTAATTGGTGGTCTGATACCAGAAACATTTATATCAACAAGTTTATCATATCAATTTCAGCATCACAATATGAGTTAAAACTAAAGAATGGTATATTAATTGGTGTTCCGATACCAGAAATATTTGCTGATGCTGGAGAAGAAATAGAAGAAGCTATACAGATAGCTATCAAAGAATCCAGGTATGATACCCACATATTTGTGAATGCTATCAAAATCTAGTGACTCCATCCTTCCAGAACAAGTTCGACTCTACTTCGTCAAGTTAATTGCTGTCACAAACGAACTGTCGACAAACATTGAAGAAGAGAACGCAAGTGATGACTAAACCATGTATGGTGCTAGCACTACAGGGCAAAAAGTCAAATTCATAAGATCAGAGACTTATTGTATATCTTTTTTCTGAACGACCAGACACTTTCTTTGTCAGTCCATCTGGAGCCTTTTCTAACAAGTGAGAACCAGGCCTTTACAAAGTCATGATGTTCCTTATTGTCCTATGCTGGAATTAGAACCCAGTTCCCATAACCTCTTAACCCACCCCTAAGAGAAAGAAAGTAAATGTGAAACAAATATATATTTTCTAGAGAGAAGAAAGTGGTAGGAAAAGAAGTAACGCCATATATATTAAAACGAGTTCATGAATTAACACATGGTGGATCTTTACAAGCTAGTATCCTTTACAATACTTATACCACAGTTCTTATAAGTTTTTGAATACTTATTGCACAGTTCTTATATGTTTTATAATACTTATTCCACAGTTCTTATTTGTTTTACAATATGTATACCACAGTTCTTATTTGTTTTACAATACTGTATACCACAGTTCTTATTTGTTTTACAATACATATACCACAGTTCTTATTTGTTTTACAATACTGTATACCACAGTTCTTATTTGTTTTACAATATGTATACCACAGTTCTTATTTGTTTTACAATACTGTATACCACAGTTCTTATTTGTTTTACAATACATATACCACAGTTCTTATTTGTTTTACAATACTGTATACCACAGTTCTTATTTGTTTTAAAATATGTATACATTAGTTCTTATTGTTTTACAAGATTTATACAACAGTTCTTATTTTGGTTATCTGAGTTGTTTTACATGATTTATACAACAATTCTTATTTATGTTATTTAGTCTGTTTAACAAAGCTTATAACACAGTTCTTATTTGAGGTTACCTGTGCTTTTTTAAAGACAGGGACGAAATGTTCTTAATGGCCATTGAAATGGATCAAAGTTATTTAGAGGAGAACAGTATCATTGACAACTCATCCCATGATATCCCTGAAACATCGCAGTCAAATCTTAACTATGACGCTGATGTCTCATTGTTAAATAACTCTACAGTCACTAAGTGTGACACAGTAAGCCTTGATAGGTTATCCAAAACAGAAATAGATGATAAAAGGGCGCGAGCGGAATCCCCGCTTACCGAAACAGAAGTTTAGAGATCAAACAAATTAAGACGTTATAAGTTCTTGAAACCATATTAGTTAACAATGAAGCCTTCTATCCCTATTATTTACCTAATTATTATGTTAATTTACTCCATAAACGCTCTACAATAAATCTTCAAAAGATTAAACAAATTAGCAATATATTTAACAAACTAGATATTGTTTGTATACAAGAAATTCTAAAATCCAATGTCCATCAAATAAAAAATGTTGAAAACGAAACTGGCTATAACTTATACACTGCATATAATGAAACAAAGATTGGCATTGCCCTATTATTAAGCCCAAACATTATACATAAACTCTACAATACACCTGATGAATTAGCAGGTAGGCTCCAACATCTGGAGGTAAATGCAAATAATGAAACTATTCAAATATTCAATATATATGGTCCCTGCAAGAGAGAATTGAAAACTTATTACTACAAGAGACTTCTTGAATTTGTCAAAACTATTCATAATCCACAACATTCTTATATTATTACTGGTGATTTTAACCTTATTGAAAACAGTAAAGATAACAAACATGGCAACATGAATAACCATCCAAAAGATGCTATAAGATATCTACTTGATATACAAAATCTACTTAATATAAGTGATGGTTACAGAATTATCTCCCCTGACACTCCCCTTTTTACCTATCACAACTCAAAAAGAAGAAAAAAAAAAAGAAAGATAAAAAAAAAAAAAAAAATCTGTAAAAAAAAAAAAAAAAAAATATTCTATCAAATATAAATGGAACGATATATCCGTATATCTGAGATTGATGTGTGGAACTGTATCAGTATATATGAAACTAAGAATCAAATTTGTAGAACTAACCTATTTTATGCTTTCCACTATATTTGGGATGATATATCAGTATCGGAGTCTAAAAATGAAATATATATGGTAATGGGGCTATATTAGTATATCTGAGATGGATAATCTAACAATAAACGGATGCTTTACATATACCTTGACATATTAAAGATATTGCTCTCATTAAAAACAATGCTGTGGTAGGAAGTAAGGTTGCCTGGCAACTCAATAAACTGATCAACAATAATAAAAATGTACCTGATACGACCGGTCGTTCACATGTCATCAGGAAGAACAACTCTAGTAGTGCTAAGAAAAAACGTCCAGTAAGTGTCACATAATATATTAATATATTTATTCAGTTTATTTTGTGATAGAATCTTATAATTTTCATTCCTCAAATGTTATAAAACAAATTATTATTTTATTTATAATGTTGAAGCAGCTAGTCTATTCCAAGCAAACAACAGACTTGTGGAAATTGAATCTCCAAAAATGTTAAATTCCATTCAATGAAGAATTAAAAATTTCACAGCATTTGGCATTCTCTGCAGACAATATAAACAATTTATGAAATGAGAAACCCACATTTTTTCAAGTCTATGTTTTGTTATTGGTGCCAAGTGGATATTTTGTATTATATTTTACAGGTTGTTATTGGTGTCAAGTGTATATTTTATATATTACAGGTTATTACTGGTTTCAAGTTTATATTTTATATTTTACAGGTTATTATTGGTTTCAAGTTTATATTTTATATTTTACAGGTTGTTATTGGTTTCAAGTTTATATTTTACAGGTTGTTATTGGTTTCAAGTTTATATTTTATATATTACAGGTTATTATTGGTTTCAAGTTTATATTTTGTATATTACAGGCTGTTATTGGTGTCAAGTTTATATTTTGTATATTACAGGTTGTTATTGGTGGTACCGTTGTTGATTTTAATGCTAGAATGAAACACACAGATATACAGGTAACTTACAAGTTGTTGTTTTTTTTTATTTATGTTAACTGGCAAATGTTGACCACTTTTGAATGCCAAATACTCGATTGTATTTAACTTTATTACATTACTGTGAAAGATATAATTCTTCCACCATCATGATCATAATTCCTTCCTAGGTGGGGTGGGTTGGATGGCCGAATGGTTAGCGTGTGTGCGTTGCATCATAAGGTCTGTCATTGAGTCAACTGGCAAAGTTAACTGAGAAAAGAGGTTTAATGTCCACTCGACACAAACTAGGTCATTTTGGGACTAACATATGGTTTAATTTTACTTCAATAAATCACTTGCGCGTAGGGGTCTTGCGCAATGGGAGGAAACCGGAGGACCCAGAGAAAACCCATGAGTTTGGACAGGTGACCCTACTCCTTGTCATGTAAAACCGAAGAATGTAAACCACACCAGTTGACTGAATGACAGACCTTAACAGACCTTATGATAGAGTGCACATGCTAACCATTCGATCATCCAACCCCCCATATTTTAATCAGACTGGGAAATTATTCAAATGATATACATTGCAAATGTGAATCATGACAACAGAATTTTATTAACTCCTATTTCAGTCTAATGGTTCAACTAATCCTGGAAGTATACAGCAATCATTTGGTGGAGTAGGAAGAAATCTAGCTGATTGTTTAAGTAGACTTGGTGCTCAACCATTGTTTATATCAGCTGTAGGAGATGATTCTCATGCTGATACATTTATATCACATTGTCAACACATGGTATGATAGTCATTTAGATCACATTGTCAACACATGGTATGATAGTCATTTATTATATCACATTGACAGCACATGGTATGAGCTTAGTCATTTTTATATGCCCACATGGAATTGCCCCCATCCATCCATTGTACTCAATTTTTAAATTAGACGAATTTCTTCTAGAGTTATGGCCCTTGTTTCACTTTGTGGAACCATGTGATAAAGAAGTCTTTTGATCTTCAGTGATTTCTGATAATTACAGGATTGATATGAGATTTATTTTTATTAAAATAGGATTGATATGAGATTTATTTTTATTATAACAGGATTGATATGATATTTTTTTTTGTTATTTACTGGATTGATATGAGATTTATTTTTGTTATGAGATATATTTGTAATAGGATTGATATGAGATTTATTTTTATTATTACAGGATTTACGAGGAGTACAAAGATTAAAGAATAATTCAACTGCTACATATTGTGCTGTTTTAGGTTTTAGTGGTCAGTTACAACTGGGTATAGGGGATATGGATATACATCAACAGATTACTCCTAAAATGGTAAATTATTTACTTTTCACCATTTGTTGCAAATGAAATATTGGGGGTTGGATGGTTACATCATAAGGACTGTCATTGAGTCAACTGGCGTGGATTCGATTCCCTGGTTGTATGTGACAAGGAGTAGGGTCGCTTGTCCAACCTCATGGGTTTTCTCCGAGTACTTTGATTTCCTCCCACTGTTAAAGACCCCTACGCGCAAGCGAATTATTGAAATAAAATTGAACCATATGTTAGTCCCGAAATGACCTGGATGTTAAACCCCATTTCTCCCTCTCTTTCTGTAAATGAAATAAAAATGAAATGGAGTTTAATAAACTTATGATGGCAGCAATATGCCATACAATCTGCTGGAGGAAAATTGCTCGGACAATGGCTCTGCAGCGTAATCTTATTTTGATTTCCAGCTGTCAAGGCATTTTTAGCATGCACACGATGGTACACACAGCATCTTGTTTTTGTTCCATCCAGACAACTAAACACTTTCCCTTGTCTGTCCTTTTGTACTGCACCACTGACAAGCAGGCATCGATATTTCCGCGCATATGCGCACGGCGTGCGCAGGCACAATCCTTTAAAAAAAAATTTTGCAGGCACATTTTTAAAGATGTAGCCACGCCGGGGGGTGCCTGTGCCCGGCACTTTATTTTGCCGCCCAGCACAAAGAAAAAATCGAAGAAAGCCGCCCAGTCGTATTTTACTATTTAAACCCCTTCGTCCTTCTCTGTACACAAACTCGGCGCTCAAAATTTACCACGGCAATTAAACGGCATAATTTATTTTTGTGTGCCATAGTAGACCCTATCATCCCAAATTAGTTTAAAGAAAGATGTATTGGTATTTTGTTTATTTATACTTAGAAGATGTGTAGGCCTAGGTCTATTTCTTTTACAATTATTCTACGGTCTTTATATTTGTTTATTTGCCGTAAATAGGTCACCCAGACCAATTTACAGCACTCCAGTGTTAAAGGTTTGAGTGTTGTAATTGTCCAACACGTGCCTGCAAATTTTCACGACGTTTCTTATTTTATTTCTTACCTGTGTTGACCGTGGATTTGCTACGGCCCGAGAGTAGGACTAGGAGGACGATGAGAGCTTTCTCAGTTTCTGCCTGACCTGATTCTCATTCCACCGTAATAATAATAATATTCGTGAGACACGTACAACTTTACAAACAAGTTAAATAATACAACGTGTTTTAATTATCAATATCTACCTGTTGTCATAGTTCGTTGTACTCAAATAAAACACAAACACCGTTTTAAGAATCGTTTTAATTTTTAATCTCAAAGTAATAAAGTAATATTTGAAAAAAAAAACCCCAACAAAACAACAAATACCGAAAGGTCCTCAACTTATCTATCCAGAGAAACAGAGTGGGGCGGGACAATTTTATGCTCGGTCGGGTGGTGTCAAAAAGTTTTTAGATCCCTGTATCATTGATGAAAATTAAGTGAATTTGGTAAAATTTGAATATATAAATGGAAAGTTGATTTGCACTGAACCAAATACAAAAGGCAGCAGATGCTCTGAAAATACACAAAGAAGGGTTTAATTTTCATAAAAGACCACGCCCCCCTCGCAAAATTTTGACTCCCTCCGCTCGCCAAATATATTTTTACACCACTCACCAAATCATGGCTGCATCCCTGTGATTCAGTAATCATTTTTCAAGATGCCTGTGAGTAAATTAAAAAAAAGATTCCATTTAATCCAAGCACAGACTTTAAAGAGAAAGAAAACCTGCTGTTTATAGCCACAACCTGTCAGATAGTTCACATATATCTCTAGGTGGATGGGTTGCCAAATGGTTAAATGTGTGCGCATTGGATCATAAGGTCTGTCATTGAGTCAAGTGGTTGGGTTTTGATTCCCCGCTTGTAGGTGACAAGGAGTAGGGTAACCTGTCCAGCCTCGTGGGTTTTCACTGGGTCCTCCGGTATCCTCCCACTGCTAAAGACTCCTACAGCTATGCACACACAAATTATAGACATAAAATTGAACCATGTGTTAGTCCCGAAATGACCTAGTGGACGTTATACCCCCATCTTTGTTTCTCTCTCTCTCACATATAACTCAAAACTAAAAATGACTCCCATTTGTATTGTAGATCTGTGAATATGAAGATGATATTAAAGAGGCTGCTATGGTGATACTAGATGGTAATATATCAACAGTTGCTATAGAAACAGCTTGTGATATCAGTTCACAATATAATGTTCCAGGTATGTTGTGCAGTTCAGTAGAAATAGATTGTAGATTCATGTTCCTGAAGCAACAACTGCAAGTTTTACAACATCTAGATGTTACTAGACTGGTCTGAACATGGGAACAACATGTGAATTATAGCGTCCAATCAGAGGTTGTGACACAAACACACTCAAATCATCATGGCGACCTCCATGAAAAACTTGACATTGAACAAACCTTGAACTTTGCAACTCGATTATCACAAGTAGACATTTTAGTTGGAAAGCGCAAGACTTTGTATTTGCGATGGTCGAGGAATCTGGGTCAGTAGACAATTAGTACCGAAATATGCAGGGTATTACGTGAAGGACATGATAAGATGTACAAAGTTAAAGCGAGAACAAGCCTTCTGTTGAAGATGCTGTAGGTTAGACTACGCAGTATAAAAAATTTGACTTTTATTTTATAACATCCCTTATGACTTTAAACAATATTTTATTCAAAAAACTGAATCAGATTGATCAACAGGCAAATGCCTATGTAAGTTCTCTCATCCCTTTTACTTATAGGGAGCCACAGTGGCTCATCAAGTAATACGTTGACTCGCTAACCTTGAGGTCCCATGTTTAATCCCGGTGTGGGCTGAAAAAGTTCATCTGGATTTTCCAACGAGGTTCCCCCTTGTCAGTGGCAAGAGACAATGTATAGTCGTTTGGTGTGCCCTAAAAGAACCCTTGGCAATTGGAATTCGATATAAGAGTTGGCCACATAGCACTCTGTATGATGTATGCCAGTCTTAAACATGCATTATGCAAGAGTTAAATCTGCCTATTGCAGGTCTTTCTGTAGGCCTGAAATGTTTTCTAAAGTATTAATTAGACATTAATTAACTGATCCAGGCATTAATCAACTCTCGATGGCATCAGATTTCTCTGATATTAAATAGATTAGAATGGTTCAGCGATACTTTGATTTAATCAAATATGGAGGACCGAGACTTAGCTTCGATCAACCAGTACGGTGGTTGAAATTATTGCACACGTCTGTCAAACCTTCAAAGGCTAATATCTTCGCATGCAATAGAGTAATTTGAATGAAATTTTCAAATTATTCCTTTTTACATAATCTACTTTCGAACTATTATAGCAAGAATGGCTAGTTCTTTATCTAAATCTTACATAATGTATCTTTAATTACTCTAGTCGGAGCAAAACAGGACGTTAAACCCCATTTCATTTCATTTTCTTTTACTTATAACAAGACAAGTAACTTATGCCATGCCCTTAAATCCCTGATCAGTCCAAAGAGTTCACAAGGTATTCTCAGACTTAAGTTAAGAATTTACTCAACCTTCAATCACTGTTTATGAAAAATATCTTTGATCCACAAATGCAAAAATTTCTTATTGATGTATTTGATACATTAAAACAACAAAAGTTTAGTTAAAATAAGGCGAACAATTTTGAGTATATTCTTAACTTAAGTCTGAGAATGCTTTGTGGGTCGGTCAGTTAGGGGATCAAGTACCCAATAGCAGTAACCAATAGACAGTATCCATTTATTTGGGCTGCCATCTATGTTTCAGTGTTTTTTGAGCCAACTGATATATTAAAGGCCGGTGAAGTTTTTGAGACAGAAGCCTATAAAAAACTAATGTATACATCACCAAATATAAACGAATTACAGATAATGAGTGGCGCTCTACAAGATTCTCCTAAAACATCTTCAGGTTATATATTTTATCATTCATATACTGTAAAACATCTACAGGTTATATTTTATCATTCATATACTGTATAGAATCCACAAGTTATATTTTATCATTCATATACTGTATAGAATCCACAGGTTATATTTTATCATTCATATACTGTATAGAATCCACAGGTTATATTTTATCATTCATATACTGTATAGAATCCACAAGTTATATTTTATCATTCATATACTGTATAGAATCCACAAGTTATATTTTATCATTCATATACTGTAAAACATCTACAGGTTATATTTTATCATTCATATACTGTATAGAATCCACAAGTTATATTTTATCATTCATATACTGTATAGAATCCACAAGTTATACTTTATCATTCATATACTGTAAAACATCCACAGGTTATATATTTATCCTACATTTACTGTAAAACAGAAAATATCAGTTGCGCCAACGCCCAACAGCGATGTGAGAATGGTCGGTCGAAGCTCCATCTGCTAGTTGCAGTGCTGGGGCTCTCCGAGGGGTTGGATACTATGTCGTATTGATACGGCCTTTGCGGATATGACTCTCCATTGCAAGGTCTCCCCGTTGTTTATCACGGATTGACAGTTAGATTCATATGTAGGGAATAATAGTGCCAAAGTTCTGGCCACTTGTGTTAGGTTGGGGGCCCCAGCCCAACATGCTGAAGGCCCTAGGGCCCCCACCATTGTTAATCCAGCAAAGTGTCTGTGCAAAATTTCCCTTACTGCACAATTGTACAATTAGTTTCTTAGTAAGTACATAGGCATACTAAACTTAGGCTGCCCGTCTACAGTTAACTCTACCCGAGAACAGGCACTAAGGTGGTTGAATGACATTTTAAGTCCAAAATCGACATTTTAGTCGAAAACACTAAGTATATTTTGAGAATTTTAAGAAGTTTATATTCTGCTTTCATTTAATAAAATTGAAAAGGTTCTTTTCTGTAGAACAGATGTGAATTGGAGTAGGAACACCATACTGCACGCAGCGACCCATCTACGTCATACTTCCCAGAATGTGACACTGCACTGATTATCCGCCATTTAAAACGATCATGTGATCATTTTGGGGCGGGACTTATCGATTCGACACCGCTTTGTTTAGACAACAAAGTAAAAATAACCCACGCACGTGTGTTTTATGTAAACACGGCATGTCCCTGACACTGCGTAAAAGCGATATATAATATGTGCTATGGGTAATATTGCAATAGACTATTTACCATTGTAAACTGTCTTTAGAGTTTCAATCTGTTTATATTTCAAAACAAGGTTAGATACTCCTAAATTTGTTTTCGCAAACAAAACCGCCTCTGTGAAATTATGTTTCATGGGCGCGGCCATATTGAATAATTAGAGAACTATTTTGTGATTCGGCTTTGATTAATTTGACATCTTTCATACACACAGCGGCTAAATAAACATATTTAATTTCATTCAATATGACAATAGAAGAGAAATAAATACTTTTAAAATTTTCTAAAAGCATACTCAGTGTTTTCGACTAAAATCGTCGATGTTGGAATTTAAATGTCGGTTAATTAGCTTAGGGCCTATTCTCAGCCGAAGCTAGCTGTAGATAGGCAGCCTAAGTTTGGGATGTAGGAACACATTACAAAATAGTATACTAATTGTTGGATATGGTGGCCATTCAGGACAGAGATCTATTCTCGAAGTATGAAGTAGATTGATCTCTGTGTGCAGAATGGTACAGAGGATTGAAGTATGGTTGCATTCTAACAAACTTTGCATTCAATGACTTCAACTGTGATAATACTATAAAATGTCATGGGTGCTTAAAATGTGAGGAAACTTAGACAAAAGAACTTCTGATCATGAATTAATTAATTGTCTTACAGATCTATATAGTGTTGAAGACCGGTGCCTTGATGATGTCATCAACTTCTGTTTACCACATGGTCTACGATTGGCTGAAACAGTTCCTGTTGTCTTGGTAACTCTTGGTAAACATGGTGTTCTGCTGTTTCAACATGGGGTATGTATACAATAAGTGATTAATAGATTTGACATAAGATAAAATGATGTCGTGAACAAAATGAAATGAGGTTTAACGTCCTATTGTTCTGCTCTGACCGTGCTAATGAAGATGCACATATGCCGTATAGTGTGCTTTTAGGGAAATTTTGCCCAGACAGAGGTGTTACAGCCTATTAATTCCAACTGCCAAGAGATTTTTATTATATGCACGCCAATGTGTACACAGGACCTTGGTTTTTCGTCCCGTCCAAACGACCATACAGCTTGTCAGGCCCTCCGTTCTGCACCACTGACAAGTGTAAACTACGTCGGAAAATCCGAATTAACTTTCTCGGCCAACACGGGGATCGTACCCGCGACCTCCAGACTGGATGTCATGAACAAGTAAGTCATGTGACCATATAGCCAGTTAGGGGTCCTTATCCATCTCACGGGTAGAAAACTGTTTGTGTTGTCGGTAGTTTGACATGGCTAGATGGTTTTAGTATTGTGTAAGACATGATCTTTAAAGACAGACATATATGTCAACAATATGAATGTATATCGTAACTGAACTTATTTAAACCATTAATTTTCATCGTTTAGCTGTGTTTACTACACTAGATATTGGTCGAAAGGTCATTTTCAGATTGCGATTGGCCAACTCTGCTAGTTCAACAATTTCCTACTTGGAATGCGGGGAAGCCACGGAGGCTGGGTAAGACGCTGGCACGCTAACCTGGAGGTCGCATGTTCAATCCCTGCATTGGCCAAGAAAATTCATTGGGATTTTCCAACATGGTACGAAAAACCGAGGACCCACGTGGCGTGCACGTAAAAGATCCCTTGCCAGTTGGAATTTGGTATAAGGGTAGGTCATAGTGCCGCTGCCCAGGCAAAATTTCCCGCACAACACACTGTATAGCAGAATAGTAGGACGTTAAACCCCATTCATTTCATTTCCCACTTCTACACGACAAGGAGTAGTGTCCTGTCCAACCTCGTGGGTTTTCCCTGATTTTTATTATTGATTATATACTGTATTACAGAAAGATGTTATACAAGTTAAACATTATCCTGCTGCTCAGCTTGACAATAACCCTGTCAGTGTTTCTGGTGCTGGAGATTGGTGAGTACACAGGTTCAGGTTTATTGTAAGATAAGTCCAGGAAACCACATAAGCACATGGTTGCATATTGTTTGATTCTCCCTCTAGCTGTGTGTCAAATAATTGTGTCCTTGAATAAGACACTTTATCTTTGTGACACTTTGTGCAAACATCAAACTATTATATTAGTTGTGCCTTTTGCTAATTAGGGGGGTTGGATGGCCGAATGGTTAGCACATGCACGCTGTATCATAAGGCCTGTCATTGAGTCAACTGGCGTGATTTTGATTCCCCGGTTGTACGTGACAAGGATAAGGGTCACTGGTCCAACCTCGTGGGATTTCTTTGGGTCCTCAGGTATCCTCCCAATGCTAAAGACCCCTAATCGCAAGCGAATTATTGAAATAAAATTTAACCATTTGTTAGTCCCAAAATGACCTAGTTTTTCCATAGGGGGAGAGAGAAATGCGGTTTAACATCCACTCGACACAAACTAGGTCATTTCGGGACTAACACATGGTTCAATTTTTTATTTCAATAATTCGCTTGCGTTTAGGGGTCTTTAGCAGTGGAAGGACCCGGGGAAAACCCACGAGGTTGGACAGGCAACCCTACTCCTCGTCACGTACAACCGGGGATTCAAAACCATGCCAGTTGACTTGATGACAGGCCTTATGAAACAGCGTGTGCACATGCTAACCATTCGGCCATCTAACCCTCGGTACCAGAAAATATTAGATTGCTGGAAATCAACAGGGTTCATCCTTTCGTATTTCAATACGGGCGTATAAATAACATTATAATCCATAAGACTGATTGATGCTGTGCGGGTTCCAATTCTGTATCAAATGTTAGTAGTGTCAGATTTACCGACAGATGCTAACTGGCACCCTGTGGGATATAATACATGATTTGCATTGATGACAGATCTACAATATGAAGCACAAGCTTGAGAATATTCACCACCAAACACCTCTCATAAAACAAGGAGTGCTGGAGAGAGGTTGGACAGGCGACCCCACTCCTTGTCACGTACAACCGGGGAATGACAGACCGTGAGATACAGCACGTGCACATGCTAACCATTCGGCCATTCAACCCCCCTTTTTCCATAGGATTTGGTGTGCATAGATGCAGGTGTTTAACTAAGTTGTCTTGTTATTTTTCAGTTTTACTTCGGCGTTTATAAATGGAGTGATTCAAGGTCTAGATGTTGACAGTTGTATTAGAGTTGGATTGGATGCTGCTAAACTATCCTTGTTATCCAGAGAGGCTGTACCTAAAACAATTACTCCTCATATTTTCTCACAGTCCTGGATTAAATCTTTATCAGGATTGAACCCAAAGTTAATCCGACCAGATTTCCAGAAAAATCCACAACCTTTAAAATCTCTATCTGTTAATATTTAGATTTGTTATCAGATTTGTTATTGGAATTAATATGACATGAATTATGCAGTATATCGATAATATCTTTATACTGAAATTAATGATCATTGCATTATGCAGAGGATATCTGTAATCATTGTGTATTGAAATTAATGGTTCATGAATTACACAGTTCATCCATGATAATTATGTATTGAAATTACTGGTTCATGAACTACACAGTATATCCATGATAATTGTGTATTGAAATTACTGGTTCATGAATTACACAGGATATCTATAATAACTGTGTATTGAAATTAATATGTCATGAATTACACAGGATATCTATAATAATTGTGTATTGAAATTAATATGCCATGAATTACAAAGTATATCAATGATGATTGTGTATAGAAATTATTATGTCATCAGTTACACAGAATATCTGTAATATTGTGTTCTGAAATTAATATGTCATGGATTACACAGAATATATGTAATAATTGTGTTCTGAAATTAATATGGCATGTATTATGAAGGTATATCTATAATAATTGTGTATTAAAATTAATATGGCATGAATTACACAATATATCTATAATCATTACGTTATGAAATTAATATGGCATGAATTACGCAGAGGATATCTATAATAACTGTATATTGAAATTAATATGTCATGAATTATGCAATAATATTTTTACATTTGTTTTGTACCAATACTTTTATCACACAAAATGAAATCCTGAGACCAAATAGTTATTATTACACTGACAGTATTTTTATATAAATAATTTACACCAATTATCTAAGTCATTGAATTACTTAAGTCATTAAATTATCTAAGTCATTAAATTATCTAAGTCATTTATAATTTGATGCCAACAATGATTCAGTAAAGAATCTATTTTGTTATGTTTCTGATTTAATTGATTAGGCCAAAATAAAAAATACCTATGTTTATGGTTACCCGGCCAACCCTAAATGTTTTCCCTGTACTTGTCTTGACTAGTTTTCAGTGGACAAATTCCAACACTCGCTGACGTGTCTATATTATTTTCCAGAACCTTAATCAGAAATGCTAGGGGTGGCTAAGTGGGTAAGACGCTGGCTCACTAGCCTGGAGGTGGCATGGTTGACCCCTGCATTGGCCGAGAAAGTTCCATCGGGATTTTTCCAATGTGGTTTCCATTGTCAGTGGATGGGACAAAAAATCAAGGCCCTATGTACACACTGACGTGCAAGTAAATGATCCCTTTGCAGTTGGAATTCGATATAAGAGTAGTCCATAGTGCGGCTGCCCAGGCAAAATTTCCCTCATAGCACACTGTATGGCATATGTCCATCTTCAATAGCCCAGTCGGAGTAGGGTGTTAAACCTCATTTCATTTCATTTCAGTAAATACTAGAAAACAGATAATATAAACACTACGAAAGAAATATATATTTTTTCTGACTGACCCAACCCTATTGTTTTGAGCCAAGTAACCATAAACACATGTATTTATTTTGTTGGCCTTACACCATTGTTGATTTTATGTAAATCCAAAATATATTTAGTGGACAAATACATACACAGTAAAGACCAAAGCATTATTTTAATATTTTATATTCTCACCTGACAATGTTACCCAGGTATCATTTAACCTTGTGTATCTAGCATTATTTCTGTCACTTTCGATTAATATCAAATCTTTGTTTAAAAATCATTCAAAATCACCAAAAATCATCTAATTTGTACTCAGTCCAGTTTAAAGCTGACCATTCGATTTTTATAATGAGTGTCCAATTTACAAGCGTTTTATTTCTTGATTACTGTTAAAAAATAAACAACCCAATTGATTAATGATGTATAATGATTAATTTTTGAACAGTGATCAGGAAATTAAATACTTGTAAATTGGACACTCATTATTTAAATTAATCAGTCAGCTTTAAACTGGAGACAAGTACAAATTAGATGGTTTGGGGTGATTAGTGCTAGATACACAAGATTAGATGATACCCGGGTTACAGTGGAACAGCTCACTGTATATTTATGCACTTATAGAGGGGCTTTAGCTATAAATATAGCCTGTACAAAAAATATATCTATAAATATAGCCTGCACAATATATTTTGTATAACTATAAATAGCCTACACCAAGCCATATTCTTTTTTAAAAATTCTTTTATGAGAATTTAGACTATGAATAGATCACATTCATGCAGTTAAAGATGTTCTTTTGACAACTGAGCTCATGGTTATATAACCACCCATGCATGTTTAAACTACTTTTTTCATAGAGTTTTTAGAACCTGGTTAGTCACATATCTTGTATAATATCTAATATTGATATACAAAAGACAGTAAACACACAGTTTTTATACGCCCCTGTACATCTGTTATGGACACTCTACAAGTCACAATTTTTATCCAATTTTGACCAAACTTGAAATATAGGTTTATCTCCCAAAGATCTCGGTTCCGGTCGAATTTGGCATGCATCAGACTGTAACTTCATGGATTATGGCACCTGATTGTACGAAAAATCATGTTAGCTTGTGGACACTCTAGAGATCACAATTTTTATTCGATTTTGATGAAACTTGAAATGTGTGTTCAATTTTGATGAAACTTGAAATGTGTGTTTATAACCCAAAGATTTTGGTTCCTTTTGATATTCGTTAATATCGGACCATAACGTCCTGGATTATGACCCCTGATTGTACAAAAAATCACTTTTTTTTTTTTTAGCTTCTTCTCTATCCATCTTTTGCAAAATGTGGGCGTATATTGCACGGCAACCGCTGGTTAGCACAATATTTTATAATCTGGTGGTTTTCTATCATGGTTTATAAACCACTGTTAAATTATCTATGTTCATGCCAGTTGGTTAGACGTTCAGGCAAGGAAATTGGGTAGAAGTTCAAGCACGGCAGGGTGCTTATTTCAATACGAAAAATTTATAATTCTAGATTTGTATTAGGGTTCTTCTCCGCTCACATCTCAGCCTTGCATTTGGCTAAATCTATTTGTTAAGGCCAGCTCAATTTTTGTCAAGGTCACTGAAATGTAAATAAGGTTAGGACATGTGATTGTTGGTGAGATTGTAGGTTAGGGTTAGGGTAAGTATTAGGGCTAGGTCCAGGGTTAGGGTTGTGATTAGCACAAGCCCTGTTTACATCTCGTGAGCATTGACTGAACTTGAAGTTGACCTTATCAAATAGAACTAACCCTTGGATTTGGGCAATACTGCAAATGACATCCCAAATGGGCTAGTATGGTTGTTTTCATAACCAGTCTGTTTCATTGAAATCCATTATAAATAGCTAGATCTATTTCTTAAGCCACCTCCAGTTTTCATCAAGGTCGCTGAGATGTCGCCAAGGTTAGAGCATGTGATTGTTGAAGAGATTGTGGGTAAGGGTTAGGGCTAGGTCCAGGGTTAGGGTTGGGATTAGCACTAACCCTGTTTACATCTCCCGACATTTGACCAAATCAGGAGGTGACCTTAAGAAAAAGATCTAACACCATTATAAATATCACACATCAATTTGCACTCGTTTCCCAGGGACCAATCTATACAATGTTTTTATTGTACAGCATTATAATTTTTAATGATTTAAAGATGGGTTCCCGCGTACAAACTGGGTGATTTAATGGTATATATGGACTAAAAACATATTCAAACTAATTAATTTGTCATAATTATGCTTCAAATCCTTCTCATACATTGTAATTGCGAAGGAATGCCCTGCTATTAAAATTCGATCAAACCAGGTCATATTTACGTCACGTCTTGGAAATCAGAGGAGAATTCATTGCATACATAAGACGATGTTGTCTAACTCTTCATAAAGTTTATCAACTTGTACATCAAGTGCTCAATGCTCGCGTGTGACCTTTGACATTACGCGTGCAGAAACTCTTAATAGTCGGGCTGTTGATTAGGGGAACCCTTACATTTTTGTCCTGTATACGCTCCATGAGTTTTTTTCGGGGAATCCAGTATTTTTCTAGTAAGATTGGATATCTCTACCTTCCATATATACCAAAATTGCCATACTTTTATTGGAAATAACCACCCGATAAATACTTTTCTGGGAACCCATCTTTAACTGCCAACCAAATCAATCCATGAAATAAATTTATGATTCAAGAAGTGTGCAGTGGTTTTTTTTTGCAATTTGTACATTTTAATTAAGATGTAAAGTTTTCTTCTCTCAAAGATAGTAATCCCCAAGCAATAAACTTGACAGGGATGTACATGTATTTTAATCCAGAATGCAGAGAACTATCTACTTCTAGAATATATCTGCGCAATATATAGTAGACGATTTGTACTGCAGCTTTAATCAAATGAACTGAAATATAATGAAATGGGGTTTAACGTCCTACTTTTCTGCTCCAACTGGGCTAATGTAGACAGGCATACGTTATACAGTGTGCTGTGCTATAAGGGAAATTGTGCTTGAACAGTGGTGCTGTGACCTACTATACTCCTATATCAAATTTCAACTGCCATGGGTTTTCCTTGTGGTGCAGGATTCAGGGCCTGACAAGGACAGCTGTCTAGTCATTTGGATGGGATGGAAAGACAAGGTCCTGTGTACACATTGGTGTGCATGCAAAAGATCCTTTGGCAGTTGAAATTCAATATAAGAGTAGGTTGTAGCGCTGCTGTCCGAACAAAATTTCACTCATAGCACTCTGCATTCAGCAATAGGCGGATTTAGTCCTTACATAATGCATATTTAACCCTTGATATGTAAATTTTAGATTTATTGGTAACACCAGGGAAAAGAAATGAAATGAAATGGGGTTTAAAACGTCCTACTGTTCTGCTCCTAAACTGGGCTAATGAAGACGGGCATACAGATGGGCATACGCCATACAGTGTGCTATGAGGGAAATTTTGCGCGGGCAGCGGCCTACTCTTGTATCGAATTCCAACTGCCAAGCAATCTTTTACGTGCACGCCAATATGTACACAGGACCTCGGTTTTTCGTCCCATCCGAATGACTAGATAGCTGTTCTTGTCAGGCCCTCCGTCCTGCATCACTGACAAGGGGAAACCACGCCGGAAAATCTGGATGAACTTTCTCGGCCAATGCAGGGATCGAACACCTGACCTCCAGGCTAGCGAGCCAGCGTCTTACCCACTTAGCCACATGATTCCCCCATGGAAACAAGAAAAAAATAAGGGTTAAATGCACCGGTCTTTAAATATATAAAAAAACGAATCAATCCCTGGTAAAAACAATCACTGAACCAAGGGCCCAAATCATTGAATGATTATTAACAAAGTTAAGATAATACCCATTTTATTATTATTATTTATATTTTCTTATACTGTATAATCTTTTTGAATTATTATTTATAGGCCTATTCTTCTGGTCGATTCTAGATCATACCAGGCTTATAGATACTTAAATAGCCTACAGATGAACAATAGGTCCCTACATATATTTAACATATGATAAATGACCAAAAATTATACACAGGATTAAGGTCGCTACACCAGCTATGGTAGTTAACGACTACTGACCAATGAGTTATTTCTAGAATATAGAATATTTGGCATTCATGTTTGTTGTCACTCCCTCTTTAACTTCAATATATGCAGAAACTAAAACTAACCATAACCCTGATTACATAACTTTAAATCACCCGATATATTTAGGAAGTAACATCAAAAATGACTGCCATATTTTATCACTAATAGGCAAGATTTGCTAAAGTAAGTTATGACGGGATTATAGTGATTTTTTAAAAATGATTGACGGGAAGCTTCTTGACTTTCTTTTGCTGTGATCTCATTTGGGTTTATATGGAGCTGGTTTCGTCTTCCATCTCCTTTTTAGATCATTCGTCGTTTCTTCAGATGTTTGCAATTCTCCTTACTGACCCATATTGTAGGTGAAGTGACAATTTTCTTAATGGCAACTGAGGATTCGACTAACCATGGACCTTATAATACAAGGCCCATGGGCTAATAGTCTAATAAGGAAATGAAATGAAATGAGGTTTAACGTCATACTGTTCTGCGTCCCAATAAGGAATATATGGCGGTTTTCATGTTCAATTCTGAGACGGCTTTTCTTCCTCCCTTTCCACCTTCTGTCATTTCTTCTATGCGATTAGCTTTCTTATAGTATGTTTAATTCAGCACATGCAGCATGTACTGCAATAAATTCTGGGAAAGCGTGTTGAGGCAATTTAAAGCATAGCTAGAAGCAAGAAAGATGGAGAGCAAGGCTATTCAAATGAGCAGGCCAATTCGTTCAGTTGCATATTGTTTAACTAAAACAATATTTACATGTAAATAATTCCGTATCCGTATCCTTATGAACTTACCAGCTGTCTGAAGAGGTCAATCGAAATAAAGGCAGTAAAGCTTTTAAAGCAGATTAAATAAAAAACAAAAAGATAGTTTGCCTGAGAACAAAACTCCAAAGCAGTTAACTTGTCTGAGCAGTCCATAAAGGGTGTTACATTTTGATTCTTTAATTAAGCAATGGGAGCACCAAGACATTAATTACCGATCAATCGCAGCAACCCATGAAGTAATAGTAATTATCAGAAATTATTAAAATATGGTAGACTTCTAGTTTTTCCTTGGCTAATATTTAAAAAATCAAGTAGGAGTAATCAATTAGATGACTGAGCTGTTCAAGTTATCGAAAAAATAGTTGAAAATCAATTAACTTTTTCCTCTTGGGTGATAGCTGTCAACAACCAATTGTGTATGTCGATCCAACATACAGACAGGGGTGTGGCGAGAACATCTAGTACACAACATTTTGATGGGCGTAAAAAATTGAAAAGAAAGAAGAAGAGAAGAAATGTTTAATTATATATAATATACCAATGTACAAAAATTAATAAGATGAAAATAATTATGATTAAGATGGATTATTAGAAGACATAATAATATATACATCCGATTTTCTATTTAAAATAGATATTTACAGGTTAGTAAATGAATGAAATAGTTAAAAAGTTACCATGGTGATTCTAATATTTTAGCTATTCTTAGTAAGGATGGATGGAGAAAGAAATAATTGGGGTTTAACGTCCACTCGATACAAACTATGTCATTTTGGGACTAACCAAACTTGCTTTTTATTAGCTCCGAAGTCCAAACAGAAATTACTAGTATGGTAAAGTCAATTTAATTTTTAGTTATAAATAAAACCCCACTTGAGTCTCATGAAAAATATTTTATTTAGAATTTCAAAACTTGAAAATGTGGCTAAAAGCTTTCGAGAAAAGTAACCAAGTATTTTTGGTTTTTGAATTATTATTTTTTCTCCAAGAAATAGGTAACGTATTCCGGAAGAACAGAAGTGGCCTAACAGGCAATTTTATAGTTATCAAATTATTCACAAAGTGTTCGAATACATAGTCCCAATCAACCAGTAATACAACAATTATGGTAACCAAGGGTAACTAAAAATGAGATTTGGTTTTTGATTGGCTCCAAATTGTGATAAAATAGTAACCAAGGGTAGCTATAATATTTTAGTTGACTCAAGGTAAATGAGAAGCAGTCGGTTAATATGTTAAATGCTTTCACTCACTGAGCATGTATAGTAGGTTGCAAATACAATACAAAATGTGAGCTGCTCCCACAAAACCAGGCTCTTGGTCATTTTTGTAAAAATTGAGCTGGCAGCATATTTGAATAGTCCACAGCCTAAGCTCTCCAAAAATGCAATTCTTTTTAAATTTGTTGTATTATCTGGAGTTGAGTTCGGCTCATTCACAGCAACAAGAAGGCATACAGTTTATAAAAAATTTTTGTGCCCGTAGTACAAAATGAAGTTGTGCGACAAGCGCCTGGTTTTGTGGGAGAGGGTCACAAATTCTTAAAAATGATCTCGAATATTTACAGTCTTATAAAATAGTGATTTGCTGAAAATGTGAGAATAGTGTTGTTTTTTTAAAAAAATAAAATAAAAGAGAACTACAATCAACATAAACTATTTGGAAGAATGCCAAACAAACCTAACAAAACATACATATATAGCAATTTCTTATTTTCAAAAGGTGCATGTCCCACTTCCACCCCACTCTATAGGTACTTTTCATTCGATGCTAGCCATACCCAAGCACCATGCACCAATTTTCTCCCCTTTTGCATCGATGCCAATATCTAGGAAATATTCCAAATTGTGTATTTCGTTGGGATTTTTTTTAAATTTTGCTAGGGGAGACACCATCTGCCCCTACCTTACAGGTACCTTTATCAAGCAATAATCAATAATGAATAACAACTATACATTTATAGTACATCCATGAGTAAAGTAATGGTTATTGTTACTTAAGTCTTAATTAATGTGATGTTTTGATTGTTAAAATGTTTTACTCATGGATGTAGCCTACTATAATTGTATGTTTGTTATTCATTAATGATCATGAGTAAAGTCATATTCAAAACAAAAATGGTTGTTGTTATAAGTCTTAATTAATGTGATGATTGTTAAATTGTTTTACTCATGAATGTACTATAAAGATACCTGTAAGAGTAGTGAAACGTTGCATGTAATAAACCAAGAAGTAGTAAATCCATAGAGTTGTGTTATTATGAACATTTTTGTTTCTTTTTAGAATGCAGCTACAGGATTTTCAGGATTGTTATACAAAAAAGTGCTGTGTTTTACATCAAAATAAAATTAAAGTAGTAATTAAAAACGCTGATCGCCATTTGAGATATTTTTAATCCCTTGCAAACTACAATATTATTAAATCTGATTCTCGAAAAGAAGTATCAGTCAAATAATGCTTCAATTCTATTTAGTATGATGAATTGATAAGTCAGCACCATCTGCAGATAATGTCAAAAAGCCAGTGCCACCTAAAGTTAGCCTTTTTTAATTTAATTGAATTCAAGCCAGCAGCTATTTTCTTTATTTTTTTTAACCAAGTGTTAAATAATCAATTTTAACCATGGTTTAAGAAGTGAAAAGTTAGATATTGGTGATCAGCGATTTTAAGAATTGATCATAAAGTGGTAATTAATAAATAAAACATTTTGAACATTTTGACAAATTACACAGAATAATATTGGAATGTTAATTATATGAATTCTAAAGAAATTCAATCATAACTTCAAAGTAGCACTTAAAAGTATATACAATAAAAAATATTTATTTTGGAAAATATTTCCGAAGCCTCTGTCAATTGCTGCCATCTTATAAAGGCAAAGAAATTGGTATAAATGATTTAGTTCTAAGAAAAAGGGTAATTTTGTTTCGGTATAATTCAACTGGATGAAGAATAAGATGAAGCTTTTTTGTGTTTTTTGGGCGAAATGAATTATTTATAAATGATAATGATCCAATCTGGGATGTAGCCCACTCAACTAAAAATTTGAAGTGGTCACCAATTTTAGGTTTCAGGGCATTGCCTCCATGCTAACCCTTTAGCACCTTGTCCGCCTGTAACTATGGGAGGGCTCCTTAGATACCCTCCTCTCGCCCCCCCCACCCTCCCAAGAGCTAATATACTGTCCTAGAACACAAAGAACTTTTCATGTATCTTGTGCGGTTTGAGGGTGTTCTAAGCAACAGTAGTATCAACTGCCTGTATCTAGGGTTCCTTTAACTTCGAGCCTCCCAAATTGAGCCCTGCATTTTAAACAACTGGCCCTGCAAGGAATTGTGATAATCAATATTTATATGTACCAAGAGCTAAAGGGTTAAGAATGCTAAAATAATGAGCATTTCAGCATTTTCTGAGGTCAATAGGTTTAGATCTACATCCCTAACTTACTAACTCACTATAACTATTAATATTATCAAAAATAAAATCAAACCTAATTATTCTAATATATATAAATATACTTTTCTGTCTTTCAATGTTCAAAAAAACATCTTTTTCATTTTTATACCTAAAAAAATTTCTGGACAAGTAAAAAATTACTTAATTTTTGTAAAATCTCAAATTCTATATAAATGTACCATTTTGTCTCTTAGTGTTAAATTTGATTTAATTTAGAAATGAAACTTCCCCAAATTTCAACATGTTTTGCACCGTTTAACAGCACATCATGTTAAATATAGGAAGAGGTTATTCATAAACACAGTAAATATAGGAAGAGGTTATTCATAAACACAGTATTTAGGGGGAGAGAGAAATGGGGGTTTAACGTCCACATGACACAAACTAGGTCATTTTAGGACTAACACATGGTTGAATAGAATTAGCGCGTAGGGGTCTTTAGCAGTGGGAGAAAACCCACGAGGTTGGTCAGGCGACCCTACTCCTTGTCACGTACAACCAGGGAATCGAAACCACGCCAGTTAACTCGATGCCAGACCTTATGATACAGCGCACACGTGCTAACCATTTGGCCATACAACCCCCCACAGTACTTACGAATAAAGATTATCTCGTCTGAGTTACGATTACGGTACTTCGTAAAAACTTTCGAAGCATCAATGACCTGAAGCTGTTTAAAGGCACTAAGGATTTTTGCTTGTTTATGATACATATGGTGGATGCTTGAATGCTAGTCTACATTGTCTCGAATTAACAGATTTTGAGAAAAGAATCGTGACGGAATTAAACACAATAAATATATTTCAGCTGTTAGGATTAGTTGAGATATTTTCTGATGTAACCAGTGCATGCATTGTAGCCCGAAATCTCCTTTTATACTTGATTTTTGGGGAATATAAAAAATTTAATTACGAAACTTTCAATCGAGTATCTCCATAGTGTCCCAATAAACAGTTGCCCTAAATCTAAATACTGTGGTTACAAATAAAATCTTCCTTGTACATGTAGGCCTATGTGCTCTAGAAATGCATCACATAAATAATTTCTCCAATTTCAACTTTATAATCCACTTGACTAATTTCTTTTTGTTTATATGGCAAGCTACAAGTCATGTGACAACCTCTCTGTCCAATCACAATGAACCTTACTGAAAATGATAAAAAGTCTTTCGAAAGGTCGGTAAGTTGATATTCATTAACAATGGCTTGATGCTCTCATGCCGTAAGTTTCTTCTCGTCTGTCGTTTTTATTGGATACGTACAGACGCATTGATTCGACCAACAGGCACATTCCTCCAAACAAGCTGAAGAATCCGGACAAAACACAGAAACCAAATGACCATGACAAGTAGTTTGAATCGGGTTGTGGTAACCATTGACGATCAATTTCTGCCTTCACACCAAATACAATGGTGCATATGGCGATCACCAATCCTGAAAAAATTAAAGAAACGTGGAATTTCAAACTTAGGATAACTTTAACTCGACACAAACTAGGTCATTTTGGGACTAACACATGGTTCAATTTTATTTCAATAATTTGTATGCTCGTAGGGTTTTTAGCAGTGGAAGGAAACCAAGAGGTTGGAAAATAAAATGAAATGGGGTTTAACGTCCTACTTTTCTGCTCCGACTGGGCTAATGAAGATGGGCATACACCACAAAGTGTGCTATGAGGGCAATTTTTCCTGGGCATCGACACTATGGCCTACTCTTATATCAAATTCCAACTGCCAAGGGATCTTTTAAGTGCTTGGCAATGTATACTCAGGACCTCGCTTTTTTTTGTCCCATCCAAATTACTACACAGCATATTTAGTGACCTTCAAAAATGATGTCATTAGCCCCCTCCCCCTTACAGCACTATATTTAATTTACCAAGGAAATGAAATGAAATGAAATGGAGTTTAACGTCCTACTGTTCTGCTCCTAACCTGGGCTAATGAAGACGGGCATACGCCATACAGTGTGCTATGAGGGAAATTTTGCCCGGACAGCGGCACTACGGCCTACTCTTATATCGAATTCCAACTGCCAAGGGATCTTTTACGTGCATTCCAATGTATACACGGGACCTCGGTTTTTCGTCTCATCCGAAGGACTAGACAGCTATCCTTGTCAGGCCCTCCGTCCTGCATCACTGACAAGGGGGAACCACGCCGGAAAATCTGGATGAACTTTCTCGGCCAATGCAGGGATCGAACACCCGACCTCCAGGCTAGCGAGCTAGCGTCTTACCCACTTAGCCACGTGATCCCCAATTTACCAAGGTGTCCCCTTGAACAATTTATAGGAGGTGGTGAACTTTAGATTATACGGGTTGCCATTGAGTCAATTAGTTAGGGGGGGTGGGGGGTTGGATGGCCGAATGGTAAGTGCGTGCTAGCTGTATCATAAGGTCTGTCATTGAGTCAGCTGGTGTGATTTTGATTCCCCGGCTGTAGGATCACCTGTCCAACCTTGGCGGTTTTCTCCCACTGTTAAAGACCCCTATGTGCAAGTGGATTATTGAAATAAAATTGAACCATGTTAGTCCCAAAATGAACTAGTTTGTGTCAAGTGGATGTTAAACCCCATCTCTCTCTCTCTCAATTAGTGCGGTTTTGATCCCAAGCTTCAACATGACAACTTGGAGTAGGTTTACCTGTTCAACCTCTTGGGTGCCTTGGTGGCTAAGTGTAAGACACAGGTTCGTTAGCTAGGAGGTCGGGTGATCGATTCTTGCATTGGCCGAGAAAGTTCATTGGGATTTTCTGACAAGGTTTCCCCTTGTCAGTGGTGTAGGACGGAGGTACTGACAAGGACAGCTGTCTAGTCAAGTGGGTGAGAGAAAAAACCGAGGTCCCATGTATACATTGGCAAGCACTTAAAAGATTCCTTGGCAGTTGGAATTCAATATAAGTGTAGGTAATAGTCTCGCTGCCCGGGCAAAACTGACTCACAGCACACTGTATGGCATATGCCCATCTTCATTAGTCAGATTGTACTGCAGAAAAGTAGGATGTCAAACCCCATTACATTTAATTTTATTGAAAACAAACAATACTGACCTGAAATGAAGTCCATCACCGTGGCAGCCATTACATAATTTTTGGCTTTCGCTAATGGACAACAATGGAGGAAATAGAATGCCACGAATAAAATGGTCACCATCATCAACAAAAATGTCAGGGTGAGCAAAACCTGGACGGCCAATAACCATGCTGAAATATATAAAAAACAACAACAAATTATAATTAAAGATACATTCTTTAAGATTTAGATAAAGAGCTGGCTATTTGTGCTATAATAAAATTAAAACACTAATCTGGAAATACTACTTCTGAATTTTATCAACATGCTACGTTTCAACGAATACCTGACAACTCATCCCAAAGACAACTCATCCCAATATAAGACAACTCATCCCAAGAAAGAAGACAACTCATCCCAAGATAAAAGACAACTCATTCCAACTTAGTTTTGTTTGGTTTAATACATGAGTCGAGATATCAACAATTTTTTAATAATACGTTTTATTACATCAACACATACATTTATCTGTTGTTTTTTTTCTTCATTTTCTTAATAAGTTTTTTCTTCAGTCAGTTAGTCTGTCAGTTTGTCCCTCAATAGATTCCTATACATCTTTTTAATAACTGGTTGTTGCTAACAGTTTGGTTTCTATAAGAATTCCACAGTTGGAACAGCTTCAACTGCGTGGATTTTTATAACAAAATCAGATTGGTCTGAGTTTTCTTCGAAGAAAGCAATTGTATTAACACAAATATAACTAGCACTTACATTTGTTGGGATGAGTTGTCTTATATCTCGACCCATGTTTTAAGGTTGGGATGAGTTGTCTTCTAACTTGGGATGAGTTGTCTTATATTGGGATGAGTTGTCTTATATTGGGATGAGTTGTCTGTATACCGTTTCAATTCAGAAATGGTACAAATGTCAAATCTATTTTATGCTGGCTGTGCAGGTTATATTATAATGTAAACCCATGGTGACTCAGTGAATAAGGCTCTAGCTCACTAACCAGTTGGTTTAGGAATCTATCTAGGTATTGGTCGAGAAAGTTCCCTGGGACTTTCCAGTGTGGTTCCCACTTGTCAGTGGTGCTGGACCGAGGACATGGCAAGGAAAGTGTCTAGTCCATTGGATGGAATGCAAAACCAGTTTCATGTACACGTTGGTGTGACCAAAAAAGAACCCTTGGCAATTGGAATTTGAAATAAGATTAGGCCATGGTGCCGCTGTCAAGGCAAAATGTCCCTCATATCACACCACATGATGTATGCCTGTCTTCATTAGTCTGGTTGGTACTGAAAAGTGGGGCATTAATTGTTAAACCCCATTTCATTCCATTTCACAAACATAAACTAAAGCCCAACAATTTTACCGTGTCATTTTCCACATATGTCATATAAATTTGTGGTTTGGAAACTGCCTTTTTAAAAATTTATTTAAAATATATTTTTCGAGATACCCTTTAACAAATAATATTTATGGGCATTTTCTTATGATGATATAAATACTATTTATATAACATGAAATAATAATTATGGAAGCCATCTTGAATAATTAGTTTTTTTTCTTAAAATCTCATATCGCGTTCAAAGAAAACCGACAATTTACACCTGTACCAGGTTAATTAATAAAAGCGCACCTGATGAAAACTTCAAAAACAGCTCTTTGACAGTTGATACTTACGTGGATTCAGGTATGACCAGATTGGTCTGTATTCAAATGAGAAAATCCACCAGCAACCTTGATATCTTTTTCCCAGGTAATCTTTGTAATACGTCCAATTGTCGAAACAAGCCTCCCAAAGGCCCATTTTGACAAATTCCCTGGATCGATCCTGGAACGACTCGATCCAGTTCGGCGTCGCAAAGGCCACCAAGAGACATATGAATGCAAGGATCGTAAAAATAAGTCCAAAAATTCCTACTAAGGTTTTTCTTAACGCCATTTTGAAACAGATAGTTTAGGCGTTTGTAATCTTAAAATAGGTGAGATAGTTTTGATTTTCCAGTACGACAGGTAAAACTCCATTCAGGACAAAGACTTGTATATTCGAGACTAGATTGGTGACACATTCTGGACCAGTCGACTTTTCTTGAGCAGGTAACAGTTTACCTTGATAACAACATAACAACATAACTGTGTCATCCGTTGAATAATGCACGAAAGCTCGTTACGATGTTCGTGGGATAAAAATTACAGGAACTAATTCATAGTTAGGTTTAACGATCAATATATAGGCTTCTGGGATGATTTGACAATGAAATGAAATGGGGTCTAATTTAACGTTCTACGGTACTGTTCAGCTCCGACAGGGCTAACGAAGAGGGGCATAAGCCATACCGTACAGTGAGCTATTGTGCCCGGACAACAGTTGGATTCCAACTGTCAAGGGTGTGAACACAAAGGAGAACACAGGACTCTCGGGTTTTCGTCCCATCCGATCGACTAAACGCTGTTCCTAATTGCCATACAGTGTGCCATGAGGGAATATTTGCCCGGTCAGCCGCGCTACAGCCTGCTCTTATATCGAGTTCCAACTGCCAAGGTTTATATTCCGTGAACGCCAATGTATACACGGGACTTCGTTTTTGTCCCATTCGAACGACTATATGTTGTCCCCTGCCAGGCCCTCTGTCCTACAACATTGACAAGTGGCTACTATGATAATTAACAATGATTATAGTCAAACCGTAAAGTAACGTTAATAAAACCCATCTTATATGATTGCAAATAAAATGCACCGAAGGATTCGCAGTGGCTCAATTGGTGAGTTGGCTCACTAACAACGAGGTAAGTCGTTGGTTTCCCCGGATGCAGGCTATGGTCGTTGGAATAGGAAATGAAGTAAAATGAAATGGGGTTTAACGTCCTACTGTTCTGCTCCGACTGGGATAATGAAGACGGGCTTACGCCAAACAATGTGTATGAGGGATATTTTGCCCGGACACCGGCGCTACGACCTACTCTTATATCGAATTCTAACTGCCAAGGGATATGTTACGTGCACGCCAATGTGTACACGGGATCTCGTTTTTCCTCCCATCCGAACGACTAGACAGCTGTCCTTGCCAGGCCCTCGTGAAACCACGCCTCCAATTTTTCTGCACCAATCGAACTAATGAAAAAAGACAAACATGCAGTATGCTGTGGGATAAATTCTACCCGGACAGAGGCGTTTCCGCCTACTCTTTACCGAATTCCAACTGCCAGGAGTTCCTTTATCTGCACGCCACCGTGTACACGGGGCCTCGTTTTTTTGTCCTATCCGAGCGACTAGGCGCCGTTCCTGTGCAAATCTCCCATTCTGCTCTACTGGTGCACAACATTACGTTAAACCACATTTCATGTTATGCAGAATATACACATCTTGGAATACGTAACGGTATTATGCAATACACATTAATAATGTTGTACATTCAGGAAATATACATCCTTAATAAACAGAACGGAATGCACATCTTCAATAAACCGAACGGAATATACATCCTTAATAAACAGAACGAGGTATACATCTTCAATAAGCCTAACATAATATGCATCTTTAATAAACCAAACGGAATAAACATCTGTAATAAACAAAGCGGAATATACATCTTCAATAAACCGAACGGAATACACATCTTCAATAAACCGAACGGAATACACATCAGGGACCTTTCGCATCGGTACGAAAACGAATACGAAAACGAAAACGTCATCGATTCGTGTGTACTTGTGACGTCAATCCGTAATGAGTGTTCGGCCAGTGAAAAACGTTACGCGTATGGAGCTGGATTTACGTAGGTATGCAAACGAATATGTTTCTTGTCTCATATATATTGAATTTTCCACCATTTTTCGAGGCTTTATGTATATTGTTCATTTTTTAGAGTTCGTAGAATGTGCTCAACAGCAATATTCCTCTTGATTTGTTGTACATCTGCCAAAAAATCGATTGAAAACTTTGCCTTGACCGAGAAGTTCATGAAGTGGAAATCAACGCCATCTAGCTATTATCGTACGTCGGATTGCGAAACCGCGTGTAAGAGGATACGAAAACGAAAACGAACATATGTTCGTTTTGGTGTTCGTTTTCGTACCGATGCGAAAGGTCCCTATCTTCAATAAACCGAACGGAATACACATCTTTAATAAACAAAACGGAATACATAGAGAATCTCCTACCAGTCTTATATCAAAAAAGACGAGTAGGAGATTTTATTTATCACCCAATCCCTTCTTACGTCCACAAATAGATAAATATAATTCTTTGCTGTAGATTTCACTTTTACTGAACATTATGGCGTAGTGATACATCATTTTGTGACAGCAATTCAACCATTGCAAAGTCCTTTATATTGACCCAGTGTTTCCATCAAGGTCAATTGAATAACAATAGTTCATATTTAATTTTTAAAAAATGTTACTTTTAATAAGAAATGAACTGTTCTTTGAAAATAATAAAAAGTAGTTCCTTTTCAACTGACCAAGGAGATATCGCAGTAGATTATGAAATATATCACACAAGCGATATCTACTGTAGAATGTATTATTGGGTGATAAACATCTTTAATAAACAAAACGGAAAATACATCTTTAATAAGCCGACCGGAATATACATCTTTAAAAACAAAACGGAATATATATCTTTAATAAACAAAGTGGAATATATATCTTTAATAAACAAAGTGGAATATACATCTTCAATAAACAGAACGGAATGGGAAATGAAGTAAAATGAAATGGGGTTTAAAGGACAATATTGGTGCCAGTCATTATCACATATGTGATAGAACTGGTTAAACACGTTCCAAATATTATTTTTTCACAGAGATCATTGCTACGATAGATGAGTAATCAATGTTTCAACAATAGGAAGTGACGAACGCAAAAGGGAAACACGAGTTATCCCTCTATAAAACTGGCTGAAGTGACGGGTGATAACAGATACATGGGCGAATTTCTGCTCACTAAAAATTCCTTCGAAGATAAAAAGTTGTTATATGAGACTGTAAGAGTATATCTGACAATTCAAAAAGGTAATTGAATGTCATTAGATAAGAGAACACGAGAAAAATAGAAACAGTTCGTACATTCACGGGTGTTTATTCATTCTATACTTATAAAAACATGGTAATGCACGGACTTTTTCTATTTTTCTTTCGTGTTCTCTTATCCAGTGACAGTCAATTTTGTTTATGAATTGTCAGATATCCTTTCACAGTCCCATACAACAACTTTTGGTCTTCGAAGGAATTATTAGTTAGCACGCGTGTGCTGTATCACGAGGTCTGTCATTGAGTCAACTGTACGTGACAAGGAGTAGGGTTGCCTGTCCAACCTCGTGGGTTTTCTCCGGGGCCCCGGTTTCCACCCACTGATAAAGTCCCCTACGCGCAAGCGAATTATTGAAATAAAATTAAACCATGTGTTAGTCCCGAAATGACCTAGTCTGTGTCGAGTGGACGTTAAACCCCATTTCTCTCTCTCTCTCCTACATCACTGGCATTAGATATCCGTTGGAACTAGGCGGTTTATCTCCTTTGATGAAATTAAATCTAACTGATCCGCAACCTTCATGACAAACACGGACATTCCAGAAATATTTTAGTCTGTATGGATGTCACGTGGTAAGTGCGGTGCGGTTCCTGGTTTCTAAAGGACATTCTTTGTTTGGCACCTTTATGGCCCATATAAGCCCATCATAACATCAACTCGTCAGAAAATAACCACTTTAGCAGATTTTTAAATACTTTTGGGGTAAATACTTTCAAGTTTCGTACGGGTAGATACATGTATAAAAGGAAAAATGAAATGAAATGGGGTTTAATGTCCTACTGTTCTACTCCGAGTGGGATATAAAGAAGACGGCCATACGTTATATACAGTGTGCTCTGAGGGAAATTTTTCCCGGGCAGCGGCACAGCTAGTGGCCTACTCTTATAACGAATTCCAAATGTCCGTGTCATGCGATAAAAAAGGCAGAGAAGGGAAAATCCGTCCCAGTTCACCCCCTCTGTGAATTACAAAGACAAGATTCATCGTGACATCATTCTCAAGGTATTTATTATTTGAATGATTATCCAGCCCTTTCATTCAAAATTCTATTCGAATGCAATACACAAAGTGAGACTCATTACGCGAGTCACTGTTAATTTTCCTTATTGTCTCTTATTAAAAAAAAAGTCTTTTAAATTTTTAAAGTAGATTTGTAAATTCAGAATCATAAAATAAATTAAATAAATAAGTATAAACCATGATAATTTGTGATCCATGTTTTAATTCTATAACAAATGAAATTAATATCTTATCACCTGTCACCCCTCCACACCTATCTGTAATAGACTTGTCCTTCTTCAGGTGAAAACAGTAATTTCAAAATGGCGACGCAAACGTTTTACCGTTTGGCGTTTTTCTGTGCTATCGTTGCGTTTGTGTTGATGTTTGTTGCCTTCGCTAGTCCATATTGGTACAAATCTTGGACCAGAGTTCACAGCCCATTTTCGAATATTGGTCTATGGCACATCTGTTTGGCGGGCTATGTGATGCCAGGGGACCCGAACATGAAAACTTATGTCGGCTGTTGGTGGATTCATTCGTCGGAATTTGATGGAGTAAAGACATATTTTATGCCCTGTAAGTTGGTATCATTTATAAAAATGTAAAATATATTTTGATAATTTTAAAATATAAATGAATAAGGGTCGGGGTGAAGGTAAGCAGTTTGAAATTGACCATATATAACAACTGATTTTTGGTGACTCAGATTTCGAGTTATTTGTATTCAAGAAAGATAACTCCGTTGATAAGTTTGTTTTAATTAATCATAATAATTATCTATTTAACTGTCAAAGGATTATATTCGAACGATAATATTGCTGCCAGGTTGCGGGTCACATTGCAGTGGTTCTTAGGTGATAACTATATCCACCTACACACAACAATAAAGCTCATAATTTTACAAGCTGTTTGATATCCTACATCTCTGTACCCCTTGGCTAATGAAGACACTTTTATGAGAGTTACATATATTATGATCTGGCTACCATGTATAGCTGGGCAGTGGTTCTTTTTGAGAAACCAGGAAGTCCAAAATTTGGTCTGTCACATCCTACATTTCTGTACCAATCAGGCCAATGAATATGGGCAAACGCCATGAGGGAAATTTTGCATGAACAGCAGTTTTTCAACATAATCTTCATCAAATTCAAACCACAAAGGGTTCTTTTACGTGCACACCAACATGTACACAAGACTTAGATTTTTCATCCCATCTAATTGACTCGGGGCTGTTCCTTACCTGACTGAAGAGTAGAACCTCGTAGAATATCATGCAGAACTTTTTACTTGTCAGCACCACAGTCAAATACCAGCTGTCTAGTTGTTCGGATGGGATAGAAAATTGAGGTCCCTTCCTCCCTAATTCCATGTCAAAGAACCCTTGGCAGTTGGAATTCGATATGAGGGAAGTATTGCAGGAATATCAGTTTTTCTACATAATCTTCATCGATTTCAAACCGCAAAGGGTTCTTTTACATGCACACCAACAGGTACACAAGAAATTGATTTTTCATCCCATCCAACTGACTAGGTGGTGTTCCTTACCTGGCTCTCCGTCACACACCACTGAAGGGTAGAAACCTCAGGGAATATTATGCAGAACTTTTTACTTGTCAGCACCACAGTCAAATACTAGGCCCACAGCTGTCTAGTCGTTTGGATGGGATAGAAAATCGAGGTCCCTTCTTTCCATGGAAAAGAACCCTTGGTAGTCGGAATTTGATATTAGAGTAGGCCGTAGTGCTGTCCGGGCAACATTTCCCCTTAACACACTGCATGTTGAATGCCCATCTTCATTAGCCCAGTCAGTGCAGATAGGTAGGACGTTAAACCCTATTTCATTTCATTTCATTTTTATATTTACAGCATGGATAATTTACTTATTTGTTATATTTTTTTATTTTATATTTACAGCATGGATGGTTTACTTATTTGTTATATTTATATATTTACAGCATGGATGGTTTACTTATTTGTTATATTTGTATTTTTATTTGTTATATTTGTATATTTACAGCATGGTTTATGGGTATACAGGCGTTGTCTATTTTTACTCTGATACTTGATGGTTTATCTATTCTATTTCTCGTGGTATATCTCTCGGATCGTTTATATGAGAAATTATTTGAAAAGAAGAGATCACTAATGTATTTTGTAGCCAGTTTTACCTTACTACTAGCATGTAAGTCATTTACATATTTATGGTCCAAGAACTAAGCCCCAGACGCTACTCATCTGTTTGTTGTTATTCTCATTGCCTAGGTGACGCTCTTGAAAATAGCGTAAGGCTTCACTAATTGATAAACGATTGACATGGAACTCAACGTGCTTGTTCCTTGAACAATTCAGGGGGGTTGGATGACCGAATGGTAAGCACGTGCGTGCTGTATCATAAGGCCTGTCATTGAGTCAACTGGCGTGGTTTCGAATCCCCGGTTGTACGTGACAAGGATTAGGGTCGCCTGTCCAACCTCGTGGATTTTCTCCGGGTCCTCCAGTTTCCTCCCACTGCTAAAGACCCCTACACGCAAGCGAATTATTGAAATAAAATTGAACCATTTGTTAGTCCCGAAATGACCTAGTTTGTGTCGAGTGGACGTTAAACCCCATTTCTCTCTCTCTCTCTCCTTGAACAATTCCGCATCTATTGACGGAATTTGATTTTTGATATGAGGTCACAATTCCAAGCAATCTGATTAAAACACAGATCCTGTTTTATTTCGTTTTTTTACATTTCAAAATGGGGTTTTGGATGCCCAAATGATTAGCACGTGCGCTCTATATCATAAGGTCTGTCATTGAGTCAACTGGCATGGTTTTGATTCCCCAGATGTACATGACAAGGAATAGGGTCGTCTGTCCAACCTTGTGGGTTTTCTCTGGGAGAGAGAGAGAGAGAGAAAAATGGGGTTTAACGTCCACTCGACACAAACTAGGTCATTTCGGAACTAACATATGGTTTAATTTTTAAATTTCAATAATGTGCTTGCTCGTAGGGGTCTTTAACAGTAGGAGGAAACCGGAGGACCCGGAGAAAACCCAAGAGGTTGGACAGGCGAACCTACTCCTTGTCACGTACAACCGGGATTCAAAACCAAGCCAGTTGACTCAATGACAGACCTTAAGATGATTAATGCAGAGTCCACTGATCTAATTTTCTTCTTTTCTTTTTCAGCGTTATTGGTGTTTTTGATAGCATTGGTGTTTGCTGAAATGTGTAACGATCCAAAATGGATGCCCAGACCCTGGATGAATTACTTGTCTTGGGGTTACGGATTCTGTGTGCTATCCGGGTTCTTCAACGCTTTTGGTGGCATGTTTTCATTTGTCAACGCCCTCATATTTAAAGATAAGGAAAAAAATTACGCAGACAATCCTGATCGAGTCAATTCTAGAGAAAATAAACTTCGAGCTAAGGAGATGGAAGCTGCCAGAGAACGAGAGATTGCCCAGGAGATGGCGATGGCCAGAGATCAGGAGATGCAGAGAAGAAGTGGGGATAGTAGCAATTACAGATATCCTGCACAGGAACAGACTAAACAGACTAAAGTTGGAGAGTCATTTGTTTAATACAAAAGGTTTGTTTTAACAGTTTCAATTGAATGATTGTTTGATCATTTTGATTAAAATTGATGCATGGAACAAAATGATAAAACTGACGCATGGAGCAAGATAGATACAGAATGGAACAAAATTTATACACCACACATCATGGAATAAAATATATGCACCATACATTTACATTATGGAACAAAATTGATACACCAAACAGGATGGAACAAATTTGATACAAAATTGATACCTCATTAAACAAAATTTATACACCACACATCATGGAATAAAATTGATAGAAATTGTCTTTTGATTGACAGCAATTTTATTTAAACCAGTTTCCTTAAAATCAGAAGTTAATGGCTTCTAAACTGCTCTTTTATTATGAAAGATGGCCATTTGTATTTAAAATGTTGGATTTCATCAAGTAATACCATATTCCTGAAGCAATGGCCCAAGAAATCCCTCTCTGGCCATTGCTGGATTGGCTTCTGATACTTGAGCCTTTGAGGGAGTGTGTCTGTTCTTCCCATTCAATCAAATATATCCCAAGTACAGCAACATGACAGCCCTTCGTTTACTCTGAGGTGTTTGGAACAGAAATTTGCTTTCATTACAGTAGTGTTAAGTGTGATTTTCTCGAATCAAACGAAACACTGCAAGGAGTATGAGTAATACTGGTAAATGCATGACAAACTAATCAAGTTACCATTTGTTTGAAGCCAAATTTGTATTAATATTTTTTCCTTTTATACTTGTATGAATATAATAGTAATCTTTTCAATTTTACATTTTTTTTCACTTTCAGAAGAATTTGATCCCTGAATATTAGAGGGAAGAATAATGAAGTATTTAGCAATTTATTCAAATTTTGACTATTTGAATTTAAAATATTTGTACATAAACTAAAAACATTCCATATTTTGAAATAGGCTTCATCAACATCCGTGTCATAATATTTTTAACTGTATATATTTAAGTCCCCTTCATATCATTATAGTAAAGACTATATACTGATGCTGTTTTAGAAGTAATTTTTTACCAGAGCTGTTTAGTTGCCACTCAATGTCCTACTGGTATTAAAATGTCCAATCAGTTAGTGTGTCTTCTTGACAAATGAAATAGCTTGTAAAATATTTTACTTAAAATGATCCTTTGGATTTTGTTAAAAATTAAGTGCTAATTTGATTTAGTTATGTGTTGGTTTGCTTTTCAAAATGTGTACACAATCTGCATATGTTTAAATTTTAAGGTCCTTAGTAAGCCAACAGTTGAGAGTTTACGCACAAAACTAAACTGGGGGGGTTGGATGGCTGAATGGTTAGCGTGCGCGCGCTGTATCATAAAGTCTGTCATTGAGTCGACTGGCGTGGTTTCGAATCCCCGGTTGTACGTGACAAGGAGTAGGGTCGCCTGTCCAACCTCGTGGGTTTTCTCCAGGTCCTCCGGTTTCCTCCCACAGCTAAAGACCCCTACGCACAAGCGAATTATAGAAATCAAAAAATTAAACCATATGTTAGTCCTGAAATGACCTAGTTTGTGTCAAGTGGACGTTAAACCCCATTTCTCTCTCTCTCTCTCTCTCTCTCTCTCTCACAAAACTAAACTAAAAGTAGTTAAATAAGAGAGAGAGAAATGGGGTTTAACATCCACTCGACACAAACTAAGCAAATTATTGAAATAAAATTGAACCATATTTTAGTCTCTAAATGACCTGGATTGTGTCATGTGGATGTCAAAACCTCACTTCTCTCTTTCTCAGCATTATAGTCTACGCATGTAAGCATAGAAATAGACATTTTGTCTCAAAATGTGGTTTCGAATCCCCGGTTGTACGTGACAAGGAGTAGGGTCGCCTGTCCAACCTCGTGGGTTTTCTCCGGGTCCTCCGGTTTCCTCCCACTGCTAAAGACCCCTACGCGCAAGCGAATTGTTGAAATAAAGTTAAACCATATGTTAGTCCCGAAATGACCTAGTTTGTGTCGAGTGGACGTTAAACCCCATTTCTCTCTCTCTCTCTTGTCTCAAAATTACCAAAATATTGTGTTGATGAGACCGTTGACTCCATCTGTTCCATTCCATTCAAATTGATTGGTTCTCTGGTAGAAACCAGATGGTTGGGTCTTACAATTTCCACCCACTGCTAAAGACCTCTACGCGCAAGCGAATTATTGAAATTATAATAATATTGAACTATTTGTTAGTCCTGAAATGACCTAGTTTGTATTGAGTGGATGTTGAATCCCATTTCTCTCTCTCTCTGGTAGAAATTGAATTAATGATTGTTTTAAATGCTTGCCATACATTAGTAAATTATGTAATGTATATATATTCAGATAGCTTTGATTATAGATTTAAATAGTTTTTGATAGCTTTCAAAAAAAAAATATCTCATAATGTAAAGAATATGAGGTAAAAGGTTTTCTTTTAGTGACAGAATGAAATTTATATTGCTTCCAGGGTTGAATATTAATTGTTTTAGATCTTAAACTGCTTCAGGCCCGTAACTTGGGGGGACTTCTGCAAAAAGTTTCGCCCCCAATCCCCCCTATGAAAAATTGTTGACCATATAAACAATTGTCCGTCAATTTTACAGCACCCCCTGAGAACACTTTCCGCCCCCCCCCTCGTTGCTCTGAGCCAGGTATGTCCCTGCAGGGCTTGTGTACTGGCATCCAATGCTGATTTTACTAGGTTAATATTCAAATGCTATTGGATTCAATTGATGTAATAAATTTTTGAAATGGCTAGAAATTTTAAAAGTGAAAGCCCTGGTTGTATTGGCATATTGATTCCTTATTTTACAGAATGTGGCTGTAATGATTAAAATGTATATAATATATTTTTTTAAACAATAATTAGAAAATATGACCTGTGACAGCAAAATGAGTCAAAATCTAAACTTTTGCCTGCTAAAAGACCATACTAAATCTAGGCTGCCTGTCTACAGTTAGCTCCGTTTGAGAACAGACACTAAGCTAGTTGACTGACATTTTAAGTCATAAATGGACGATTTTAGTCAAAAACACTATAGTTTGAGAATTTTGTGAAGTGGTTATTCCACACCCATTCAATAAAACTGAAAATGTGTCTTTGTTCTTTGTGCATATGACAGATATGAAACGGAATAGAACTACATTACAAAATAGCACACTAAATTTTGGATATGGCGGCCGTTCAGGGCAGAGATCTATTCTCGAAGTATGAAGTAAATTGATCTCGGTGTGCAGAATGGTAAAAGACTTGCGACTCATTCTGCTGTAACAGTCAAATATAGGTCTCTATAATAACAAGTTGTATAATCTCTAGATTTTAATCATCTGTATATATTGTAAATCATTTTATAAAATCATTTTATAATAAATCTTACATTAAAAAATTTGTGTGTTAAGTTAATGAATAATCCCTTGTCGGTGGGGTAAGACAGGGAGAGTCTGGCAAGAATAAGGGTATGGTCAAATCAGGATGGAAGACTGTTGGAAGATGTATTTCTGGACAAGCGAGACTTAGTCTCGACTATCTATTTTATCGCAAAATCTTAAAATTTCATGAGTGTTCTAATCCATTTAAATCTCTACCATCCAATGGTCTTGAGAATTGATTATGGGCTTATCATGTTAATAAATGTCTAAATGATAGCTTAGATTACATTTGAAGCCCAACAATTATTTCAAATAATGGTACGGGCAATTTGCCAAGCATACATTATTTATACTAGTTGAAATATTGGACCCCCTTGACGTATTTGATTGAAATGCAAGAGCTGGATAGTGTCTGTATTTTAAGTTGTTTATTGGTCTCGTGCAAGACATTGCGTAATATATAGATATAGCACATGTACTAATGCCCATACCAACAGGATTCAATTTGGTAGGGAAAAATCAAGTACACATGACAGGGTATGCTGAAACCAGATTAAATTCAATGACTAGAACTATGAAACAAAACTTCAATAAAATATGCTTTTATTTCTATGGAAGTAAATTTAAAACAGATCTCAATTATAGAAATACAGTGCAACAATTTACACAAACAACCATATTATGTAAAATGCTAATTCAACTATATTATGTAAAATGCTAATTCATGGCAGGAAACTACAATCATTTTCACATAAATCAGTTTCTTATTTTTTAATATACATTTAAAAAAAATATCAGTAGAATTGTATATGAGAACAATAACCCACATAACAAAATATTCTGTTCATTATTATTACATACTAAGGTCATGATAGCTGTTTTAACAGCTAGCTCCTACAGAATGTATCTTTAAAATAATGAATATATTTAAAATTACTTCATTCAGTGCATAGTTTTGACCGTTTACGTAGATCTATTAAAACTTTTGCTTATTATTTCTTCCGGATGATTGCTCTTTCCAAAAATCTCATGGAGATTGCAAAGAAAGTTAATTCTGGACGGGAATCGATGGAAGTCTATTGTGAAGGCACTATGTTTCACTGGAAAGGATGATGAAAGGGAGTTTATTTATCAACTGGGATAATGAGCTGATGAGGGTAATTTTTACACCTTAAAAATTTATCTTGCTAGTTGGAAGACATTTTGATAACATATAAAATAAAAGCAATAAAATAAATTTCTAGAAAAATTCATAATATTAAAAATCTCTTTAAATGGAAGATCTGTTGAAACAGATATTATTTTTCACGCCATTCACTAACCATAAATACTCCTTTATACTGAAATATGATGAGACAATAAGCTAAAATATCCAATTTCTCATGGCTTAATAGTAATTAAAATACAGTTGTGACGTCACCCTTTGATGTTGGCGTACCATTATTTCAAATAATCGTACGGGCAACTTGCCAATAGTACTTTATTCAAACCAGTGAGATATTGGACTAATGTGACGTAAAAGCTCGTGCTGAATGTCAGTATTTTAAGATTTTAGTAAAAGTCATTTGTTGATAAGTGAACAGTATCAACTTTACAGTGTATACATACAAAATGTTGATCATACTTTTAAAACAATCTTAATATACACGAATAATAAACAATCACATTTTCGCACAGTTTCTATAAAACAGATTTACTGGTAAATGCAGTTTGAATTTCAATAAATTTTATAAATTGGCTATAAAATATTTATATATAAAGTTCAAAACATGTATTTTAAAATAAAGATACATAAATCATTATTATGCTTAACAAAATCTCGAACAGTTTGAATTTCAATAAACCTGATAAAAAGGCTATATAAAACTTAGAACTTGTACTTTAAAATATAAATACATATCATTATTATGCTTTACAAAATCTCAAAACATGGGACTAAAATATATAAATCTACAGATTACAAATTTGTAGAACTGGATGGAAGCAAACAGGTGGATTTCCACAGATATCAAGATAGGTTGCCAGGCAACGAAACATTCAATATACAACCTTATTTCATTATGGGTGCATAAAAACTAACATATTATTTATGTAGATAAAATTGATCAAATTTTGTATTATAAGGCTAAAAATATTATTCATATATGTTCGTGTTATACTTGTGGAAAGGATATGTTGACATAATCACTTGCATTATTTTAAAAAAAAATTAAAGCTTTCCGGTGACCTTTAAATTGTACTGTTTATCAAAATTATGTAGTACATGTATGGTTCTACATTTGTATAAATCATCATGGACGCAAGAGGATGGATTTCAACCGAAATTTGTGTTAAAACTATCATACAATGTATCAAATTAACATTTTATTCTATCATTAAAATCATCATGGAAGTAGAACTTCAGATTTCATCATACTAATTAAACAAATTATCATACTCGGAATCATTATCACACCCTGTAATATGACAAATCATCATACTCTGTAATATGACAAATTACCAGACACTGCATTATGATAAATGATCAGACTCTGTACTATGACAAATCATAATTCTTTGTATTATGATAATTATCAGATTCTGTAACAAGACATTTTGTCAGACTCTTATGACAAATTATCAGACTCTGTATTATGACAAATTTAAAGACTTACAAATGATTGAAATATACATTATAATTCGAGGGAAACAGTAAATCTTTCTTCTTAGTAAATTATATATGAATTGGTATAAAAAGCAGTGCATAATATAACAAAATTAGTATATAAGACATCCATAGATGAAAAATAATTTAATATATTGAAAGCATGTATATAAAAATATATAGACAAAAACTATGTAGGTTCTCTGATATATTTTGAAGAATAAGATTTAAGTGTACTTCCGACTGGTATCAATCCAATGAAATATCATACTTAACTGATATATTATACAGAAGCATTTTATTTAATCATAATTAAAGCTATGTATTAGTCAGTTCATTTGATCACCACTAAACACTTCATTTGATCACCACTAAGCCACATGCTATCGGAGATACTTCATTTAAGTATGGTTTAATGATCGAGAGTGAGACATTAAGTAATATATTGATACTGCACGAGGCGTAAGCCGAGTGTTGTTTCAATATATTACGCAATGTCTTTAGCTTGAGACCATTAAACCACTTAAAATACAGACACTATCCCGCACATGCTTTTCAATGAAATATGTCACGCGAGTCCAATATTTCATCTAGTATAGATAATGTACGATTGGGAAGTTGCCCTTACATTATTGGAAATAATGGTACACCAACATCAAAGGATGACGTCACATCTGTATTTTTAAAATCACATTTAAGCCACATGCTATCTTAGAAACTACATTTGATCACATCTAAGCCATGTGTTAGATAGTTAATTTGATCACATCTAAGCCATGTGTTAAACAGTTCAATTGATCATCACTAAAGCCATGTATTAAACACTTCATTTGATTACCACTTCATTTAACTGATGCCAGGAAAATTGGGTCCAAATCTACCAACAATAGTGCACTCACTAGAGCCATACTTCTTGTTATATTTAGTTTATTTTTTTAAATTTTAAGTTATCCGTTTTTTATGAAATATATTCCTTTTAACTAAAATAAATTCTTTCTGTGTGTATGACGAAATGAAGACATAGAACTCAAAGCACCTAGAAATACATAAAATGATCAATAAAAGACAAAAAGAAATATTCATAGCATCCTGTATTATCTAATGCACTTTTTTTTATATAACACCAAGGTTTTGGCTTCACGTTTAAATAGAGACATTACTAGCCAACTACACCGTATCTCAACGAGAGCACCGCTAACGCTGCAATATACGTCCACATTCCAGCTTTGATCGATATGGTACTTTTTAAAATGAAGAGAATGAAATATGAAATGGCTGTAATGTGATCAGAGGCAAAGAAGGCTAGGCGTTGGGTTTGTTTTTCCAAATTTACAGACAAAGTACTAACAAAAAAGTGGGTGTGACACTGCCCCAAGAGGTCGGGGCAAGACTCAAAATAAATAGTCGCTGTCTTTACGGTATAAGAAATAAATAAGTTCTAAGATGATCCATTCAGAATTGCGGCCTGTAGACGATAAATACAAAAAATGGGTGTGGCTCAGCCCGTAGGGGTTGGATATGGAACAATGTAAATAGTTACCACCCTGTTATTGAAATGACAACATCAATAGTTGCCGTCCTTAGGGTATAAGGAATATGTATACCAAGTTCCAAGATAATCCATTCAGAATTGTGGCCTTCGGGCGCTAAAGGCAAAAATTTGGCGTGGCACTGTCCCTGGGGCTCGGGGCATTCACCAAAATCAATAGTTGACGCCCTTAGGCTATAAGGCATACATATGCCAAGTACCAAGTTGATCCATTCAGAATTCCTGCCTGTAAACGATAAACACAAAAATTGGGAGTGGCTCTGCCCCTGGTAGTCGGGACATGCAGTTGCCGTCCTTAGGCTATAAGGAATACACATCCCAAGTTCAAAGACTATCCATTAAGAATCGTGGCCTGTAGGCAACTCACAGAGACTCAAAGAAAAGATGGGTGTGGCTCTGGCCCGGGGGGTTGTGCAATCACAAAAAAACAACAGGGGGCATCCTTAGGGTATAAGGAATAGGTATGCAAATTTTCAAAATAGGTATGTTAAGAATTGCGGCCAGTAGGCACACAAATATTGGGCGTGTCTCTGTCCAAGGGGGTCGGGCATACACAAACAAGATTATAAGTTAAGAAATGTGGCCTGTAGACGACAAACAAACAAATACTAGAAATGGGCGTGGCTCTGCCCCTGGGGGTCGGGCATGCACCAAAAACAATAGGGATCTTCCTTGGGGTATAAGGAATAAGTATACCAAGTTTGAAGAAAATCCAGTAAGAATTGCGCCCTGTAGGCGACACAAAGACACACGAAAAGAAAATGGGCGTGGCTCTGCCCCTGGGGGTTGGGCATGCACCCCAAACGATAGGGATGTTCCTTAGGGTACAAAGAATGTGTATGCAAAGTTTCAAGATTATTAGTTAAGAAATGTGGCCTGTAGACGACAAACAAACAAATACTAGAAATGGGCGTGGCTCTGCCCCGGGGGGTCGGGCATGCACCAAAAACAATAGGGATCTTCCTTGGGGTATAAGGAATAAGTATACCAAGTTTGAAGAAAATCCATGAAGAATTGCGCCCTGTAGGCGAACCACAGACACACACACACACACACACACACACACACACACACACACATACATACATACACACACACACACACACAGACAGGGGCGACGGCATAATACGTTCACATTATGAATGTGGACGTATAAAAAGGGGGTTTCCCTAGAATTTTTAACAACAGATTAAAACAATACATCCATCACTCAGACAAATTCCTGTCTCTATTTTAAAGACACATTACCAGCCAGCTACACAGTATCTCAAAAAGGGGATTTCCCAAGAACTGTTAACAATAAGTTTAAAATCTTAACAAAACGATATGCTTATCACTCAAACAAATTCATATGTCTATTCACTAGCCAGCTACACCGTATCTCAAAAAAGGGATTTCCCCAGAAGTTGTAACAAAAGATTTTAAATCTTTTAACAAAAGAATGCCTCTGTCACAACGATGAATCCTTATTGCTACAGTCTATTCACTAGCCAGCTACACAGTATCTCAAAAGGGGGATTTCCCCAGAACTTGTAACAATAGATTTTAAATATTTTAACAAAAGAATGCATCGTCACACAGATGAATCCTCGTCGCTACAGTCCTTAATCTGACAATGATTCTAATTCCGGCTCCACATTAAGTCGAGATTCATGAACTTTTGGCGGCTGTTTTGTTTTTGACTCTCGTTTTGTACGTTTGGTAAAATTGGAGGTTTTTCCACTGTGATTAGATAACCCCTGGAAAAAATTTGTGTCCGTCATTTCTATTTTCAAATCGGAAAGTTTTTGATTTACTGTTTGTAAATGACGACTAAATTTAGAGACTTCTTTACTCTCTGGAAGGAATTTACTAGCGGTAAAAATATCGTATTTCGGTTTCGGAACATCTCTTGGATTTCTGATTGTTTCCGGGGGCATGTCTATATCTTCGATATCCGAGGGGATCTGAACACTGGATGCCAGAGATAAAGCATCAATACTCCGACGTTCGAACGAGAATTGAACATTGTGTGTGGACATTTGACTTCTGAGTGACGTATCACTGTCGTATTTGTCTGTTTTATTATTTTTTAATTCCACTTTCGGTTGTATTTTATTATTTTTGGACCTTCTACGCTTCTTTTTCTTCTTCTTTTTTAAATCACCCTTTTCGTTCACTAAGGCAACAAATTCAGCTAATGATGGTCCAATACCAAGTTGTGAATCTGTAGACATTCGTCGAGAACAGACTGATTGAACATCTGAAACATTTAAAGATACATTATGTAAGATTTTGATAAAGAACTGGCCGTTCTTGCTATAATAGTTAAAAAATAGATAATGCAAAATGAATATATTGAAAATTTCATTCATATTACTTTATTCTGAGCCAAGTTATCAATATTTGTAGTTTTGACAAGATGTGTGCATTGATTGTGTATTCATAAATTATCATAAACATGGTAGTGGTATATTCGAGGCTTAGCCGCATTTCGCCATTTTTAAATTAAATCATTAAATGGCTAAACTGTTCTAATCTTGTTAAAATCTTGAGTAGGCCTATCTGATGCCATCGAGAGTTGATAATGGTCTTGTCATTTTAATAAATGTCTAATTAATAATTTAGATAACATTTCATGCATAAAGAAAGACCTATAATAGGCAGTTTTTATAAGGACAAATATAAGACAACTTCTTTTAGCAGTGTGAATAACACCGAGCATCATAGATCCATAAAATTTATAGGAAAAAATTTAGAGAATGAATGCCTAAATTCGTTTACTTCAAAGCAGGGCTTCCATTTCATTTATATTTGCCTGACTGGCAGTGAAATTGACAGACTGGAAAACGTACCTGTCAATAACTGCCACACTATTAGAATTTCAAAGAATTTGGTTTTCCCCTACACCCAAAGGACTAGATGAGAGAGAGAGAAATGAGGTTTAACTTCTACTTGACACAAACTACGTTATTTCGGGACTAACATATGGTTCAATTTTATTTCAATAATTCGCTTGCATGTAGGGGTCTTTAGCGGTGGGAGGAAATCAGAGGACCTGGAATCGAAACTACGCCAGTTGACTCAATGACAGACCTTGATACAACGCACCCACGCTAACCATTCGTCCATCCAAACCCCGCCGTGATTGACCCCAGAACGACCTGGTTGGGTCAGTGCAATTGTCATTGTGGATTCTAAAGTCTACGAGAGACTCTTTCAATTTTGTGTGACTAACTAACCTGAATCTGAGTATCTTCTGCCTGTTCCAGCCACTGGGTGTATCAACCCACCACGCCGTCGTACTAATTTTGGCATGGCAGCGGCAAAGTTTGATGACATGTCGTGACTACTGGCACTGTCTAGATCAAACTTCATACCTGTAAATTAATGGTCAATAAAATTTTAACATTTAAAGATGGACGTACTAGTTCATATCCTATTGAATATAAGCTGGGAGATTTATTGGTAGCAGGGAAACCTGCTGGGCCTAGTTAATAATGAAATGAAATGAAATGGGGTTTAACGTCCTACTGTTCTGCTTCTATACTGGGCTAATGAAGACGGGCATACGCCATACAGTGTGCTATGAGGGAAATTTTGCCCGGGCAGCGGCACTATCACCTACTCTTATATCAAATTCCAACTGCCAAGGGATCTTTTACGTGCATTCTAATGTATACACGGGACCTCGTTTTTTTGTCTCATCCGAAGGACTAGACAGCTGTCCTTGTCAGGCCCTCCGTTCTGCACCGCTGACAAGGGGAAACCACGTCGGAAAATCAGGATGAACTTTCTGGGCCAATGCAGGGATCGAACACCCGGCCTCCAGGCTAGCGAGCTAGCGTCTTACCCACTAAGCCACCATGGCTAACCGATTGAATATAAGCTGGGAGATTATCTAGGTCTGGTATTTTGATTTTGTTTTCTTAATCAAATATAAAATAATCAATCTGAGTACTTTTTTAGTGTGAGAAATTTGATATTTCAGCGAAAATGCAAATGATGCATCGAGATGCATTGAGCCTTTAACTAGTTGAAATACTTCTATAATATATTACCTAATGGATCATCATGTGTACTGTGAAAACTTATAGACATACGACCATTATTGACATCTCTACGTTTCTCAAACGCCTGCGCGATCATTTTATGTTTCTTTAACTTGACTGGTTTATTGGACGGCTTGCGGAAAACCCTGAAACAAAAGACAATTAAGACAATTAAACCAAAGATGAGATAAGAAGAATCTCCATTTGGTCCTGTTACTGTGTCTCACTGCATATCTAATCTTGTCAAGATACAGCTGCATTGTTAAGGCCGATTTACAATCCGCTAAGCAAAGCTGCAAAATAAAGAATTGTCTTCGCATACCAAAGCCCAGCGCAAAATTTTGGCATTGCAGCCAAACAGCAACACAATGTCTGCTGTTGCGATCACAAGATCCATCTAACAACACGAGAAGATCAGCTTCGCTTAGCTGGGCTCACTAGAATAGGCACCTTTTGAATATTTAATGAAGATGGGCGTAAGCCATGCAGTTTGTTATGGGGTAAATTCTGCCCAGCCAAGGCCGCGCTACAGTCTACTCTTATATCAAATTCCAACTGCCACGGGACCTCAATTTCTCATCCCATCCGATTGAATATATGCTGTCCCTTGTCTGGCCCCCTGTCCTGTACCACTGAAAAGGGGAAACCACACTGTAAAATCTTTCTCATGGCTTCAAGAAAATAAATAGAAATTTGCTAGATTTTACTTCTGGAAGATAGGGTGTTAAATTAATACGCTTTATCCTTAAAATTATTGTTAAATTGGTCAACTTACATTCGGAGAAATCTTTCCCATGAGGAGAGAGTAGATTTATTCCAAGACCAGGAACTCATTACGATACCAGCACCAAAAAATGCAAAAATATGTATTTCCATGGCAACAATACTTGGATGATTTTCAATATGGCAGGATTCTGTAGAATTATCTGAATGTGCGATTGTTACATTGGCTTTACATCTGTAACAGATAAACATAATGTACTAACACAAGATTTAAATTCATGAATCTATAAGTTCAATAGAAAATCTCTAGTATCCTCCCACAGCTAAAGACCTCTATGCACAAGCAAATTATTGAAATAAAATTGAAACATATAGCCTCGATTGTCATTGCTATTGTTGTTACGATAATAAACAAAGTCTCGATTATCCATTTTTACATCAAATCATTAACCGGAAAATGTATTTAAAACTAGAGCATAAATCTGATGGCATCGAGAGTTGGATATAGTCTTGGTAAGTTCTGTAATGTCTAATCATTTAGATAATATTTAAGGCCTAAAGAAAGACCTGCAATAGGCAGATTTAGCTCTTGCATAATGTCTGTTTAAAATGACGCCAGTGAGACTTTAATAGTAAGTGCACTGCACTCAAAACAAAACCAACAAGACAAACCTGCGGAAAAACTACACAGACATTGCAAGAAATAATCAACAGATATCAAATAAATTGAATGGACCCGGGGGCCAGCCGTAAGCATCCATTGCGATGTACAGTCCCGGGGCTGTAATGATACAGGTTTCATTCATAATGGAAAACAGGGGGGGTGGATGGCCAAATGGTTAGTATGTGTGCACTGTATCATAAGGTCTGTCATTGAGTCAACTTGTGTGATTTGAATTTCCCGGTTGTACGTGACAAGGAGTAAGGTGGCCTGTCCATCATCGTGGGTTTTCTCTGGGTCCTCCGGTTTCCTCTCACTGCTAAAGACCCCTACGCGCAAGCGAATTATTGAAATAAAATTGAACCCTGAATGACCTAGTTTGTGTAGAGTGGATGTTAAACCCCATTTCTCTCTCTCATAATGGAAAACAAAATAATGTTTTACAAGAAAGACGAAATAGAAACATTGTGACCTGTTTTGAAGGCGGTAGTCTTCTGAATGGCAATAGTCTGCCAGTTGACATCATGAGTTAGAACGTCAGATGATTTAACAATAATAAGGGAGATAATCCGGATAGAATCTCGGTAAACGCTAAAATAATAATATAAGGATACTTACTTATAATAAGATGTATAACTTTCACGCCATAAATTCTCATTGGCAAACGTATACACATGGACGGAAAATGTTACCAAGACAAAAAACAACGCTAAACATGAAAATATACCTGAAAGATAAAATGAAGAAGAATTAATGAAGCTTTAAATTTTTGCTGATTAATGTCAAGATTTCATGTAAATGCATTAAAATATCAAACAATTGTTTTGTCCCGTCTCGAGTAAAACCAAGATGTCATTCAAATTCAAACTTCTTGCCACTGTTTTGTCTTCTCTGTTCTGTGCAGTGTTGAGTTGAACTCGGTGAGAGGAGCCACAGTGGCTCAGTGACTAAGGCGTTAGCTCGCTAACCTGCAGGTCTTGGGCTCGATCCCAGTGTTGGCTGAGAATGTTTCCAGCATTCTTTATTTCCCCTTGTCAGTGGGCCTGACAAGGAATAGTGTTTAGTCGTTCGCATGGGACAAAAATACCGGCCCCATGTACCCTACATGTTGGCATGCATCTAGCGACCATGACGAAATCTGCAGGTGGCCATAAAATTTAGACCTGACCCATGGTGTATGCCTGTCTTCATTAACCTGGTTGGAGCAGAAAGGTAAGACATAAAAACCCATCTCATTTCATATAAATGCCTAACTTCGCTTATACACTTCCAACAGTTTGCTATATGGCACAGTAGGTCATACCACAGCTGTCCAGGCTCACTTGTCCTCATAGCACACTGCATGATGCATGGTATGCCTGTTTTCATTAGCCCAGTTGGTGCATACAAGTAGCAGGGAGCCACGGTGGCTCAGTGAGTAAGACATTGGCTTGCTAGCGTGGAGGTTGTGGGTTTACTTCCTGTGTTGGTCGAGAAAATTCATCAGGATTTTCAGCGTTTTTTCCCTTGTCAATGGTGCAGGACGGAGGACCTGACAAGGACAGCTGTCTAGGTGTTCGAATGGGAAAAATAAACAAGGTCCTGTGTACACATTTGCATTAACGTAAAAGATCCCTTGGCAGTTGGAAGTCGATATAAGAGTAGGCCTTCAAGCCGCTGTTCGGGCAGAATTTCCCTCATAGCACACTGCAGGGTGTAAGCCTGTCTTCATAAGCCCAGTATAGATGTCTAATTTCCTTAATACACTCGACTTCAACAGTTTGCTATATGGCACCAATTTTATTTTAATATGTTCTCACCTAGTCTTAATATAGTTTCTCTGATTTTGGACGTAGCTTTAGGACTAATAAATATGTTCGCCTCTTTACGTATCTTGATCAGAGTTATCAAACCTGAAATCAAATTAGAGAATTGTATACAAAGAACGGAGTTGACAGTTCAGAAAAAAAACAATGGAAGATTTGACTTTTAGATATTAAAATATCTAAACTAGCTTTAAGACCAACATCTTGATGAACAAGAGATAAATTACTGTATTTATTTCTTGTAGTTTGGTGGCCAAGTGGTCTAATGTGTGCGCTTCAGACCATAAGGTTTGTTATGGAGTTAAGCAGTGTAGTTTCAATCTCATGCTAAGTTGGTAAGACACTGGCTCGCTAGTCTGGAGGTCGCGGGTTTGCTCCCACTCTTGGCCGAGAAAGTTCATCAGGATTTTCTGCCGTGGTTCTCCTTTGTCAGTGGTGCAGGACAGTCGGGCCGGACAAGTACAGCTGTCTAGTCATTCAGATGGTACAAAAAACGAGGCCCTGTGTACACATTGGCGTGCACGTAAAAGATCCCTTGGCAGTTGGAATTCGATATAAGAGTAGGCTGTAGCGCCGCTGTCAAGGCAAAATTTCCCTCATAGCACACTGTATGACATATGCCTGTCTTCATTATCCCAGGCGGAGCAGAACAGTAGGACATTAAAACCCATTTCATTTAATCTCAAGTCTTCATCAAGCACATAGAAATGTCGCTCAGTAGAAAACAATAATTGTATTCATGTGCTCTGTGTATTCTGTGAGATCAGAGGAGAAGTTTATCGCCTACCTTTCAAGAGGAAGAAGAGACCTGTTATTAATACAACAGCTATAGGTGTTAAAACAAACCCTGCTCTTATACCATGTTTCATATACCCCACAAAACATATACCACTCAAGCTATCACCATCAATCTGTAATAATAGATCATTATATAAATCATATACCACTCAGGCTATATTATATACATCATATACCACTCAGACTATATTATATAAATCAAATACTACTCAGACTATACATGTATTATATAAATCATATACCACTCAAGACTATATTATATAAATCATATACCACTCAGACTATAAAACATACACCACTCAGGCTATATTATATACAACTCAGACTATATTATATAAATTATATACCACTCAGACTATAAAACATACACCACTCAGGCTATATTATATACAACTCAGACTATATTATATAAATCATATACCACTCGGACTATCACCAACAATCTGCTGATTATGCAGGCTGTTCAAATGAGACTATATGATAACTTTGAAACCAATTTGCCAATCTTATTATTTCTAGTCAGTTAATTAATTAACTGCTATTAATTAACCAATCAAAAGAAAGATTACATGGTTAAGCCCGTGATAGCATGAACAAATATATATATATATATATTACTGGAAAAGTGCGAGATAAAATTGGTGTAGCAGAAAAAATCTAGATAATACTAGAATAGCCTGAGGTAAAAATGGTGTAGCAGAATGGTGCGAGGTAATATTGGTGCAGTATGAAAAAATCTAAATAATACTAGAATAGTGCGAGGTAAAATTGGTATAGCATAAAAAAAATCTAGATATTACTAGAATCGTGGAGGTAAAATTGGTGTAGCTCTAAAAAAATCTAGATAATACTAGAAAACTGCGAGGTAAAATTGGGGTAGCATGAAAAAATATAGAAAACACTAGAATAGTGCAGGGTGTGGCATGAAAAATTCTAGATAATACTTGTGGGGTAAAATTGGTGTGGCATGAAAAAATCTAGATAATACTTGCGAGGTAAAATTGGTGTAGCTTGAAAAAATCAATATAATACTAGAAAAGTGTGAGGTAAAATTGGTGTAGCATGAAAAAATCTAGATAATACTAGAATAGTGCGAGGTAAAATTGGTATAGCATAAAAAAATCTAGATAATACTTGTGAGGTAAAATTGGTGAAGCATAAACAAATCTAGATAATACTTGGGAGGTAAAATTGGTGTGGCATGAAAAAATCTAGATAATACTTGTGAGGTATAATTGGTGTAGCTTGAAAAAATCTAGATGATACTTGTGAGGTAAAATCGGTGTAGCATAAACAAATCTAGATAATACTAGAAAAGTGAGATGTAAAATTGGTGTAGCATGAAAGAATCTAGATAATACTAACCTCTGACATAGAAAGACATATTATAGATAATACTAGTGGTAGTAGCCAACTGATGAGATGAAAGTAAGCTGTTTTACTCGACAGATAATCTGTAGGTGTTCCCAATGATTTAAAGGTGAGATGCCAGGAATACGCTAACATTACGAACCATATCACTCCTGCCATCATCGTATAATACACCATTAAAAATACTATTGTACATGACGTCGATCCTGACCTAAAAATAAACAAATGTGTCAGGAATTGGGACTAAATGGCTTATTCCTAATTTTAGCTAGGTGGCTAGGCTGCATTAATTTTATTTTTCCTAAAGGTTAGAAATTTCATACTTTTAAATAAAATGAGTTTTGTGTGAAGGGTTTTCTGCTATGATTGTCATCACCTATTATACAGCATAGATCGATGGAATTTTCAATTGTCATAACTTTGTAAATACTGAATGGAATGGAACCATTGTGGGATTGATATTCCTATTAGAGATTCAACACTCACAATATTGTAGTTTTCACCTATTATACTGCATAGATCTATGGAAATTTTCAATTCATCTTATCTTTGTAAAAACTAAACGGAATTGAACCATTGTTGGATTGATATGATTGCTATACTGCATAGTTCCATGGAAATTTTCAATTCGTCTTATCTTTGTATAAACTAAACGGAATTGAACCATTGTTGGATTGATATTCCTATTAGAGAACAATCTGATTAAAATACTGATCTATATTTCATTTTTTTTTTTTTTTTATATACTTTCGATGCCCTACACTACATGAAGATCTGACCGGTTGTAGCGATAGGTCATGTCAGAGGTCATACGAGCAGCTTTTGACCCTATGACATCAGACATTTGATTAACCAATCAGCATTGATGTTACTAGAGTGGATTACCCACAGTTTCGGGCAAAACACGCCTAAAGCTCGTCGGAACAGACCGTTTCATTAGCTATTCCCTCCCATCTTTCAGAACATGTCAATGATAACAACTCTTCCAGATCCTAGTGTAGTAAAGACAAGTAAAATTAAAATTTTGAACTATAAAAAACGAAACGAAATAGGATCTGTGTTTTAATTAGATTGATTAGAGATTCAACATTCACAATATTGTAGTTTCAAGGGATTCTATAGCTCTAAATTTTCAAGTCTTTAAATAAGACAACTTCAGTGAAATTGGGGTATTCAAAACTAATATGAACTCTAATATGTCTTTGTAAAGTGAATATGAGCATATTGATGTGGCAGTTGCAAGAATAACAATAATACTATAGCTAAGCATGGAATCTTTAATAATATTTTATAAATCGTGAATTCTTATCAAAATCAAAACTCTAATGTTTTTACCCTAATCTCGGTTCTCCCATTCTAGCTGTTCCATCAGAGCGACATCAGAGAATAACAATAATACTATAGCTAAGCATGGAATCTTTAATAATATTTTATAAATCGTGAATTCTTATCAAAATCAAAACTCTAATGTTTTTACCCTAATCTCGGTTCTCCCATTCTAGCTGTTCCATCAGAGCGACAGACGATATCCTGTCTGGCATCACCAGCAAACTGTGCCAACCATCCGATACTTCCCACGAAGAAACAGGCGTTGATATAAAACAATATTAAAGCTGGATAACGACTGGCATTCTTCCAATCTATTATAAAAGTTAACTGGAAAACAAAGAACAAAATTTGTGATTAGTGTTAAAGCATGACATGTGTTATCTTCAATAGAAGGCTTGATCTCGCTTTAACTCCGTACATCTTATCAACCCCTTCACGTAATACCCCGCATATTCTGGCACTAATTCCGATTGGGTGCTGACCCCGCTTGGGGCCCTATCAGATTCCTCTATCATCAGGAATACAGTCTCATGCTTCAAGCTAAAATGTCACCTGTGATAATTGAGTTGCAAAGTGCAAGGTTCGTTCAACGTGAGGGTTTCTGTGAAGGTTGCCATATTTCATTTGAGTGTGTTTGTGTCACAACCTCTAATTGGAAGCTACTGTTCACATGTCTGCGGTAAAGGGAGATAACACAGCTATAAGTTCGGGAATTGCAAAGCAGTGTAGCAATGTCTAGATGTTGTAAAACTCACGGTCGTTGCTTCAGGAACATGTATGTATGTGTGTGTTTGCAGTTACTCGCTAAGCCACAGTGTTGCAAAATTTTGACAAATGTCATCAGTACGTTCATGAATTTACTAGCCAAGGTGACTTAATTAGATTAGATGCTGAATCACTAACCATGAGGTCCCTGAGCCTATCCTGGTGTTGTCTGAGAGAGTTCCTCAAATTTTCCAGCACGCTTTTCCATTGACAATAATGCCCACATGGAGGACCAGGCAAGAAACAGTGTCTAGTTATTTAGATAGGATGAAAAGTCGAGGTCCTATATACAAATTGGCATGCACATAAAAGAACTGTTAACATTTGGAATTCAACGAATAGCAGCCAGAAACCCTGCTGACGGGCAAAATTAGTGCAGTTAGTGCTTCAAAGTAGGATGTTAAACCCCATTTCATTTCATTTCTGCTGCTGTCCGGGCAAAATTTTTCAAATATCACACTGTATGGCTGGCATATTAGCCCAGTCGGAGCAAGACAGTAGGTTGTTAAACCCCATTTCATTTCATTTCATTTCTCTCTACTCAAACCAAGATATTTCCACTCTCTTCCATTTCATTTTTCTCTACTTAAACAGAGATATTATCTCTCTCTCATCATAAAACACTATTTCCACCTGGCTAAATCCATTTGTTAAGGCCAGCTCAATTTTTGTCAAGGTCGCTGAGATGTAAATAAGGTTAGGGTATGTGATTGTTGGCGAGATTGTAGGTTAGGGTTAGGGTAAACATAGGGGCTAGGTCCAGGGTTAGGGTTAGGGATGGGATTAGCAGTATGACGAAAAATTGAACTGGCCTTATCATTTAGCACTAACCATTTCCACTCTCTATCTCATTCATTCCATGAATTACTTACCACATTGAACAAGGTACAGATATAGAACCAAATACTGTTATAAAATCATAAATTACTTACCACAGTGAACAAGGTACAGACAAGACATATACAACCAAATACAGCTATAAAAGCATGGACTTCATCGTGTTCTTGTTGACTAAACAGTGGATTCTGACATGGTATTCCACAACCAGGTACATCCGTAAACCAACTATCTTTATTCTCTGTTAATATCAACGGATATTCACATCTTCCGGATGTATTGAAGTTTAATCCTTCATATGTATCAGTCTGAAATAATAACATTACAGATTTTAAACATCAATATTATCATTCTTTGAAAGGCATTTAGTAACTGGATAGAGCAATTTTTGTATTACTGTATTAGTTTGATTAAAGATACATTATGGGAGATTCGGTAACGAGTTGGCAGTTCTCACTATAATAGTTAAAAACTAGATAAGGTAGAAGGCAATTTGGTGTAAATTTCATTCAAATTGATCCACTATGAACCGAGAACTAAGCGACTGAAATTCCCATAAGCCTCGGTCATCATTACTGAAGTCAGTACGATAAACAGCATAGTCTCGATTATCCATTTAATCGTTTAATGAGAAGGAAAGTTATGCAGTAAATCGGCTTACAATCCACTAAAGATCGTAGGCCTGGATAGGTTAATTAATGTCTAATTAATAATTTAGATAACATTTCAGGCCTAAAGAAAGACCTGAAATAGGAAGATTTAGCTCTTGCATAATGCATGTTTAAGTTGAGAGAATACCCTTCGAAACTTCCCCCAAATAAATAAGTAGCTGTTTTTCCATGAGTATGTGTATAGTTTATCAATATTATCATTTTTCAATTTCCATTTGCCATGAATGGAATCCTGGCTTTGGATTCTATCTGGGTTAGTAGTACTACTAATAATCAGTATTTTAACAACCAATATTAAAAGTAGTTTTATTTTTATGCTTGGATCAGCCCCATTTGATATGAACAGAATATCTTAGCCATGGGTTTAGCTGGGTCAGTTCGTTTTTATTTTTACGATTGGATAGGCCTCAATTTCCGTGTCAGTGACATTTATAAAATGATGAGAAATGGCAAGCCTCACAAGTTTTTAAAGCCCTTAATCATGCATCTGAGTTATTACAGTTTAATCCTTCGTAAATATGTCTAAAATAATTTAATACAAAGATCAATAGAATCTTTTTTTATTTCATGATTGGATTAGCCTCCATTTATGTGAGGTGGTCAAACCCACATATCCTTTAAAGCCTCTGATCACACATTTGAGGGGTATAAGTTTAATCCTTCGTATCAAAGATCAGTAGTAGTATTTTTCTTTATTTCATGATTGGATTGGCCTTCATTTTATGTGAGGTGGTCAACCCCTCAAATTCTCAAATCCTTTAAAGTGAGAATTTCATATTTTCTAAGAAAGTCAAAACATAATTATTTCTATGTCTTTTGCTCAATAGGTTGTCAACTTGCTATTATACGATCATAGTTATCATTCTCACACTCAAAAATGTTTCACCCCGGAAATAATTTTTCTATTCCCTACCATGGAATAGCTATCTTCAAACGTTTGAACTTGAAGTTGAAAATGATATTTTTGCCAATTTCTCAACTGGCAATAGTGAATTATAGGATTAATAGGATTATTCTTTAACAAGGTAGGACTGTTTATAGATACCATCTATTCTAGGGCTTTATTTTAATACATTTTAAAAATATAACTTAAATTTATGAAATTGTAACTTTAAAGCCTCTGATCATGTATTTGAGGGGTATAAGTTTAATCCTTCGTATGTGTATCGGTCTAAAATAATAACATTACATATTTCAAAGATCAATAGTTATATCTTTATTCATTTCATGATTGGATTGGCCTTCTGTTTATGTGATGAATGAGGTGGTCAACTCCACAAGTCCATTAAAGTCCCTCATGGTCATCTGAGGGATTGAAGTTTAATCCATTGACAGGTTCAATACTAATCACTTTTTTATTTTCATGGTTGGATCGGCCTCATTTAACATGAATAGAATCTTTTGGATTGTAACTGGGTTAGTACTACTAGTCAATATTTTAAGGAACAATATCAAGTCCTTTTTTTATTTTCATGGTTGGCTCGGCCTTCATTTGATGTGAATGGAAGATTTGGGGTTCCGGGTCAGTGATGGTTAACCTAATGAGCTCCTTAAAGAACAATATATATCTTTTTATTGTCATAGTTTGATCGGACTTCTTGTGAATTGAATAGAATCTATTGGGTTCTAGCTGGGCCAGTGCTAATAATAACTAATGAGAGGGAGAGAAAGAAATGAGGTTTAATGTCCACTCGACACAAACTAGGTCATTTCGGGACTAACATATGGTTTAATTTTATTTCAATAATTTGCTTGTGCATAGGGGTCTTTAGCAGTGGGAGGAAACCAGAGGACCCGGAGAACAACCACAAGGTTGGACAGGCGACCCTACTCCTTGTCAAATACAACCGAGGAATCGAAACCATGCCAGTTGACTCAATGAAAGACCTTATGATACAACGCGCTTGCATTATCCGGAGGACCCGGAGAAAACCCACAAGGTTGGACAGGCGATAATAACTAATGAGTGACGTGGTCAACCCAATGACCTCATTAAAATGTCTGATCGTTATTTGAAGGATTGTTAATCACTTGCTAAATGCAATATTGTGAAAGACGATTCTCTAAAGCCAATTAAACAGGCATTATGCATGAGCTAAATCTGTCTATTACAGGTCTTTCTTTAGGCCTTAAATGTTATATAAATTATTAATTAGACATTTATTAACATGACAAGACCGTAATCAACTCTCAATGCCATCGGATACTCTTGATTTTATCTACATTAGAACTGTTCAACCATTTAATGATTTGATTTACAAATGTGGAAGCGATACTATGCCTTGAATATACAGAGAGAGAGAGAAATGGGGTTTAACGTCCACTCGACACAAACTAGGTCATTTCGGGACTAACATATGGTTTAATTTTATTCCAATAATTCGCTTGCGCGTAGGGGTCTTTAGCAGTGGGAGGAAACCGGAGGACCCGGAGAAAACCCACGAGGTTGGACAGGTGACCCTACTCCTTGTCACGTACAACCGGAGATTCGAAACCACGCCAGTCGACTCAATAACAGACTTTATGATACAGCGTGCGCACGCTAACCATTCAGCCATATATACCAGTACCATGGTTATGATAATAAACAATCAATACACACATCTTGTCAAAACTACAAACAGTGATAACTTGGCTCAGAATAAAGTTATTTGAATGAAATTTTCAATAAGGAATCCATTTAATTCCAAAATTTAGAATTAATTTTGTGTGAAAATTGTCCAAAGTCACCTCGTTTTACGGTATATTTTTGAACTACCAGGTATTATAGCAAGAATGGCCAGCTCTTTCTCTAAATCTTATATAATGCATCTTTAATTAAATGTTAAATAATCAAATAGATATTGTCCAAAAAATGCAAATGACGATCAGCTGCTTTCAGAAAGCATCAAATATGTTCTTTTTTTTTATCCCAGAAATTAAAACCATGCCAATTTACTAAATGACAGACTTGATACACCATTCAGCCATCCAATCTCTCTTTTCTCAACTATAAGGCTTATTTATCAAGTTCTTTATGCATCTAATTCACAAGTTAGAATATATTTTCTAAAGAACAAAAAGATGAGAAATGAAAATAGTTTTGGGGAAATGATTCAGTTCTTTTGATATTAAATATTCAATGAAAGAAAGTCTTTGTCTGTGACAAGGATTAGAGTTGCCCATCCAACTTTGTGAGTTTTCTCCTCCAGCTCCTCTGGTATCCTCACACTGATAAAAGACCCCTGCGTGCAAGCGAATTATTGAAATAAAATTGAACCACATGTTAGTCCCAATATGACCTAGTTTGTTTGTTTTCTTTGGGTCCTTCAGTTTTCTACAACTTCTAAAGACCCCTTCCTTTCTGCAAGCAAATTAATGAAATAAAATTGAACCATATGTTAGTCCCCGATTAAACTAAATCTTTATTCACCTCTCTCTCTCTCTCTCTCTCTCTCTCTCTATTTTGATATTAAGTGTTTAATGAAAGAAAGTCTTTGTCTGTGAACTATCAATCATGTCTGTCTGTATACATACATGTATGGTTTATTACAACAAGTATATCAATACCATTATCTATATCTCAATACACAATACAAGTGTCACGATGAGTGTTGACATAAAAATTTACTGAATAACGTGTATGTTAATCATTTGTCAATATAACAGACTACCGATGTACTTTATTAAACTACTACAATAGTCAGGGCTGTCTTTTTGGACATTTTTATCAAACAATGTCCGACTGGCAATGAAAATGTCTGCCAACTTTTCAATACTATAGATACTCCGAGGTACTTTGTTAAACAATATCTACTCTATTATTTAGGACTGTCTTTTCGGGCATTTTTACCAGTCAATTTCCAACTGGTAATTTGAGAAATCAAATTGTCAATTTATCAATACTCTAGTGACTAGTCTAATGGTAATCCAGAATACAATGTGCTTCATTAAACAATATCTACTAGAGTAGTAAGGGCTGTCTGTTCAGCCATTTTTACCAACCATGTTACACCATTGAAAATGTCCATCTGAGAAATCAGTTTCTCAATACTCCCAGACTACCGGCCGGTTCTCTGAGGTACTTTATTCAACAATATCTTTTGCATTAGTTGGGACTGGCTTTTCGGACAGTTTTACCAGTCATTGTCCGACCGAGAAATCAACTTGTTAGTCAATTTTTTAATATCCGTACTGTTAAGTACTTTATTAAGAATATCTTCTACTTTAGTCTGAGCTGTTTTTCGAACAGTTGTATCAGTCAATGTCCAAATGGTAATGAAAATGGCCAACTGAGAAATCAGTTTGTTAGTCAATTTGTTAAAACCGGTACTCTGAGGTACTTTATTAAAAGAATATCTACTACAGTAGTCTGGGATGTCTTTTCGGACACTTTTACCAACTAGCATTGAAAAAGTCCATGTGAAAAATCAAATCGTCAGTCAATTTGCATCCAGAAAATTAAAATAATTTGGTATTTCACGATGCAAAATATGCTATTCTGTAATTTGATTAAACAGGATTTGTTTGTTTATATTTATTTTGATTTATAATGAGCCATGTCAAAGGTAGAAAATTATCACAGTCCAAAACATGTTTTTCCGTAAACATGACTCTAGATCAGTGGTTCTCAACCTTTTTGTGCCAACGGCACACCCTGGACCACATGAAAAAATAGCGGCACACCTGGCTAAATATATATGAAAAATATTTGAATTTTGGAAAATAAAAATATGGCAAGTCATAGACGGCATACAACCGTAGACACAGACTAGTCATAGATACATAGAATGACTCAAAAGTCAAACACAGCTATGAACTTACTTTATTGCAGTGTTTCGAATTTCATCAGTCAAATAACTGGCTTCCTTGGTGAGAAATTGTCTTAGTGTGCCGTTCAAAATTTCGCGGCACACTTAGGAAGATCTTTCGGCACACCTGTGTGCCCCGGCACACCTGTGTGCCCCGGCACACTGGTTGAGAATCACTGCTCTAGATGGTTAATGATTTGACCAAACATAAACAAAAATAGAGAGAGAGAGAAATGGGGTTTAATGTCCACTCGACACAAACTAGGTCATTTCGGGACTTACATATGGTTCAATTTTATTTCTATAATTCGCTTGCACGTAGGGGTCTTTAGCAGTGGGAGGAAACCGAAGAAAATCCACGAGGTTGGACAGGCGACCCTACTCCTTGTCACGTACAACCGGGGATTCGAAACCACCCCAGTTGACTCAATCACAGACTTAATGATACAGCGTGCACATGCTAACCACTAAGCCATCCAACCGCCCTGAACAGAAATAACATATGACAAAGTTAAACTTGGTTCCCTGTTAAGTTCAGCTTCTTTAGGCTCAAGTGAATCAACATTTCGTCCTGTACATTATTTATTTGGTTCCGTTTTTCATATGGAATATATTTTAAAACAATTAAAGCGGTATTACTTGCTATAATAGTTAAAAAATAGATAATGTAATGGGAATATGCTGATTCAAATATAATGGAAATCAGACCCATCAGATGGCATCAAGAGTTTATTATGGTCTTGTCATGTTAAGAGAAATGTTTAATTAATAATTTAGATACCTTTTCAGGCCTAACGAAAGATCTGCAATAGGCAGATTTAGCTCTTGCATAATGTATGTTTAATTTATGTTATTGATTCACTTCTGTTTATCAATGAGTCTGTAAGAGAGCTTTTCAACAAGCCAACTTTTTAATTTGTTTTTTTTAAATTGTTTTATTTACACATTCTTTTCTTTACTTCGATGTACGTATTTCTACCATGTTTGGTAATTACATATAAAAGTACCGAACCAAACAGGGTACTGGGTCAAACCAGTATACATGTACATATATTGTACTTATACAAAACTCTTTGTATGTAAATTCATGAAAGGCAAATATCAGGCCTAATCTCGTCTAGAGATTTAGTCTAGTACTCTATTGAGTATGATAATCAAATTAGTATTGAGGTCGTATGTTTGACCCCTAGAATAAAGACACCAGTATTAGGGTGTGACTTCATCAATATACACTTGTATTGAAAGGGTATCGATTAGATTGAAGGAATGTCGGTCCCATTGATTGACTTTAACAAATGTCCAAGTGTACAAAAAAAAATAATGAAGACCCAGATATATTAATTAGAATAACCTGTACTAAAGTGAAATGAAATGAAATGGGGTTTAACGTCCTACTGTTCCACTCCGACTGGGCTAAAGAAGAATGGCATACGCCATACAGTGTGCTATGAGGGAAATTTTGCCCGAACAGTGGCTCTACAACCTACTCTTATATCGAATTTCAACTGCCGAGTTATCTTTTACGCGCACGCCAATGTATACACAGGGCCTTATTTTTTTTGTCCCATTCCCATTTTTGTCACATATTTTTTCTTTTGTATGTAATGGAAACATTTACCACACACTACAATCTGATTACGAGTTACAACCCATTAAGTAATTATCAGAAATCATCAGAATTTGTTTCGATTGTTTATCACATGAGCTTAAACACTATGTATAAATCTATTTTAACTGTAGCCTCCAGAACATCCACAAGATTTCTCAAGTGATCAAGGGCCACAACTCTGGTAGTAATTATCGAAAAATTTTCAAACGCAATAGGCTAAATTTCATCTCATGATCGTAAACACTGTGTATAAATTTAATGTCAATCGGACATTTAACTTCAGCCTCTAAGAGCGTCCACAAGATTTTTCAGTTTGATCAAGGGTGATAAGTCTGACAGTAATTATCGAAATTGTTCAACATCAATAGGCTTCTTCGTCTCATGACCTTAAACACTGTGTAAAAATTTAAAGTCAATTGGATATTAACTTTAGCCTCTAGAACTTCCACACAAGCAATGTTGTACATGTATGTTTGAGGCAGAGTGAGCATCCCGGTTTCATCTATGTATTTTGAACTAATAACAACAACCTGACTTCTGTCGTTGGAAACCGTAACCCTAAATCATGTGGGGGGAAGGGTGGCCGAATGGTTAACACGTGTATGTTGGATCATAAGTTTGTCATTGAGTCAAGGTGGCATGGTTTTGATTAATCGCTTGTACGTGACAAGAAGTAGGTTTTTTTCTGGGTCCCCTGGCTTCCTCCCACTGCTAAAGACCCCTACATGTATGTGTAAATGAATAATAGAAAGTAAGTAATGTAACCATATGTTAGTCCCGAAATAACCTAGTTTGTATAAGTGGAAGTTAAACCTCTCTCTCTCTATCTCTCTCTCTCGCACTCTCTGTCTCTCTCGCACTCTCTGTCTCTCCCTTCCCTTTTAAATACTTACTGTACAACCAGTGACAAAATGTGGTTGATCACACTGTAAAAACTCCGGCCAACCATTATGAAAAGATTCCACAATTTTACATGGCTCCCGTGTTCTCTCACAAAGCTCTCTGCTCGGCAGCTCGACCTTCTCATTTTCTGCGTCACATTTCGGCAAATAGACGGAACACAAGAACGGCTGAACAACTTGCCAACACTGGGGGGCGTTCTCTAATCCACTCCATAATTTCAGTTTTTCGTAAATCTCCTCGAGTGAGTTCGAATCGGCAGCCAATGAAATGGAAGTATTTTCAATAGGCAAGGATGCTCCTAGACAGAGTTTTACAGTAATTGGTATACATGTTGAATTATTTTGGAAGCACTGAGGTCCGGGTTCAACACTTGTCGTCTGCAGAAATTGGAGAAAAAGGCACAAAAATAATAAAGCATTATTGCTCCATCTTTGATTGTAGATATCTATTGCCATGTTGAGCGGAATGTTCACAAGGATGCTGTCAAAATTTTGTGGGTGTTCAAATAAAAAACTGTCTTAGATTACTCCAATATTTCATTGGTCTGATCCAAATGCCGAAACTTCTTCAAAACTAGAAAATTATAGCAATATTGTGTAGGCTCATTTGAAATACAACCAATCAAGCACACGTCATAATTGTAGCCTGCCATAGTCCGCTGTATATCCATAGACTTTAGAAGGGTTAATCATTTAAAACAGTTGTCTTTTTAGATGTAATATGAACACTGTACACTGATATTTCACACATTTATAAATAGTGTTCAAGATAATAGTTTATCATATAACAAAACAACATTATCATACTAAAAATATACTAGTATATTGGATGATATTCTTCTAATTCAACAATGTTTATAATTTGTCCCTTTAATTAACTGTGGTGGTCTCTTTTAATATTATCATCTGTGATATATAAGTGTAAATACCATATATATATTTCATTACAACACTGGGCATGGTATATATTTTAAATATCATAGTGTAATGTCCAATAAACTATATTTCCCTTTTACTCCACAATGTTCATCTGTGGTATACAACTGATACACTGGGGTATATATTTTAAATATCCAACTATAATGGCATCTTTTAAAGTATCCAACTATAATGGCATCTTTTAAAGTTATTCCCTGTGGTATAGAACTGTTTATACCACACTTTTATTTCATTGCAATAGTGGTCTTATATTTTAAATAATCCTAGTGTAATGTTCAATAAACCATAATTCCCTTTGTCACTTGTAAAGTTATCATCTGTGGTGTATAACTGTATAATTACATTCCAGCACTTTGAAATCTATTTATTTATGATGTCTACGATATCACCTTAGGTGGAAGTGGACGTAAAACTCCAGAAACGAACGAACGAATTGAAATTTATTTTAAATATGCAACTATAATGCACCTTTTAAAGATAGCATCTATTGTACGGTATCCAATGTACTACACTTTTATCTCATTCCAACACTGTCGTATATATACATTTTAAATAATCCTATTATAATGTCCCATTTAAAGTTATATATACCTGTCTTCTGTAAATATACTATGATTATGCCATTCCAGCAGAGTGGTATATTAATATACTTTAAATATCCTGGAATAATTTTAAAGTGATATATTTATCATCCCACACAATTTCGTGTGATAAACTAATCGTTATTAGCTCAAGGTGTTATAAACTGACGCTATATACGACGGTGAACAATCCCATCTATCGCTTACAACAAATCTGCACATTAACTCTTCCGTTATTACTTTTCAACATTCTCAAACCTAAACAGCATGCGTTGAAGTAGTTATTCATTAAAATATATCTCGGGCTTAACTGTTATTAAATCATTTAAATCATTGCAATTCACCACGAATCCAACCATAATATTAAATGTCCTGAGTGCCCTGCTTCACAGTTACAGTTGAACAATTTACCGCTAATTCTCGACTTCTGCTCACAATGCACGTGCAAATCATGTTTTGAAGTTCATATTCCTCGAGATACTGGATGCAAATTGATTTTGTTAAAGTTGTTGGTTATTGTTTTGACATTTCCAGCGGTTCGCCATGTTTCTTTTCACTTCGCGGCTTCAATTTACAACTTTATAAAAAGAAGTAGGTCGCCTCCATCCTTCGCTCTTTACTTCTGTTCGGGTTATCAACACTCCCATTGACATTCTATAGAAATTCGTAAGTCTGGATAGACATTGCTACTATGAAACGGGCTTCATCCAAAATTCGGCGCTCCGGTTAACCAGTGCACTCCCCATTGTTAAAATGAATAGGAAGGGTACGGATGTAAATATTGGCCTGCATTTGCACTGAGCTGTAGGCTAATAACTAATTCACTTTTAACAAAGATTGACACAGACAGTAGTTGTTATTTTCTTTTTAAAGAGAGAGAGAGAGACAGGGAGAGAGAGAGACAGACAGACAGACAGAGAGAGAGCGAGATCGCTAAAAAATAATATAATGGTGTAAAATGGTGTGAATGAAAGAAATGGGGTTTAACGCCCTACAATCCTGCTCCAACGGGGCTAATGAAGACGGACATGCGCTATGCAGTGTACCTGGACAGAAATTGAATTCCATGCTCTTCGTCCTGCATTCACCACGACTCGAGTTCGTGGAAGCTTCATAACTGTCTGTGACGAGCGTAGCTGCAACAGACTGTCTGGAATTCATGTTGACCAAAGAGTGGGAATTCGGTTGGACCACTTTTTAATTACGGAATAACAATTACTGGTTTATTAACATGCAACGTTTCGACGATGATACTCTCGTCTTTATCAAGCAAATGACGAGAGAATCATCGTCGAAACGTTGCATGTTAACCAGTAATTGGCGCCTTTTGTAGCCTACGTTGGCGGACAGCCAGCTTCTATACATTTTATTATCGCCCCACCCCACCCCCTAATGCATCGGGTTCCTACGCTGGTCTACAGTTTCACATATCTAAGTTAAGGCCTGGTATTATGGATCACGTGTAGACCTTTTAACATTTTGTCAGGTGTTTAATCAGGCCCGTTGCCAGAGGGGGGGGGGGGCAATGCCCCCCTGAAAAAAGGTTTTGCCCCCCTCCCCCCGAAAAAAAAGTTGCCAACCATAGCTCTAAAATAACTGCTGTAGACTGTGTCCCCCCCCCCCCCACAAACACACACTTTCCTAAAAACTTCACTGCCCCTCTGCAGTCAGCAACAGCAAGCTGACTACGGGCCTGTGTTTAATAATGCAACAAACAGACGTGCACTTAAAACTATATATAGAGTTATTAAAATTAGGGGGTGGGGGTGGATGGTCGAATGGTTAGCACGTGCGTGATGTATCATAAGGCCTGTCATTGAGTCAACTGGCGCGGTTTCAAATCCCCGGTTGTACGTGACAAGGAGTAGGGTCGCCTGTCCAACCTCGTGGGTTTTCTCCGGTTTCCTCCCACTGCTAAAGACCCCCTACGCGCAAGCGAATTATTGAAATAAAATTAAACCATATGTTAGTCCCGAAATGACCTAGTTTGTGTCGAGTGGACGTTAAACCCCATTTCTCTCTCTCTCTATTAAAATTAGGTAATTCAGACAATGCCCGAGAACAACACAACAAACGCCAGAATAACCGAAGCGATTGTTCGGCTAAGAAAAGATAAAGTAGAGCTGCATCTGCATTGTAGGTTTTAATTTATTATGGACTGTCGATTTTTATTTTCACAACTTTTCCCGCCTTTTTTTACCACGTGCTGAAATGTCACATTGATTGATCGATTGTCATCCTTTATAATTTATGATAATTTAAAAAGAAAAGATATTCTGTGGCAAATACACAGACTTTTAACCATTTTTGGGCCCAGTTTTATTTAAAGGATCTATAATAGCCTAAACAGATAATGCAATTGAACAAAAAAAAAAAAAAAATTCAATAAAGATATAATGCTTAGATTTGAGATCAGACATGTGATTCTGTTATCTTTTAACTTTTCCTACATTCATTCAAACTAAAACAAATTTGCAAGATAACCAATAATTTTTTTTTTCTTTTAGAAATACCCCATTTTTGGCCCATCCAAACAGATGATAGACATGACAACAGAAGCTTCTAAAATGGCGGACTCGAAGACAGTCGATCAAGGTTTGGACGAGGTAAAGGCCGATTTCTTTTGTTTATTTCCATATTATATTCCAGATCACATTAAAAAGAGTACATCCCGAATAGATCTTTCTTGTAATTGCACAAACTCTACAAAAGAATCACAGCTTTTCTTGTTAGATGTCGAAATAAATCTGAAGTGGGGTAGACTTCGTCAAAAGGTCTTCTTTTCCATAACGAAGCGTGTGCGTCATTCTCAAATTATGAAAACATGATGGTTAATGCATGTACATGTACTATGGCCTAGATTATTTTTTTTATTCGCTAGCAACCAGAATTGTTCAACGCGTAGTTAGATATATATGTATTATCTTTTGTATAACATTAACATAATTTGTAGATGCAAAAGCAAAGCGATTATGAATTGCGGTTAAAATGTTTTTGAATCGGTAAAGAGTGATAAATAGGTTAAAGGGAAGCAACTCCAATTAATTTCTAAACTTTGCAATGCATTAGGATTCAGACAAGTAATTCAAATTTTTCTTTGTAAAACATTAAAGGGGCATTATTTAAGAATAGATAACGAGCTGACAGTCCTTGTTATAATAGTTAAAACATAGATAATGAAAACAAAATAAGCTGAAAATTTCAGTCAATTGCTTCACTCTGAACCGAGATATTAGCCATTGAATTTTCGGCTAGTCTCAGTTGTCATTACATATACTGACGTTGGTATGATAACAAACTAAGTCTCGATCATCCATTTTAATGTTAAATTATCCATCACAAAATTAATTGAAATCAGAAAATATTGCCGGCTAACGATGGCATCGGGAGTTGATTATGGTCTGAATAAGTTAATTAATGTCCAATTAATAATTTAGATAACATTTCAGGCCCAAAGGAAGACTTGCAGTGGGCAGATTTAGCTCTTGCTTGATGCATGTTTAATTTAATTTGTAGATGTAAAAGCAAAGCCATAATGATATTGCAGTTAAAATGTTTTTGAAGCAGAAAAAAAGTTAAATAGGTTAAAGGGAAGCGTCACCATTTGAAAATTTCTATGCTTATTCCTTGGCCTATATGTTTATTAAACACTCCAATGATTTTAATTTTTATAACCACTAAGAGCCCTATATGTCACAATCATCTGACAAAATCTGCACCTGGTTAAATGAATATATACGAAGGTGGTAATTTTCAAAATAAATATTCACCTAAACCTGTCAAAAAATGTAAATTCAAACACTCCTCTGGCATTCTACACCAAAATGTCATCAGAAATTGAAATGGGAGGAAAGTAATTGTTTGTTATGAACAGACGAACAACATTAGTTTATCTTGAAATCAGGGGAAGCAATACTTATTTAATTTGCTGATTGTTTTTTGCATTTTTTAAATCGATATCTAATATTTCACGGCTTAATCCACACTGTACTGAAATTAGCCATTCAATATTTGATAATAAAAAAAAAGGCCCAATGAGATATTTGCCATTCATTATGAATCCAAAAATATATATTTACATAAATTTTGGAGACACTTTAATAAAGTCATGATATAAAAAACAGACTTGAACAAAGTCATGTCATGACTTTATTAGAGCATGTTTTACATAAAACACTCTCTGTTAAAGTGTGTTTTGTGTAATAACTTTGTTAAAGTGGTTTTATTAAAGAGAGTTTTATGTCTTGACTTTGTGTGTTTTATGTTAAGCCTTTTGCTAAAGTGTTTTTATGTTTTGACTTTATTAATGTGTATTTTATATGTCATGATTTATTAAAATGCATTTTGTATTATGACTTGAGGGTGCTTTATGTCATGACTTTGTGAAAGTGTGTTTTATGTCATGACTTTATTGAAGAATGTTAAAGTGTGTTAAAGTTCATAATTTTATTAAATATTGTTTTATGTCATGGCTTCATGTGTTTTATGTCATGGCTTCATGTGTTTTATGTCATGACTATTAAAGTGTGTTTTATGTCATGACTTTATAAAGTGTGTTTTATGTCATAACTTTTGTTAAATCATCTTTTGTGTCTCGACTTTATTAAAGTGTATTTTATGTCACAACTTTGTTGAAATATGTTTTATGTCACGACTTTGTTGAAGTGTGTTTTATGTCACAATTTTCTTACAGTGTGTTTTATGTCACGGCTTTATTAAAACATGATTTACGTCTTGACTTTGCTAAAGGGTGTTTTATGATATCGTGACTTCATCAGAGTGTTTTATGTCACAACTTTGTTAACATGTGTTTTTATTTCATGACTTTATTAAAGTATTTTAATCTGATTATTTTATTAAAGGATACAGATACTGCAGGAGAAACAGAAGAAATAATGGCACAGGAAGGCGTGAGTACATCAACTGAAAAATCTGAGGTTAGCCTAAAAGATGAAAACAGTGGGAGTAAATCACAGTCAGATCTAGCTATTACTGAAGCAACAGGTGAAATAAAAGAAACGAAAGACTCGGCCACCGAAAATAGTCCTCAAGAATCACATCCATCTAAAGGTAAAATATTAAAAGGATATACAATGTATTATAATTAATAAATTATAACCAGAATGGAGGAGTTGGGTGACCGATTGGTTTCACACGTGTGTGTTCGATCATGAGATCTGTTATTGTGAAATGTGAATAAATGTCTAAATTTAAATAATAATTTTTGAAGCCGGAATAAAGACCTGCAATAGGCAGATTTAGCTCTTACATAATGCCCCTTTAAACGACTTGTTATAAATAAACTCAGGTATGTCGTGATATTTCTAATGTTCACAGAGGAACCCAGTACACCTCAGACAGTCAAGACGGAGGGTACGGAAACACCCAAACGCTCGATGAGGACTGCATCTGATTCAAGTTCCACCCCACAGACTCCTGTCTCCACTCCTGGAACACCTAGCTCCACACCCACAACACCAAAATTAAAACTTCCCTTCCGGTGGGGAATAAATTGGAAAAAGGGTGAGAAACTAGAAGCCATGGATTATATGGAAAAATGGTAAGTTTTTCACAAATGTTCTTTAATTAAATGGCATATGACGCTATTGTTTGTAAACTTAAAATAGAAAAAAAGGGGTCTAAAGTGATTTCTATTCAACTTTTTGTGAATAATTGTAATCTCTAATCATTTACGTTCGGTGAAATACGTGAACACCAGCTTAGTTTTTTTTAATTATTATTTTGTTGTTTGTGAATCAATCATTACTAATTACTTTTTGTAGGATATGTTTTTCTTTGTCCTTTACAAATGGCATCTGAAACCATAGAATACACGACTCATGTAGTGATTTTAAAATATTCATTATGTTTTAAATATTGGATATTAGGATCCCATATTTTCACGACAAGATAAAAACATCAATATTGATTGAAATGGACCAATATTGAATTTTTATTTGTGTTTTATGGAAAATATTAAAATAGAGGTTTACCACCTTTAAATATAGCAAATTGAATGTTAAATACAGCAATTGATAAGGTTGAGAGAATGCTCTTCGAAAATCGAAACTTTGCCAAAATTTAATTAGTAGCTGTTTTCCATAAGTATGTGTTATTGTTTATTGCTATATCCAGTTACTAAATGCCTCGAAGAAATTAGCAGTTTACCTGTTGTAGCCTTTTCTTGAAGGATTTAACATTATTGAAATAAAATTGAACCATATGTTAGTCCCGAAATGACCTAGTTTGTGTCGAGTGGACGTTAAACCCCATTTCTCTCTCTCTCTCATTATGCGAGATTCGATAATAAGTTGGCAGTTCTCACTATAATGGTTAAAAACCAGATAATGTAAAGGCAATTTGCTGAAAATTTCATTCAAATTGATCCACTATGAACCGAGAACTAAGCGGTTGAAATTTCCGCCTAGCCTCGATCATCATTACTAAAGTCAGTACAATAAACAGCATAGTCTCGATTATCCATTTAATCGTTAAATCGTGAAGGAAAGTTATGCAGTAAATCGGCTCATAATCCACTAAAGATCGCATGCTTACGATGCCATCAAAAGTTGATTATGGTCTGGATAGGTTAATTAATGTCTAATTAAAAATTTAGATAACATTTCAGGCCTAAAGAAAGACCTGCAATAGACAGATTTAGCTCTTGCATAATGTATGTTTAAGCTAATGTTTTTTTTTTCTTACCCATGTAATTATTTAGGTATTTAGCAAAAATCTCAGATATCGACTATAATGGGAAGATGATATTGATTCACTTTGAAGGTTGGAATGTTCGCTATGATGAATGGCTACCAGCAGACACAGATCGTATTCGACCCTTGACACGACATTCTGACAGACAGAAGAAAAAACATGATCTTGTTAGTCAATTTCTGTTTTTTAAATTTATATTTTAAAATGTTTGTTGATTAAAACTGAAAAGGAACAGTTATTTATGTATTAAATTGTTCAATTATAAAACCTTATTTATTTATTGATTTATTGATTTATTTAAAAACCAATAGCTTTATTCATTCAGTAATGAAACCTTATTTATTTAAAAACCAATAGCTTTATTCATTTATGTACTTACATTTACTTCATTTTAAAGTTCATTGAATTATTAAAAAAATGCTGGTGTGTTCCTTATTCTAATGAATTGTTCATGAGAGTTACTTGCCCTTATCCAGGTAGCTGACCTGCTGTCTGCAGCTGTCAATATCAGCTGAAATTAGTTCTGAATATTTTAGATTTTGTGGAAGAAAAACAGGACAGAAAGTTATTTTTGCCTTATGCTAAAAACATTTAGGTGGTTTTTAAAAAATTGCTAATTTGAAATATTTATTTGGACTTTCTCAAACTTTTTTAATATGAAACTAGATTAGTTGTACTTGTTGCAGAAAGATTATTCTTTGCTTATTTTGCTGTCTTTCAAATCAAAGTAACAGAGAAAAAGTAGGGACAATTAATTAATTATGGTTTCAGGCTAATATTCAGAGAGTGAACAGAAAGCAGCATCTCGTGGACTTAAAGGAATTTCATTTGTACACAGGTAGTGCATCTGAATTAATGTTGTTTTGCCATAATTTGTTGCCAAACTTCATGTAGGCCTAGCGGTGGACGTAATTTGAGGCATATCTATACCATAGCCAAGAAAAGTATTAAACAAAGCTTGTCTCAAGAAAATTATCGGTTGGAAGTCAAAAGGTTGAATCTGGTACAGGCCTAGGCCTATTTTTAACAAAATTCAATATTTTACTTCTTCGGGATCAGAACCGGAACTTTCTTCAGAACTTGCTTTTCATCAAGTATGGTATTTACATCTCTAAGCCTATAAGAAAGGGCTTTAAGGGTGCTGTATTCTTGAAAAAGAAATCAACTTTGTTACTTTTCATTGGTAAACCGAAAGTAGCCAATATTGTTTAATTTATGGTTAAATATATGTTACATATTAATTTTGTGCCTCTACTGCCTGATATCAACAAAATTCTAGCAGATATATCTTTACTGTATAGAATTATAAACTACCGCCTTTCACTCCTTATGTGGACAATTAGGCCTACATGTTGCTTAAACAGCTCACATTATTTAACAATCATGATTCTTAACATTTATGCACTTTTTTGACTTCCCCAACTTAGATGAGACATTTGGCTTTGCACCAACGAAATATTGGAAGTTGTCAGAGTTAACCTAGATTGAACAAGCGGTTGCCATGCAAAATATGCCCACATTTTGCAAGAGATGGACAGAGAACGAGCTAAAAAAAAAATGTGATATTTTGTACAACAAGGCGCAATAATCCAGGAAGTTATGGCCCAATATCAACGAATATATAAAGAAACCAAGATTTTTTGGATATAAACATATTTTAAGTTGAATAAAAATGGGTTAAAAATTGGGTCCACAACCTTGGTATTGCATACTTTTACTCTATTTGCATACACAGATTTTCACGAAGATAGAAATCAATCGACATTAGGGTGTAACAGTGATATATTTAAACGTTTTTTAAAACTGAATACAAATTTTGATCTCTAGAGGGTCCACAAAAGCTAAAAACACAATTTTTTGAACAATCTGGGGCCATAATCCAGGAATAGTGTAACAGTGATATATTCAATCGCTTTTTTAAATCAGATAAAAATTGTGACCTATAGAGGTACTACAAGCTAAAAGTGTGAATATTGAAAGGAACCAATATTTTTGGGTTATGAATGTACATTTCAAGTTTATTCAAAATTGGATAAAAATTGTGACCTCTAGAGTGTCCACAAGCTAAAGACATGATTTTTCATACAATCAGAGGTAATAATCCATGAAGTTATGAAAATAAAATGAAATGAAATGGGGTTTAACATCGTACTGTTCTGCTCCGACTAGGATAATGAAGACGGATGAAGTTACGGTCCGATACATGCCACATGGGAGTAAACCTATATTTCAAGTTTTGTTAAAATCAGATCGAAATTGTGACCTGTAGCGTGTCCACAAACAAATTGTGGACGGACCTGGGCGATGACAATATACATCCACATGAAAATGTGGGCGTATAAAAACCTGGTAAAACCATTATCAAAATTGACGTTTCAAGTTCGTTTAAACCAGTGTTTTTATTTCAGGATTTTAAAATAGGAGGAAAAGTCTTAGCAAAATGGACGGATTGTAAAATGTACCCAGCTAAAATTGATAGCATAAACAAAGATGGTAAGTAACATGTAAGAGGTCAAAGGTTATAGAGTTGACCTCAGAGGTCATATTTGTTAGTAATTTAACGTTTTTCTGGGAATAGGGATCTTGGTCCATGTACATTTGCTTAAAGGGACAATAACACTCTTGCTGGCTTGAAAGCTCCAGAAAATAAATAATATCTCTATCTAAGTACTAGATGTTTAATTGTCCTACCTGTTGTGTAAATTATCCATTACATCCTTTTTTACTTGTCCAGAGGGTTCGAAAATATTTTTAAATCGAAGTTTCATTTGAAAAGGTTTACGTTAGACGTTTCAACCATTATGTTGAATTTTTCAAAATTTTTAAATAAGGTGTGTTAAGATGAAATTTGTATATCGTCAATTAATTGAAATATTCTAAAATAGTAAAATTTGTTGACCAGTATAAAGATTGGGACATATTATTCAGTTACAACAAGAGTGGTATTGAGCCTTTAAGGTCATATGTGAATGTGACTGATTGGTTGCATCTTTAGCTATCTTTAGCTAATAATGTAATGGTTATGGTTATTGACCTGAAATGAAATGGAGTTTAATCTCCTTCTCCGACTGAGCTAATGGAGACGAGCATAATATGCCATACAATGTACTATGAGGGAAACTTTGCCCGGACAGCGGCTCTACGGCCTACTTTTAGTTTGAAATCCAACTGTCAGTTGTTCTTTTATGTGCATGCCAATGTTTACAGAGGGCCTTGGTTTTTCATCCCATCCAAACAACTATACATTGTCCCTTGTCAAGACCTGCGTACTGCACCACTGACTACGACGGAAAATCCTGATGAACTCTCTCAGCCAACTCTGGGATCCAACAGGCAAGCTCAAAACTTTCATTAGGATGTGAATAATAGTCTTAATTATTTTTGATTATTTAAACCGTTTGATTGCTTGATAAAGGTGAGTATGCAAGTAATTAATTAGTGTCAGCTAATGAATTTGGGATTGAGTTTGGCATGGGAGGCGGGGTGGGGTGTGTGTGTTTCTTTTCTTGTTTTGTTACAAGCACCTGACATTTTATATTGTGGTTTTAGGTTCATATAATGTGAGATTTTACGACGGATTTAGGAAAACATTATTGTACTCGAGCATCCGAGCGATTCAAGATCCCAAAGAAGAAAAGAAAGAAGAAAAGAAAGTTGAGGTTTGTATAGGTGTGAGAGAGAGAGGGAGAGAGAAAGAGAGAGAGAGAGAGAGAGAGAGAGAGAGAGAGCAGTTGGAGGAAATCGGAGGACCCAGAGAAAACCCAGGAGGTTGGACAGGCGACCCTACTCCTTGTCACGTACATCCAGGGAATCAAAACCACACCAGTTGATTCAATGACAGACAACACACACTATGATATAACACACACATGCTAACCATTCGCCCATTCAACCCCCCTGTTTGTATAGGAAGATATCAGGGTGGTTGTTTGGGTGGTCATAAGGTCTGTCATTGAATCAAGTGGTGTGGGTTCGATTCCCTGTGTGTACGTGACAAGGAATAGAGTCACCTATCCAACCTTAATGGTTTTCTCCAGTTTCCTCCACTGCTAAAGACCCCTCTGGCTAGCGAATTATTCAAATAAAATTGAACAATATGTTACTACTGAAATCATGTAGTTAGTGTCAAGTATTGGTTTAAAAAGATTACTCTCTCTCTCTCTAATTTGTTTGATGTACAGGGTGAGGGGTTGGATGAGTTATTTCTTTTTCTTATTCAAAACTGTAATGGTGATGGGGTGAGTGGCTGTATAGATCATAAATGCCAGATATATAGATGCAAGTCATGGGTTCAATAATCTGGAGTAAATTATACATGTGGCTTCATCAATATGGCATATGTTGATTTCAAGGCAGAGTCATTAGAAATAGGTGAAACCCCACTCCTCGTCAACTACAGACACCAGGGATTGAACTTCTGGCATGGTTTCCCCTTGTCAGTGATGCAGGATGGAGGGCCTGACAAGGACAGCTGTCTAGTCATTCAGATGGGATGAAAAAAACAAGGTCCCGTGTACACATTGGCGTGCACGTAAAAGATCCCTTGGCAGTTGGAATTTGATGTAAGAGTAGGCCATAGCGCCGCTACGCCCGGGCAAAATTTCCCTCATAGCACTCTGTATGGCATATGCCTGTCTTCATTAGCCCAGGTTAGGAGCAGAACAGTAGGATGTTAAACCCCATTTCATTTCATTTTTGAAATCAACATATGCCATATTGATAAAACCACATGTATAATTTACTTCAGATTATTGAATTATTTTTTTTTTTCAGACACCAGAACAGAAAGAAAGTAAAACTATTAAAACTTCTGTTGTTGAAACTCCTAAAAGTCACAAACCTTCCCCACCTCTAAAAGGTAAGAAATTAAAAATGAATCCCAGGTGTGTATGAACTGTCTCCGTTGGGTTGCCAGCTTCCGTAAGTATCAAACCGAGGGTCTGTGGACACATTGGCTTGCACATAACAGAACCATTTGCAGTTGGAATTCGGTATAAGAGTAGGCTGTAGCACCGCTGTCTGGGCAAAATGTCCCCCATAGCACACTGTATGACGTTTAGCCATCTTCGTAAATGACAACATCAGAGAATTTCTTTGGGTCCTCCGGTTTCTTCCAACAGCTAAAGACCCCTACATCCAAGCGAATTATTAAAGTAAAATTGAGTCATATGTTAGTCCCGAAATGACCTAGTTTGTGTCTAATGAATGTTAAACCCCCATTCCTCTTTCTATATGAATATTTTTTATAATTAGGTGAAAGTAAAAGAAGAGACAGTTTGAGTAAAAGAAGAGACAGTTTGAGTAAAAGAAGAGACAGTTTGAGTAAAAGTAAGGGTAAATTGATCGTAGCTGGATCATTCCTGGTAAAACGTGATCGATCAAACAGTACAGGATCGGTAAAAAGAGAAAGGTCTGACAGTACAGGATCTAAAACAGAGAAAACGCCCAAATCGGAGAAAGTTGCCAAAGCGAAAGAAAAAGGCCTGGTATGTTATGAATTGAAACTTCTTTTATGCGTTGGCTCAGTGAGTAAGATGCTGGTTCATTAACTATGTGGTCTCGTGTTTGCTCAAGGTGTTGGCAAAGTAAGTTCCTCAGGATTAAACATGCATTATGCAAGAGCTAAATCTGATTATTGCAAGTCTTAATTTAGGCTTCAGATGTTATAGAAATTATAAATTAGATCTTTATTTAAACAACAAGACCAAAATCAACTCTGTAGACCCACGGATGGCTCGGCTACAGCTCGGATTTAAGTAGGATTTCACTAATTGATTAAATCAAATAAGGGGTAACCTGATGAAAATACGTCAGTTAGATCGAGGCTAAATGATAGAGTGTACTTAGCGAGGCCGCTGTAAAGCGTTTCCGTATGCCATTGAAAACTTTACTTGATAATCGAGATTGTCAATCAAATGATCGGCGAAGGTGAAGACACATTTCGCTACCATTTCTAGGCAAATATTACAACGATGATAACTATGTTCAGAATAAAGTAATTTGACTGAATTTTTCAATATATTCTTCTTTCATCATCTACTTGTGAACTGTTATAGCAAGAATGGCCAACTCTCTATAAAAATCTCCCATAATGTATCTTTAAGTAAGACACTGACTTACAAACTAGGAGGTCTCACATTTGCTCAAGTTGTTGACAAAAAAAGTTCCTCAGGATTGGCTCAGTGAGTAGGACGATGGCTAGCTAACTAGGAGGTCTTTTATTGTCTCAAGGTGTTGGCAAAGGATTTTCAGGCTTGAGTTTCCTTGTTAGTGGGGCAGGACGAAGGACCTGGCAAGGAACAGTGTCTAGTCGTTCAGATGGGATGAAAAACACAGGTCCTATGTACACATTTAATTAGTACACTCTATGGCGTTTACCAATCTTCATAAGCACAGTCAGGGCAGAACAGTAGGATGTTAAACACCAGTCATTTTTCCTTTCCTTTATGCATAGAATAACATAATTTTAAGTCAACAAACTTGTTTACATGCCAGCAACATGCCATGGTTTATTATACACAGTCACATCGTACCCTGCTATTACTGTCAAGCACAAATCATATTTAGTAACTGAAACTTCTCTGTACATGCTATACATTGTGAAGTCATTACTAGAGATACATTATGTAAGACCTGACTTGTCCTATTGCAGATCTCTCTTCTGGCCTCAAATGTAATACAAATTATTAATTAGACATGTATTCACATGACAAGCCCATAATTAACACTGTTGAACATTGGATGGTTGCGATTTTGAACTGATTGAGATAGATAGAGAGAGCCCGGAAAACTCACCTAGTTGGTCAGGCGATACTTTTACTCCTTGACTCAATGACAGACCTTGTGATTTTATAAGCATGCTTTAAACCATTGGGCCACTCAACCACCGCTTTATCTAAATCTGGCATAATGCATCTTTAATTGAAAAAGAATGGAAATAATGAAGTAAGATTTTATCAGTAGTCTGTATTTATATTTTAGGGATTAAAGATTAAGACAGAGAGAAAATCATTAGATTCAAGTGAATCAAGACCTGCTACACCGTCGCCTAAAGTTAAAATATCACCCAAAACACTAGTATCACCTCATGCAGTTGTAGGTAGGTCAGAAAATAGTGGTGAAACTTTTGGCTAATTTTCTAAAACTTTATTTATCCCAACCAATTTATTTGGAATCATCAGTCGCTTTATATTTCAATAAAAACAACCCAATCTCGGATACAGCAAATGCTGAATTTGCAAAGATATGGTTTCTCTCAAAATATTCAAACTGTCAGTAAAATGTACAGTTAAAAGTTTGCCAAAAAATTCCTCTAAAATGTAAGCATTGTATGAAACTAATAAAACAGTTTTATAGTGTAGAAATACGCAAAACTTATATTTGTAAAGAAATTTCAAGCCCTATTCGTGGGAAATCATTGCTCAGTTAACCATGTACAAGAAAGCGGTGGGTCGGAAGATTGTAGCATGAACGGATATTCTGAAAAAACTTTCAACAGTATTAAAAAAGTAAATTAATTTGATCAATTTTAACAGGCATCTGTACTATTAACAGATATAGTTTCATATCTTCCAGAAAAAATCTTGGGATTTGATATACATCTATTTTGATATTTTGAACTGTCTGATTTCATGTGTTCTGAACTATCAAATTATTAGGTGTGAAACGAACACAGAAGAAAGCCTTTTCAACATCTGGAACTGTATCACCTGTTGGATCTGGGGTTTCAGCTGCTAAAAGAACAAAATCATTAGACAAAACTCCATGTAAGTATATTCAAGAAATTCTGAATTTTTTAAGCCTGTTCTGAGGGGTGAGAACAATGGAGTTGACAAAGAAAATGTGCCTTATCGTTCCGATGGGAAGAAAGGGATGGAAGTGCTACGAAACTAGAGATGCTTTCAAAAATTCATGGCCTCTGATCCTCGAGATCAAGCTTTAAGCCCCCCAAAATTTGGGTCTGCCAAAGGTTCTGATCGTGTATTTCAGTTTGAAAAGGTTATTTATTCTCGCCTTTCAGTGATGGTCATAGTGCAGCTGCTCAGGCAAAATTTCCCTCATAGCACACTGTATGACGTATGCCCCTCTTCGTTAGCCCAGTCTGAGCAGTACAGTAGGAGATTAAACCCCATTTCACTTCATTTCAGCGACAGCTCCTAAAGAATTTAAAATAGAAGCTGATCATAACATGTTCAAGTGTGTGGCTGAGAATTGTGGTAAAAGTTTCCGTAAAGAAAGTCTATTGGATTCTCATATCAAATATTACCATAGTGACGGTGAACCCAAAACTCCCACAATGCCAGCACCTCGAAAGCGAAGAAAGACTTCAAGTATTTGTAAGTATGATATAAAATGGATAGTTTTAAAGTAGACTATTCATTAACTCAATATCACCCACAGTCTTCGACATTGCAAACATGACTTATTGATCAATTTAAATCAACATTGATGTTGTTATCTTACCGTGAAAAGATAGGCTTCTGATATCCAGTCGATTGAAATCAACATTGGTGTTGTTATCCTACCGTGAAAAGATAAGCTTCTGATATCCAGTCAATTTAAATCAACATTGATATTGTTAACCTACCTTGAAAAGATAGGCTTCTGATATCGAATATTTAAGACACAGTAAAAATTTAAAACTTGGCACACCAATCAAGTGCCAGAATGCTTTTGAGCACCATTATGAAGTGACTGAATGACTGAGGCTATACATATCCCACAAGGGAAGACTACCAGAGTAATCTGGAATAATCAGACACTGCCCTTCAATTTGCACTCTTCACGTATTTCGCCAAACATAACTGATTAAAAATTATAGTTAAAACAGAAACGATTGAATCTATCAAGTAAATCGTCTTTGCTTTATAACGATGATATTATTAACATAAATATGGCCAGGTTGTTTTCTTTCCTTCTGTTTACATTTGATCAAGAGTATCTCAAGATTTTCTAGTATGGTTTCCCCTTGTCAGTGGTACAGGGTAGAGGGCCTATTGATTCGGATGGGACAAAAAAATGCCTGTAAAAGAACTCTTGACAGTTGGAATTTAAAAGCGTAGGCTGTCTGTGGAAGATTTTCCTCATGTAGTGACGTTTGCCATCTTCATTAGCCTGGTTGGTGCACTGAAAAGCAGGACATTGAATTACATCTTGGTTTATTTCCTTTGTCCATTCATTTCCAGTTTAACGTGTGCGCGTTAGATCAGAAGGTCTGTCATTGGGTCATGTGGTCTGGTTTTGGTTCCCCGCTCATAAGTGACAAGGAGTAGGGTCGTCTGTCCAACCTCGTGGGTTTTCTCCGGGTCCTCTGGTTTCCCCCCTCTGCTATAGACCCTATGCGCTAGCAACTTATTTAAATGAACTTGAACCCTATGTTAGTCCCAAAATGACCTAGTTTGTGTTGTTAAACCCCATTTCTCTCTTATTTCCAGGTTCCTCGGATTCCGATCATTCTGTATCGGCAAGATCTAAAGGTGGTCAGGGTAGTCTCACACCTCTAGACTCAGGCTCTAAACGTAGACGCAATATTTCTAGTGATATACATATTGCCATGGAAACAACACTGCCCCCTACACCAGAAGTTGTTGATCCTGTTATTAAAGAAGAGGTAATTCCTGCTGACCTAGAAGGTAATTCATTTAGTTTTTGGCAACTTAGCAAAGGTTAAACAAGTGCATATATACATTTAGCAAGAGATGGGACAAATAGGTTTACTTAAGTTAGACCTAAAGCTGTGTCGAATAAAATAGCTAAAAATAACTCAGTCATGTTCAGATTTCACTAAAATACTTTCTTCGTTCAAAAATACCCAGCGCTATTGTAACAGTAAAATTGTTTAAAAGAACATTAGGGTTCGAATCCATACAGGATGGAGTACCAGCTGTCTAGTTGTTTGCATGGGACAAAAAAACGAGGTCCCATGTACACATTGGCGTGCATGTAAAAGATCTCTTGACAGTTGGAATTCGATATTAAAGTAGGATGTAGTGCCAATGTCTGGGCAAAATTTCCCTCATAGCACACTGTATGGCGTATGCTTGTTTTCATTAGCCGAGTTCGGAGCAGAATATTAGGACATTAAACCCCATTTCATTCAATATTTATCCTTATGTGATATAAACAAGCCAGTGCCACCAATATGTGGTCAGTAAATCTTTTGATGGGCCTCTTTTTAATCCAGTTGAATCCAAGCCATTGATATATAGGCTTTGCCTTGTTAATTAAATGTTAAAAAATCAATTTAGGTACATTCTAGCGAGGCTTAAACGATCATAAATTAGATATTGTCCAAAAAATGCAAATGCAGATTACCAGTGTTAAACAACAGGGGAGCCAACAGTGGCTAAGTGAGTAAGATGCTGGCTCGCTAGTCTGGAGGTTGTGAGTTCGCTCCCAGGTCTGTCATTGGGTCAACTGGCATGTTTTCGATTCCCCGGTTGTATGTGACAAGGAGTATAGTCGCCTGTCCAACCTTGTAGGTTTTCTCCGTGTCCAAGCGAATTATTGAAATAAAATTGAACCATATGTTAGTCCCAAAATGATATAGTTTGTGTGTGTGTGTGTGTGTGTCTCTCTCTCTCTCTCTCTCTCTCTCTCTCTATTAATTTTAACCTGTTGCACTATTCTTTGAATGAAGGATTTTCAAATAAATTGAAGTGAATAAAACCATTAAATGTTTTAATTTTATAACAAATGACAAAACAGTAAGAGACGTGATGTCAATAGATTCTTTGCTGCATAAAGTTTGATTTATTTATATATTATAGCTGAAATAGAACCTGCTCCAGTGTTGACTCCATCATCTAGTAAGATAGACAGTGAACCAGTAGAAGATACTGTTGATATAGAAGAGGAGGATGGTGAAGAAGATGATGATATTGCACATTGTAAATGTGGTTTTGATTATGAGGAAGACCTTATGATACAGGTAATTCTATCGACATAGAACAATAGACGGGCCTTGGTGATGGACGAGTAGCCACTGGCCTTTTTGGCTAGAATGTCCTGGATTGGAATCGTGACATGGGCCTAGATTGGCCTCTGTTATGGACGAGTAGCCACTGGCCTTTTCGACTAGAATATCCTGGATTCTTATCCTCACATGGGCCTAGATTGGCCTCTGTTATGGACGAGTAGCCACTGGCCTTTTCGACTAGAATATCCTGGATTTTTATCCTGACATGGGCCTAGATGGGCCTCTGTGATGGATGAGTAGCCACTGGACTTTTGACTAAAATGTCCTGGATTGGAATCCGGACATGGGCCTAGATGGGTATCTGTAATAGACGAGTAGCCACTGGCCTTTCGACTATAATGTCTTGGATTCTTATCCTGATATGGGCCTCTGTGATGGATAAGTAGCCACTGACCTTTTGACTATAATGTCCTGAATTCGAATCCTGATACGGGCCAAGTCGGACCTTGTTGATGCACAAGTAGCCACTCGTCTTTGAATCCTGGTATGGGCATAGATGAGCTTCTGTGATGGACGAGTAGCCACTGGCCTTTTGACTATAATATCCTGGATTCTTCTCCTGACATTGGGCCTAGAAGAACCTTTCGGTGTTTTAACACCTAATTATTATTTATCAGGGGTTTTGCCTTATTGGCTGCTAAGAGGGGTGTGCCTTGTAAACTCTATTTTCAGTGCTGATTAAATTGTATTCAATTTACATTGTGATGATGATGATATTCTATTTACAGCGCTGATTAAATTCTATTCTATTTACAATGTTGATTAAATTCTATTCTATTTACAGTGTTGATTAAATTCTATTTTATTTACAGCATAGATTAAATTCTATTTAAAGTGTTAATTAAACTTGATTCTATTTTCAGTGTGATGTGTGTCTAACATGGCAGCATGCTGTATGTTTTAATATCACAGAAACAACTTTACCTAAAAAACACATCTGTCATGTCTGTCAAAACCCACCAGGTAATTTACATTTTACTCAAATCTTAAAAAAAAAAATCATTCTCTCATCGCTTTTCCAATTTTGCTTGGTCCGTCACCAATGTTCACAAGCTTATGCCTTAAAAATGTACACATACAATTTTTTTTTTATGGGTTTTTGCATCAATCTGATTAAAACACAGATCCTATTTCGTTTTGTTTTTTTGTAGTTCAACATTTCGTTTTACTTGTCTTTACTACACTAGGATCTGGAAGAGTTGTTATATAACTCACGTTCTGGATGATGTGAGGGATTAGCCAATGAAACGGTCTGTTGCAACGAGTTTTTGTCGTGATGTGTACGAAACTGTGGGTAACCCACTAGAAACATCAACACTGATTGGTTAATCAAATGTTTGACGTCATAGGGTCAAAAGCCATTCATATGACCTTCCGCTACAACTGGTCACATAGTAGAGGCCATCAAAAGTATTAAAACACGAAACAAAAAATAGATCTGTACTTTAATCAGATTGTTTTTGCATGGACGGAATTTGATGAAATTTTTTAGCAAAGATGAGCAGTTAATAGAAGAAAATTATACCTGTCATTGTGCGATTCGAAAGATTTATATTTTCTATACATCATAAAATGCACCAAAATTGATCACTTGAGTTGAAATTGATTATTCAAATGATGACAGAATATTCGAATAGTAAACTTAGCCGTGGATGTAACCATTGGTCATAATATAACACAATGAAATGATTTTTTTAAAAGGGATTCGAGATAGTCGTCGTTATATCCATGAACAAGAATGGTTTAAACAGGGTCAACTGCCAGTATTTAACTTTCTACCGGGTCGAGTATCGTCAATACGTAGTGAAGAGATGCAAGATACACAAGATATAGCAGCGGAAATACATCAACTATCAGCTACATTACACGCTCTTAAAACACAACTTAAAATTATTAGGTAAATTTTAAATTATTAGAAAGGTATGTTTAAACATCCATTATGCAAGAGTTAAATCTGCCTATTGTAGGTCTTTCTTTAGGCCCGAAATGTGATATAAACTATTAATTAGACATTTATTAACAAAACAAGACCATAATCAACTCTTGATGGCATCGGATACTCAAGATTTTAACTAGATTAGAACAGTTCGGCATTTAAAAATTTAATTTAAAAATGAGAAAGCAAGGCTTAGTCTGGAATATACCAGTGCCCTGGTTACCACTATGCACACATCTTGTCAAAACTACAAACAGTGATAAAAAGACTCAGAATGAAGTAATTTGAATGAAATTTTGAATATTTTCTTTTTTTTTATCAATTATTTTTGAATTATTATAGCAAGAATGACCAACTTGTTATTGAACTCTTAACTAATGTATCTTTAAAAAGAATTATGGTTTTCCCCGTGTCAGTGTTGTTGGTCGGATATCTTGCCAAGGGATCTTTTACGTGCATTCCAATGTATACACGGGACCTTGGTTTTTTGTCTCATATGAAGGACTAGACAGCTGTCCTTGTCAGGCCCTCCATCCTGCATCACTGACAAGGGGGAACCATGTCGGAAAATCTGGATGAACTTTCTTGGCCAATGCAGGGATCGAACACCCGACCTCCAGGCTAACGAGCCAGCGTCTTACCCACTTAGCCATGTGATCCCTCAACTCTCTAAGTACAATTTGCCTTGTAGCACACTACTTCAGTAGCCCAGTTGTTGCAGAGAAGTAAAACATGAATTCCCATTTTATCAAGGAGTTCTCTCATTTTCCCATCTCTTCTCTATGGAAATGTTTTGTATTTTAATTGCAGACAAAGGAATCATCCAGCTGTTTCATTGTGGAAAACCAACTGGGATTCACCAGAAGATCGTGTCGCAGCAAGTAGTTCCCATGTGGATGAATTCATTTCCGTTGATGCAAACAGTCCTCGCATTGATACAGCTACCTCCTCAGTCTCTGATCTGCCAGGTGAAAAACCTGTTATTGAAACTACAGCAGACAGTTTGCCAAAAGACTTTACTAGTACAAATTTTCTGACTAGAAGTTCAATTGTTAAAGAAATTATGGACAAAACATGTGAGGATTCTAGTACAGAATCAGTTGTGTCTGCTCAGTCTCCTGTACTAGAAGATGAAGAACAAAATACTAATAGTTCAGATGTATCTGGTGCAGATAACAAAGTCAGCAAAGGGAAGGTGAGAGACAGAGGAATTATGTCATTAAAGACATCATGTCGTTAGATATGTTGACATTTGTTTATCTATATGTGAAACAGCAAGTTCAAGGTGCTCAAATGCCTCAATTAGTGGAATGTTCCTCTGAATTTTACAACATTGTCAGTGGTGCAGGATAGGGCAAGGAACAGTGTTGACTTTTTCGGATGGCACCAAAAAAAACCCCCAAAGTCCTGGGTGTACCATTAGCACATATATTAAAAATACCCAGATAGTTGGGAATAAAAATAAGAGTAGGCCATTCTGTTCAGGAAACATTTCCCACATAGCACACTCCAAGGCTTACACCCGTTTCCATTAGCTCGGATAGTGCAGAGAAATGATATGAAATGGGGTATAACATCCTACTGTTCTGTTTCAACTGGACTAATGCAATGTACCATGAGGGAAATTTTGCCCGGACAGCAGTGCTACGGCCTACTCTTAATTCAAATTCCAACTATCAAGGGTTCTTTTATGTGCTTGCTAACCTCGGTTTTTCATCCCATCCAAAAGACTATACATTGTCCCTTGCCAGGCCCTCCATCTTAGATCACTGATAAGGGGAAATCACTCCAGAAAATCCTGATGAACTTTCTCGGCCAACATATGGAACGAACACAGGACCTCTAGGTTAGCTAGCCAGCGTGGCTCCGTGCAGAAAAGTAGGATGTTTAACCACACTAAATGTCAATAAGTTGTAATTGATGATTGACTAGAAGTTGTTGCGCATGATTAACTTAATGAAGTTGTCGCACATGATTGTCTTGGAGAAGTTGTCATTTATAAAGAAGTTCCTGAATGACCAGAAGTTCATGAATTCATGAATGACTAAAAATTGTTATTAATGAATTCATGAATGACGAAAATGGTTCTAATTAATTATATTAATGTAAAATCTGTGTATTTATTTTAATAGAATAGCAGTGCTGAAGAATTGAGACAGTGTGAGAGAAATATGTTGGTACATATTTTAAGTGTTCAAAATGAAATCAACCTCCGTCTTGATGCCATGGATGATAAACTCTCAGGTAAATTGTACAAACTTTTTAATGGTATATGTTATAAGTTCTTTGTCTGATTAAACATAATTACATTTTGATTTTTATAAAGAGATAAGTGTCAGAGGTTTGATTGATGTTGTCTGTTAAATAGAGAATCTCCTACCAGTCTTTTTTGATATCAAAAAATATCAACACAAGTTGATAAAGTAACAAAAAACCAGGCTCTGCCGAGTTTTTTTTTACTTTATCAACGAGTGTTGATATTTTTTGATATCAAAAAAGACGAGTAGGAGATTTTATTTATCACCCAATCCCTTCTCACATGCACAAATAGATAAATATAATTCTTTGCTGTAGATCTAACTTTTACTGAACATTATGGCGTAGTGATACATCATTTTTTGATGGCAATTCAACCATTGCAAAGTCCTTTATTTATTGACCCAGTGTTTCCATCAAGGTCAATTGAATAACAATAGTTCATTTTTAATAAAAAAAAAGTTAGTTTAAATAAGAAATGAACTGTTCTTTGAAAATAAAAAAAAAGTAGTTCCTTTTCAACTGACCAATAAAATTCATGTAAAGCGATATCTCCTAAGGAGATATCGTAGTAGATTATGAAATATACCACACAAGCGATATCTACTGTAGAATGTATTATTGGGTGATAAAGTCAGATTGATATAGACTGCTGCAATGAGAGAGAAATGATAATGATATTGATATCGACAATTATAATGAGCTATCATATTTCATTTTGACTTTTATAATGAGCCAGAAATTTTAACAAGAGATTGATATTGACAGTTATAATGAATCAGAAGTATAAATGAAATTGATAATGACTTACAATGAGAGGTGATATTAATATTGACTGTTATAACGAGAATTATCAATGAGATGATATATCAACTGTTATAATGAGACAAAGGTTTTAATTAGATTGATATTGACTGTTATAATGAGACAAAAGTGTTAATTAGATTGATATTGACTGTTATCAATCAAAGATCTGATATTAAACAAATGTGAAAGAAATTAGTGCTAGATACACAAGATTAAATGATACCTGGGTTAATGAGTAAAAAAGGATGAAAGATTGATATCAATTGTTGCAATGAGACAGAGGTATTAATGAGATTGATATTGACAGTTATAATAAGATAAAAGTGTCAATGAACTGAGATCGACTGTTATAATAAGAGAGGAAAGTTAGTGAGATTTATATCGACTGCCTGTTGTTATGAATAAAGATTATTGATATTGAAGGTATCGTAAATGAGATTGATATTGACTGATGTATTTAGGATATTGATAACTATTATTGTTAGTATTAATATATGTTCTAATAATATTTGCCGTAAATTGTTTTATTAAATAATGTATTAAAATCAATTAAATCTATTTATATTTTCTAGTGTTAGAATCGAAGAAAGGTATTGTGGGGAATGAAGATCTACCGCCATCAGCACCTCGGTTAAAGAGAAGTCTTCATAATATTACCAGAGATTTAGAGAAAGTGAAATTAATGGCTGAATATCAGGGCACAAAACCACATTGACATTTATAACATAGGCTAGGGTATAGCCAATTACATTTAACACTCAACAAATTATTTATATAATCTTTAAGTGGTATTTAGTGATTGGGAAACACATTAACAGAACACCGTTTTATGGGAAACAATCACTGGTTTATTCTAAAAGCATGACGTATCAATGTGCTTGATAACGATAAGAGGATACTTGTTGAAACGTCATGCTTTTAGAATAAACCAGTGATTGTTTCCCATAAAAACAGAACACCGTTTTATGGGAAACAATCACTGGTTTATTCTAAAAGCACGATGTTTCGACAAGTATCAATGTGCTTGATAACGATAAGAGGATACTTGTCGAAATGTCGTGCTTTTAGAATAAACCAGTGATTGTTTCCCATCAAAACTGTGTTCTGTTAAATTATTTATAAAAGTAAAAAATATGTGCTGAAATTAGAAGGAATCTTGACTATTTCAAGAAAGGATTTTATGTCCACTCCAATCCCTTCACCAATTCCTTGATGGGTGGAGTTATAGCTATAAGCTAATCGCATTTCATATCTAATAAATTATTTACACAAACAGAAAATATTTGCTGAAACTTGGAAGAAATATTTTTATTTTCAAGAAATAAATAAATGATTTCTGTCAACTCAAACCCCAACATAATTTAAATGATATTTTGTTAAAGATTTTTGATTTGTTGAAGGTACCCAAACTGTTCCCTGAGTGCACAAAGGAAATTTATATGCACACAAAATATTCTAGTACTCAGATACATGACCCATTTTGATTTGAAAATAAAGTTTTACTAGTCTTTAGGGATAAGCTGTGTAAAAATATGTCACAGGAGTAAATTTTGCTTACTGTAAAATTTTGGCGCACACTGACTTCTAAAACTTAGAGCCAGAGTGTAGGTTGGGTACCGGTTTTTGTCATGCTGCATCTTTAACTATAGTTTTCCTTTCTTGTGGGTATCTACCAAGGATAACATCTGGTCTGGAGCAGGCATAAAACATTATTGACACCCGGCATAAGATTGTTATCCAATCTCGAATTTTCAACTGTCTCATGCTGGTGCTTTAAAAAAGATAAAATTTTAAAAAAAATTGCAGTTAGATATCCTCATGTATAAAAGAATAACTTGGTATTTTTGACTGATTACAACAGTATATGCTTAAATTTGATAAATAGTACATTTATATGGTACAATGTTGATTGATTCATTATTTGTTATTGATTATTGGGATTATAACAAAAAAAAGAAATTAAATTTTTGTAGTTAGATATCTTCATATATAAGAGAATAGCTTGTTGGTATTTTTGACTGATTACTGCAGAATGTGTATTTGTACATTTATCGTGGGGTTGGATGGCCGAATGGTTAGCACGTGGGTGCTGTATCATAAGGTCTGTCATTTAGTCAACTGCTGTGGTTTCGATTCCCAGGTTGTACGTGACAGGGAGTAAGGTTGCCTGTCCTTACTTCCACTGCTAAGGACCCTTAAGCGCAGGCGAATTATTGAAATAAAATTGAACCATGTGTTGATCACGAAATGACCTGGTTTGTGTTGAGTGGACATTAAACCCATCTCTCTCTCTCTCTCTCTCTCTGTACATTTATGATATAATGTTGATTGATTCATTATTTGTTACCGATATGAAAATAATGTATAATAAAGTTATATAATATATAATAGATTTATTTTCTTGTCAGGGATGTTGGTTGGCCGAATGGTTTAATGAATGTGCTCAAGATCATAAGGTCTGTCTTTGAGTCAAGTGGCAGGGTTTTGAGGCCCTGGTTTCATGTGACAAGGAGTAGGATTTTCATTCTTTCATTCATTTGTGGGGTGGTCTTGTACTAACACATGCGTGTGAAATCACAAGGTGTGTCATTGAGTCAAGTAGCGTGGTTTCTAATTCTATTCCCCGCTTGAATGTGAAAAGGAGTTGTGTAGCCTGTCCAACCTTGTGCATTTTCTACAGGTCCTTCGGTTTCCTCCCACAGCTAAAACACCCTAATGCACAGGGAAATTATTAAAATAAAATTGAAACAGGTCGAGTGGAGGTTAAACCCCATCCCTATTTTTTTGTTGTTGGACCAAATGTACGATTTAGATATTGAGCAGACAGTTCTTGCTGTAATAGTTAAAAACCAGATAATCAAAATTGAATATGTTGAAAATTTCAGCCAAATACTTCTTTCTAAACGGAGTTATTGCCGTTTGAAGAACAGTGTAGTCTTGGATGTCATTGTTACCGTTGTTATGATAGTAAACAAAGTCTCAATTATCCATTTTTTAGTTAAATCATTAACTAGCAATCGAAATTAAGCCCGTTGAAAATCAAAACCAAACGAAAGATCTGCATTAGGCAGATTAGCTCTTAAATAATACATCTTTTAGTAGGGCAGCTTACACAAAATGAAACCTAATACCCCTAACAAGGTTCTGGAAAGTCAACAACGTAAGGGTATAAATAGAAACGTGTATCAACAATATATGTAGACTATAAATGATAACTATTCGATTCACATTGATAGCCTTGCAATATGGCGAATATAGGGAAGTATTTATATTAGGGGATTATAATATACCTGGATAAATACGCATAAATTCGTCGATAAAACAAAGGTGAGGCAATATATAATTATAATCATGTTGACGACATGGCAGGGATGGCGGTATAACTTTCTGATCAGAATGTTTAATATTACAGTAAAACAATGTGAAGTCCATCGAAACCTGGTGGAATTCTAAACCGAAACTACTTCAATGAAGTTTTAACTTGATTATTTTTATAAGGTTGTTAATTAAAGAGGCGTTATGGGAGATTGGATAAGGAGTTGACTGTTCTCGCTATAATAGTTAAAAAATATATATGGTAAATAGCATATGTTGAAAATTTCAGTCAAATTGCTCCACTCTGAACCGAGATATTAGCTTTTGAATTTTAAGTTACATATGCCTCGATCATCATTACTAAAGTCGGTACGATAAAAAACATAGTCTCAATTATCCATTTTTGGATTTAATCATCAATGAGCGTTAAGCACAAGATCGGATTCAAATCCAGTGAAAATCCGACACATAAGATGACACCGAGAGTTGATTATGGTTTGGATAAGTTAATTAATGTCTAATATAACATTTCAGGCCTAAAGAAAGGCCTGCAATAGGCAAGTTTAGCTTTTGCATAATGTATGTTTTAGCTCAGTTGAGGGATTATGATTAATCCTAAAGATTTAAACATGAACAACATCAAGAACTAAAACGACTTACGAGTAACGAAAAACAAGCATCAAAAGAGACTAACTTGTATTCGTTACAAATAAAACTGACGCGGGACGGGGCCCTGACAAGCAATTCAAACTGACAAGTTATTCATATGAGCAGTCCAACCGTAATCTTACACCAATGACCTATTTTAACAATTCAAACAATGTTTTTTAAGTAGTTGTCACATGATCATTTCTAAACATATATAAGTGCCGGACACCTCAAACTGCAGCATACCTCTGAAGTGCATCATCTGTAAAGCGCCACATACCCTTCAAAGTAATGTGTGTGCTACTGCCTGGTTTCTGTGGTCTCAGCAATAATTTTTCACCACACTCCACGGGCCCAAGAACTGGTCAAGACTTAGAAACCGGTCGCGGCACCGGTGTAAAATTTACTTTACGCCTGTCCGAGGAAATGAAATGAAATGAAATGGGGTTTAACGCCCTACTGTTCTGCTCCGAACTGGGCTAATGAAGACGGGCATACGCCATACAGTGTGCTATGAGGGACATTTTGCGCGGACAGCGGCACCATGACCTACTCTTATATCGAATTCCAACAGTCAACGGATAATTTACGTGCACGCCAATGTACAAGTACACTGGACCTTGGTTTTTCGTCCCATCCAAACGACTAGACAGCTGTCCTTGTCAGGCCTATCCGATTAAAGGAGCTAAATCGCTAATATTTGGGACCTAGAAATTGACACAAATGGGTCGCAACGCATATAATAATGTAATATGAATGTACATAAACTGGTTTAGATTCAATCGTTTCTGTTTTTATTGTAAGTTCTAATCAGTTGTGTTCGGCGAAATACGCCAGAAATATCAATCGAATGACAATCTCTAGCGTCTGGTTATTCCAGTCTACACCGGTAGTATTTATCAGGCATGTTCTCCAGATACGAATAGGGCGTCAGAGACACCCTTTGACATGACTTGTCTAGCCTTGTTCTTCGAGTCCGTTGTTACAAATGGCGCAGAAACGCATTATGGTACACGATTCGTGTACCAATGGTAAAATGTTAATTTTGTGTTAATATTGGATATCAGAAGCTCATCTTTTCCCGGTAAGATCACAACATCAATGTTGATTTAAATTGACAAATAACTCGTGTTTTCAATGTCGAAGACTTTAGATGATACTGAGTTAGATCACTTTAACCTTCGGGCCTCTTCAGGGCCTATTTTAACGTGCCTACATGCACAGATGTGCCTCGAAATGAAAACTCCGTGCTTCGAGAATCATAAACCCTTGCTTTGAACAGATGGTATGTATCCTTGTGAATCCGAATAGGACACTTGCTAAAAGGACACTTGCTAAATTTCCTCAAGCAATCGTTTAAATTTCGTATTTTGTATGTAAATGTCTAAAAATAAAGCTGTTGCGCTGCTGCAGGTTACAGTAACCGTTCGTCTGCTTTTGGACATTTCTTTGGACTGCCAATGATACGCAAATATAAATACAAATCTGCAAATTATATAAATCTTTAACGGCCACAGTTTCACATTAATTTGTGTCCCAATTTTTGCCCGTTTTAGGTGTTGAGGATCAAAAGATCTTAGTTGAATTCAATTTTGGTGCAACCCCGTGGTTTGTGATGGATTGGGTACGGAGCACGAATCCTATCGATAATCAACATCCCCCCCCCAGGGTGAGTCCTATCGGTTTTCCCAGTTCCCTGTCCATCTCTTACAAAATCTCGACGTAAGGTGTATGCCAACCGCTTGTTTGGTTGTAAAAGTGTAAGCATAGTGATAGAGATAATTCAGAAAGTTTTTATTCAGCTTCTGGTGAGCCTTTGTTTCGATCACATCTAACTGGTCACGATTACAGAAGATTTATCCTGACATAGTGGAGTTGAAAAGGGTGATGAAAGGAGCTAAATTGAGACTATCAAGTTATGTGTGGGAATACCCGTCCAAAAACCTCCATTTCCGGAAAACGTGCTTCGACAATAAAACCTTAAGATACACCATGGGCGTCTTTCTGCAGTCTGGTCAACACCTCGCTTAACCTGAGCCTGGTGGAAATGATTGGATGTTGGATCTCGAAATAAAATTTTAAAAGAATATCAAAATATTAGACCCCGTCGGGTTTTTTTCAAACATGTGTGCCGAACTCCAACATTTTTATGTCAAGGGCCCATCGTCCTGGATTGAAAAAACATAATTACTTTTTCAGTATAACTAAAATTCATCTTCGTAATCACTGAAATGATAATGGCCTCAATGCAGGAATAGTGAATCGAAATCGTCATGTGACATTTTTCACAGCGTCCCGAAGATTATTTTTTTAAATACGTATGCCAGCCGGCGGAAAACGGAACTGCACAGGTGCAATCAATTTGAACTAAAATCCATTAAAATTCAATTTTAAGATAGAATCGATCTTCGTGAAACCAATAAAATTTAATATCTATTTTCGTTTTTGTGAAACAGGGCCCAGATCATAACAACCTGTTTTAAAAACAGATCCTATTTCGTTTAGTTTTTTATAGTTCAAAATTTCGGTTTACTTGTCTTTACTACACAAGGATCTGGAAGAGTTGGTATATAACCCGCGTTCTGGATGAGGAGAGGGATTAGCCAATGAAACGGTCTGTTACGGCGAGTATTTGGCGTAAGGTGCATAGAACTGTGGGTAACCCACTAGAAGCATCAAAGCTGATTGGTTAATCAAATGTATGACGTCACAGGGTCAAAAGCCGCCATTGTAGGCCATTGAAGGTACCAAAAAGCGATACGGATCTGTATTTTAATCAGATTGGATTATAAATGGTTGCAAACTTCGCCCTTTTCAAAATCGAAACCAAAATCTGAGAAAATTGGATACAAGCCACTATCCGTCGATTACCACCAAACATGAAAAAGGAACTAGTCGGTCGTAAGGGTGACTGAATAAAATTTCTTCCTGACCGGTATC